AATGGACATGGAGGTTATGGAGGGGGAGGAAGGACTTTGCCTAGTTTGGATTTTGTAGGTTTTTTTAATTTTTTGGAAAAAAACTTGCTGACATTTCTTGCGGATTTTAATTTTTTTTGTAAATATTGGACATGGTCTAGTTTATGAGTCATAAAGCTCTATGTTTTCTTAAATTGTTGTTTTGACTCATAAAAGCTCACAGGACTCTTAAACTAGTCCAGAACCAAAAACTCGATTTTTTAAAGTTCCCTTTCCTCATCGTCCGCAATTTTTTTCCTTATTTTATTCAAAAACTTGCGGATTTTGTACTATTGGCTCTAGATGATTTTTAAAGATTTTCTAAACCGTTTCTCCTTAATTAAGTCCAAAAAACAATTTTATATTAATATTAAACTCTTTAAATCATTTCATCTAAAAATTGCGGACAAAATTTGCGGACAACGGTCAATGTCCGCAAAAAAATTTTTTTCTTCGTATTTATTTGCATAATGGTACTGAAAAATTCATTCTTCACACATTCTCATATTTATTCTTTTATCTACTAATTTATTTATTTAACATCTGCTTTAAAAATTTCTTTCATTTATATTCTAGAATATTTGCTAGGGAACTTTTTACTATATATAAATAAAATTATTCATTTATAGGGGTTCTATTTTTGCTCTTTATTTTTTTTTTTATTTGTCACAAAATTGATAAAAAATATTTTTGTTGGGACATTCTTCCTTTATTTTCTGTAAACTTAAAATATTTTATTTTGCGGACAAATTTTGCGGACTTTTTTGGTGATTATTTTACTTTACGGATATTTTTTGCGGATTTTTTATTTTTGGACTTTTCTTGCGGACTTCATTTTTTATTCTTCCCCAATTTATCAAAAATCTCTCCCATTCCCTGTCTATAAATATTACTTAAAAATTCCTCTAAAATTCTTTAAAAATTTTTTTCTTTCAGAAAAAACGTTATAGCCGTTCCTCTAATTGTTCATTATCCGAAGTTATAACTGTGGACGACAACGACACACCAACACATTTATTACCTTCTCCAATGGCTTCTAATTCAATTTATTCCAAAAAAGTGCCAATGATCGTTAGCAGGTTTGGATTTTTAAAAAATCTTTTAAATAAAATATTTGCGGACAACACTTGCGGACAAAAATTAATAAAATTAGGATTAGCTTACCTTAGGGGTTTTTCGATCAGAAAAAATTTTTACTTGAATTTTCAACTGAAAAAAAAGTATTTTTTATCAGAAAACTAAAAATAACACTAGAAATAATTATTTTCCCTGACGGGGTTCGAACCTTTAACCCCCTTGCTTTGTTAATTTTTTTATTACCCAACTTAACCATCGAAAAATTTTTTTTGCCTCAAAAAATTTTGTTTTCCGCAAAAATTTTAACAGAAAACTAAAAATAATACTAAAAATATTTATTTTCCCTGGCGGGGTTCGAACCTTCAACACCCTTGCTTTGTTAATTTTCCATTACCCAACTTAACCATCGAAAAAAAATTTTTTTTGTCCGCAAAAATTTTTTTGTCCGCAAAAATTTTGCGGACAAAAAATTTTTTAATCAAAAATATTTTTAAATATTTTCAGTAGAATAATGGAAGCTGTAGATATTCCTTTAGAAAGACAAAATATTCCAGAAGAATATCCTTGGTATTTTGGTGAAATTGGACGTAAAATAGCCAATAATTTATTGGAGGGGACTGAAAAAGGAACTTTTTTAATTCGTTGGAATACAAATTATCAACAATATGTATTGTCTTTACAAATTGGAAATTTATTGAAACATATAAAAATTGTATTTGATGAAGAGAATAATAAGTAAGTTTGGAAAAAATTTTTTGAAAAAAATTTTTTTTGCGGACAAAAATTGCGGACTGTCCGCAAAATTTTTTTTAATTTTGGGAAAATTTTTTTAATATTTTTTCTTTTAGGTATTTCTTACATGAAGAAAGATTGTTTGATTCTGTTGTGGTAAATATTTATTATTTTTATTAATTTCTAAGACAATATCCCCTTCTAATTTAAATGGGAATTAGTTTTTTTTGTTTTTAGAACGGAGTTTTTCTGATTATCCAGTTCCGGTTTATTTCAGAATTTTGATTGACTGGTTATTCCAATTTTCTTTTGGTTCTGATTAAGACTTGTTTTCTATTTTTTTCTTTTCAGAATTTTCTCCACTAATTAATTTCCCTTTAATTTTTTAAAGGATTTAGTCAATTTTTATCGAAGCAACAGCATTAAAGAAGGCTTCGAAATTGATGTAATATTAAAATCTACCCCACTAAAAAGTGCTTTATTCATTGCTCAACGTTCTTTTAGCCGTCCAGATACTTCAAAATATTTAACTTTAATTCCTGGCGATTTAATTGAAGTTTTGGATACTATTGGGGAGGACAAGGGATGGTGGAAAGGGTCGATTAATGGAGGGCCTGTAAGTTTAATTTTTAAAAATCTCCTTATAAGAGACCAGGGATGTATGCTAAATTTTTAGGATTTTAAAACACGTCAAAAAACCTCTATTTCAGATATACTTTTTGTTGGGCATTGAGTGGGGGAAAAGAGTGGGATCCCCCCAACCTACTCCACTGGTTTGGGGGAGTTGCCTAAAAAGAGCTTCCCTCTATTTAAGATATACATCCTTATCTTAGCATAAAAACCTCTTTATAAGTTTATTTAAGAGATGTACTACTAGTTTGGGAAACTGTCTAAGCGATACTCCTCTATTTAATTTATGGTTGTCAGATCCGTATCTGAAAAAATGCCGGATATCCGGAAATTTTCGGTACCGGATTATTTATACTCTCTCATAAAGCACTGGATTCTAGGCCCACGAGCATATCTTATAGGGAGATCTAACTATTCTTTTAATTTTCCCTTTTTTAGTCAGCCTACTTTCCATTTTCTTATGTTAAACCAGAACAAAATTACCTGGAAGGAGAAGCTTTAGAAGGTCACAGAGTTCAGCAACTACAACAACAACAACGGCAACAACTTTTATTATTTCCCCAACATCATCAACGTCACCCATCTTCAAATAATAATGGACAACAACAACAAATTCCTTTAAATTTTGAAGAAGAATTAGAGGAACGTTGTAACAATAATCGTTGTGAGGAGTAAGTACGATGATGAGTTGTTTTTGTGTGTGTGGATAAAGCCCCCTACTCCCCATTGCGAATCCATTCCATCGTTGCGAATCTGACCACTCTTCTAATGGTGTTTTAAATTCTGCCTATTTCAAGTTGTATCAAAAAATCATACTTAACAGGGATGGGTCGGGATGAGAAAAAGGTCGTGTCAGTGTTTCCAAAATTTTCTTTAGGATTGGATTTGGGTCGAAAAAATTTTGGTGTTGGATATAGTTTTTCGGATAATCCGGCCCATCCCTGATATTTAGGATGTCTTGCATTCTTTAAAAAAATTTTTTAACGAATGATTTTGAGTGCTTTTTGCGTCAAAATGTGTGGGGGGTTTCGCAGCGATGGATTTAGCATGCTTCAATATTTTGAGGGTTTTTTATATTAAAAAAAGATTCTTTTATATTTTTAATTAGAAAAATATACATATATATTTTAAAAACAGGCCATTATTTTTATCTTAAAAAATTTTTTTAAATTTAATCTCTTTTAAGTATCATGTGCATTTTTTCTATGCCTTATTCACGCCTTGCTTTTTTTTTGTAAAGCCTTGACTTAAAAAAGAATTTTTTCTTAAAATATTTTTATATCTGCCTATAAAAATTAATGTGAAAATTATTATATTAATCAATTTAAAATCTCCCTCTATATTTTATCCTTCCTCGGTTAATTTAAAAATTTTTCTCAGATATTCCCGGAGGAACTTGTTATCTTTTGATCGATTCTTTCTAATCTTTAGTAGGGTTCAGGGCAGTTCTGTCCGAAAGATCGAGCCGGGCATCGAATCTTGGCCCGAAGGACTCGGTTCCGACTCGATAAAAATAAGGCTCGGTAACGACTTGGTCGATCCTGTCCGATAGAAATGAGGTCCGAAAACCCCATCACTATTTTTTAGCCTTTTTTTTTTAAGTCTTCCTTCAACTATAATTCTTTGTTGTGATAGGTTAGAGAGATTTTAAATTTTCTATTTTGTTTGCATAGTCAATCCCTTATATAAATATAGTAGAGACCGGACTGGAGAAGAAGCCTAATACGAGAATCGCTATCTCATCTCTTTCGACGTTGATTTTTGTTGACCATCTTTTCCCGGTCCGGTCTCTACTTTATTAGTTAACTGCTATATTTTTTTAGTTAATTTTTTTTAAATTGCCCACATCTCATTCCATGTATTTTTAAATTTTTTGGATGAAAGATTTGATATATATAAATTTTTTAAATTAAAATTTTGTGTTTGTTTAGATAGGGGAAAAATTTTTGCTGCTAATATGTAGTTGCGGACAAACGAGTACTGTTAGAGCTTTAGATATCATTAATGGATATATATTAGACTTGACTCAGTGAACATTCTTCCCAACTTAAATAGGTTTCGGTTTCGTCCGCAAAAATATTTTGTCCGCAAATGTTGTCCGCAAAAAAATTTTTGTCCGCAAATTTGTGGTAATTTAAGTTTAAAAAAATTAAAAAAAAATTATTTTTTTATTCAACAAAAATAAAAACAAAAATTTAAATATTTAAATAAAAAAATAGGCAGCATAATAAGGAAAGAGGTCAGTTAACAAAAAATATTTAATTGAAGGAAATTGAAAATAAAAAAATTCAAAAATATTGTGAATAAAGGATAATAAAAATAATTTATTTTTACTAGAATGTCGTTGATTTTTAATATTTAAATTATCCGGCAAACATTTTCTAGTTGTTAAATCAACAAATAAATACCCTTCATTTTTTATTTTGCTAAATTTGTCGGTTGAACCGTCATCCCCGTCAAATTGAAATAGTGGAGGGGAAGAAGAGTCTTCCAAGTGATCTTTTAATGTTGAAGTCATCCGCCAATTTGAGATTATACTATAAAATACCTAATTTTATTAATGTTTAGTACCATTTTGTCGTTTTTTTCCCTAAGTACCATTTTGTCGTATTTTACCCTAAGTTCTGTTTTGTCGATTTTTACCCTATGTACCATTCTGTCGCGTTTTACCCTAAGTACCATTTCGTCGAATTTTCACCCTTTGTACCATTTTGTCAAATTTTACCCTAAGTTCCATTTTGTCAAGTTTTCCCTATGTACCATTTTGTCGAGTTTTACCCTAAGTACCATTTTGTTGAAACTCTTATAAGTTCTATAGGCTTTAAATAATTTACCTATAATTTATCTGACCACATTCAACGCCAAATGCTTTTTGAATACATAAACGATTCATTACATTATTGTCCTTTAATTTAAATATTTTTAAATTTCTATTGAAGACTTACAGTAGCAAAATTATTTAATAAAAATTCTGCCGCGGATTCAAAGAATTTTTTTGTTGAATTTGCTGAACGAACAAAAAAGTATCCTCCAGCTATCTTTAAAATAAAAAAATTTTTAGGTGTGAGAAACATTTGCGGACAAAATTTGCGGACATTGACTATAAGGACATTCATAAATGTCGATGTGCGCAAATGTCTGTGTTCGCAAATGTCCGATGTTTCCAACTGTATATGTTCGCATCTGTCTATGTTCGCAAACGTCGTTTCCTCCCAAATGTCGCTTTTCCCAACTGTCTATGTTCTCAAATGTCGTTGTCCGCAAATGTCCAATTTTAAATTTAAATTCCCTACCATATACCGTAGTAATCCTTCAGAGCCTTCACTATCAAAAATAATTCCAGCATTAATAAATTCCTGACTTTCCGTATCAATAATTTCAAAAAGATTTTCTTTCCAAATTGTGTCTGCTTGAACCATCCAAAATTGATCAGTGACCTCAGTTAGAAGAGAAACCAGTTTAGCTCGAAAATATTGAAAAACTTGGTAACGACCATCACCCGACGAGAATTTTTCTTCCTTTTAAAGAAAAGAGTAACTTTTTGTGGAATCTTACTCTATATTCCATTTTGTCGAATTTTGCCCTATGTTCCGTTTTGTCGGATTTTTATACTATGTTGTATTTTGTCGAATTTTACCCGTGTTCCGTTTTGTCGAGATTTACCCCAAGTTCTATTTTGTCAAATTTTGTCCTATGTACCATTTTGTCGAAGTTTCCCCTATGTCCCGTTTTGTCAAATTTTAAAAATTCATTTACCAAGGATGGAATATTCCAATACACAATTCCCCCAATATCTGTAAATGATTCCTTCAAAATTTGATGAGAATAAGAGTCAAATACAACAGCAACAATATGGTCAACAGCACCGGGAAATTTACGAAGATTGCAGAGAAAGTTGAGAGAAATGTTTAAAGCATACTGTAAATTAGATAATTTTAAAATTATTTAAACGACAAAATTGGACAATAGACAAGTGTCAAATGGTCTAATTGACAAAAGATCTATTGACAAAAGGTTTAAGGACAAAAGGCCTATGGACAAAATGGCTATGGACAAAAGGTCTATGGACAAAAGTCTATGGACAAAATGGCTATGGACAAAATGTCTCTGGACAAAATGCCCACAAAGGTTTTTTTGACATAGTTGATCCTTTACCACTGAGCCTTCAATTTTTACCTTATTTAGTAAGAGAATTGCAGGTGTTTTACTATCATTCATATTGTTTAAAGTCTGAAAATGAGAGATTTTACTGAAATGATGTTTAAAAATCCACTTTTACCTTCCTAAATTGTTCTCTATAATCATTTAATTCGTTTTGGTTATTAAATAAACTTTTACTCTGTTCGGTAAGAAAATTCTGTATTTTCGAAACCCTTCGCATTTTTGTGTAGAAAAATATCGAAATAAGTAAAATAGCTAAATGTATAAAACGAAATCGAAGCTGGCGCATCATTAGACTCTAAATATATAAAAAGATAATAGATAAAGAGGAGACTGTTTAAAGGAGAGAGAAAAATGTTTTTCCGGAATAATGTTTGAATTATTAGTTAGAGAAAAAACATTCCTAATTTGTTTTGTTCGTATAGAAAAATAGTTTTCCGTATAGAACAATGTTTTAGTGAGATAAACAAATGTTTTTCCGGAATGTTTCTGTGTTGTGTTAGAGAAGGAATAAAAAAGTTTTCCGGAAAATGTTTATGTTTAGCATGAGAAATGTTTTCCGGAAAAGATTCATGTTTGAATTTATATGTTTTTCCGGATAGTTTGTTTTGTTAGAGAAATAAATAATGTTTTTCCGGAAAATGTTTTTGTGTTGTGTTAAAACATGAGACGTATGTTTTTCCGGAATGGACTAAACTGGTTAGAAATGTTTTTCCGGATCGTGTTTCTGTTGTGTTAGAGAAAGAATAAATAAAATCTTTCCGGATTGTTTGTTTGTTTTGTTAGAGAAATAAACAAATGTTTTTCCGGAATGTTTCTGTGTTTCAGTTAGTACTCTCCAGCTAACAATATTAAACAAATAAAATCAATCAACTTTCCGGATTAAACAAAAATTAAGTAACTACAAACAAGTAAATAAAGGGGGATGTTTTTAACTTGTTTATCGGCTTGTTTAATCTCTCCGTTTCTAGATCCTTTTCTCTTGATTTGTGTTCGTCTGTTTTCTTCTTCGTTTGCTTTCGTGTTCTTTCATCATTTAAAAATCAAGATACGAGAAAAATTCAAAAAATGATTTTAAAATTTATTTTTCTCTTTTCTATAAATTTATTAATTAACCCCTCTTCAATAGACGGTGCAAAATTAGGGAAAAATATTAAAATTTTAGGTAAAATTCCGTCATATCACCGGAAACCGATTCGTACAAATGATATGTCATTCGAAAGAGCTCAGCGAGCTGAGTCGAACGACACCAAAATTAGCTTCGGGACTCACATATGGGCCGAGATATAGGTCCCCGAAAATCGAAAAACAAAGGGGGGAGTAAGTCGATTTTGGGGTGAAAAAATCGAATATGTAAATTATACCTCATTCGAAAGAGCTTGTCGAGCTGAGTCGAATGACCTTAAAATCATTGAAATCTGACTTGATTTAACGAAGTTATGATCGTTTCTTTTAGCTCCTTACCTATGGTCTCCGCGGAGGTTTTTGTTACGGAGGAAGCCAGGCATGCCCATCTCATCGATGATAGGAATAGGATTAAGTTACGAGCCCAGAACCCAGCGACCGTAGACTCCCCGCGAGGCGCGTGCCGCAAAACTCCGCGCGAAGCGCGGAGTTTTGCACAAGCGCCTCGCCAACGCCCCATAGGTTACGTTGACCATTTTGAGCCTCATTATCTCGGCTCAGAATAAAGATCTCGAGCTGATTTTGGTGTCATTCGACTCAGCTCGAGGAGCACTTTCGAATGAGCTATCAACCAAAAAATCGAATTTTTCACCCCAAAATTGAGCTTACTCCCCCCTATGGTTTTACGAATTTCAGGGACCTATATCTCGGCCCATATGCGAGTCCCGAAGCTAATTTTGGTGTCGTTCGATTCAGCTCGTTGAGCTCTCTCGAATGACATATCATTTGTCCGAATCGGTTTCCGGTAGATATGACGGAATTTTTCCAAATTTTAAATAAAACATCAAATTTTGCCAGTCTTGACTTGACTAAAAGGCCTCTAAATTTTTATATAATAGCTAATGGAAAACATGCAGTGGTTTTAAATAAGAGTTTGAATTTGAATGGATCAGAAGTCGATTATAGTTAAGATTTTTGGTAAATTGAAATTCGTTCCTCTAATAATAAAATGGCTAGACTTAAAATATGGTACAAACATTACTTTATTAAGTACCCTTACTTATTTAGAACCACCCGAAAATCTAGAACTAAAAAAATCGGGAATTCCCGATTCCCTAATTCGGGAATTTAATAATTAATTTTATCCTTGGTGTGTACTACTGCTATTTCCAATAGAATGGATTGATTATAGACCAGCATTTTATTATACCCTATTCTAAAAAACTAATTATGGGGATAGAAAGCCCTACTCACCCTAAATTGTGGTTCTAATGTTCCAATGTTCATAACGTAATGTTTTACCCCATTTTTTACAACAGTTTATTCTCGGGAGAACGAATTTCAATTTCACCTTTTTTATTCTTTAAAATCCCATTTTAATTTAACAGAAATATCTCATCCTCCCTTTCTCATTAAAAATAGAGGTTCCGTCATTTTACTGGATAATGGTCAGTTATTAAAATACTCTCTAATCACTCGATTATTTAAAAGATAATTCCTGGAATTCTGGTTACCCCTCACTTATACAAATGCTGGCAGCTAGTGGACACTCTACTTTGGCTATAGAAGGTGGAAATTTTGAAGAAATTGAAAAAGTAGTCAAGTGGGAGGAGCTTCATGAAATTTTACTTTTGGGGGTTGGAAAGAAAGGAACTCAATTAATTTTGGATTTGATTGAAAAGTAGGTTGATTGGGAGGCTTTTGGTATAAGCTGAAGAAAAAAATGCTAGTTTTAAGGCTCTAACTTTCTTAACTAGAAATCTAAATTATTCATTTAAGGTCTATTTTGTAGTAAATTTAATTATCTATAGTATGATAATAAATTTTTAAAGATTGCTCAATCCAATTGGAAGATATGGGGGTTGAAGAAAATATGGTCATTCCCCACAACTTTTACCAATTTTACGACTTCTCAGAATAATCCAAAATATTTATTTTTGGTTTATCTTGTAGATCATTTAATTCTCTATCGAATGGTATAAAATTAAAAAAAATCGGTCAATCCATTCGGGAGATATGGTGGTTGGAGTAAGCGTGATCCACTAAGGAAAGAGATAAGAAATTAAGTTTATCCGACATTTGCGAACATCAAGCATAAGGCGACATTTGCGAACACTCACTAACGCAAATTAGTTTTCAATTATTTTCAGAGTTCCCAGAATCAAAGAAGAATTAAATTCAGTATTATTAATAAATCCTCCAAAGACATTCTCAAATAAAATTGAAGAATATTCTAAAGAAAATGGAGATAGAATTTATTGGATATTGTTAAAAAAAGAAGTTGAGTGGTTTAATAAGGATAATTTAAAAGAAATTAATTTTGAATGGAATCAGGAAAAGAAGGAAAGTATTGAAAAGTTGGCACAAATTAGTGTTAATTTACTTGATTTTATTCATCCACGTTGATTAATTGAATTGAGAAATTTAAAAATAAATATTTCGCCGAGTCAAAAAATAATTCGACAATTAAATATTGTTCTATATCTTATGGTATATTAATTGGGTACATGTCGGGCTCGTATTTTAGATTCGATTTGAATGACCCTTGTCCCAAAAAAATAGAATATTTATTTCATTTTCGACTCGATATCAATATAATTTAAACGTCATAAAAAATAATGATTTTTTTAGTTCTATCATAATATTTTTTTCAAAAGTTATTCAAAACTTTCCAAAAGTAGGTATTATATACAGCTTTTAATGCTCTATCGAATGAGCTAAAAATGTCCCTAAAAATGGTGAAGGAACAAAAATGTTTTTGGGGTTTGTTCCAAAAATGGAGCGGCGGAATATTTTTTTGACTTGTACCTATTCTAAATTATTTCCTATTTTGATGCTCTTTGATGCTATTAATGATGCTCTTTCTAATCATCGTGAAGTTTTATTCAATGTTTAGTGTCCAAAAATTCTTTTATCAAATTAATTTTCTACAATTTGTGTTTTTATTTTGTTTATCACGGAATCTTTTTCCTTAACATATCTTTCGTAATCATCAATTAATTGGTTAGGAAGTCGTCCTTTCCATCTTCCCAAGTAAGCATCAATGCCGCCAGATTGTTCTTTCAGCTTTAAAGAAGATTTTTATGGGGAATCTGAGGTCAATTATTTAAACGACATTTGGGGACAATAGTCATAATACGACATTTGCGAACATAAAGTAAAAGCGACATTTGCAAACATTAATTATAGACTGACGTTTGAGAACATCAATGATTAGGCGACATATACATATGGACAAAAATTTTATGTGCTAATCCACAAGCCAAATACCCCAATCCGCAAATGCCGTTTAAACATTATCTTCAAACCTTTCTTAAATGTGACGTCCTGACAGGGCAATTACAGTAGTGTTTTTCAATGCCTTCAAATTAAGAGTTTATCTCCTTTTAAATATCTAAAAGAACCTGGGAATCCCTCATCTCCAACAGGCCCTACAGGTCCTGTCTGACCATCCGGCCCATTCTCTCCAGGCAAACCTTGCCTTAAATTTAGAGAAATTTTACAGAATTTTCGATATTTTACATACCATCCAGCCTCACCAGGAGGACCATTTTCTCCTTTTACTCCTTCATCTCCAGGCAATCCGGATGGGCCTGCTTGCCCTATTGGTCCTTTCTGGCCTTGAGGTCCTTTTGAATATTTAATTCCTGGCACTCCAGGAAATCCTTTAAAGAGAGATTTTAATTTTAATTATGTCGACCCTCACTATAAGATACAGCCTATAGGTTTCATCCATAGTCCGAAGGGAACACCTTTGGTTGAAGCAAACAACTATTGTCCGAGGGGAACATCCTTGGTCCGAAGGAAACGTCCATAATCCGAAGGGAACATCTAAGTCCGAAAGGAACACAGCCCATTTTATAGTGAGTTCCGATTGTACTCTCCCCCCCCCCCCTCCCCTCTTCTTTAATTACCAGGCTCTCCATCCATTCCATTAACTCCATCCAATCCTTTATCTCCAATAAGTCCAGGCTTTCCAGGCAATGCCTTTTTGGCTTTTCCAGGCTTAAAAATTATATTCAAATTTATTTTTATTTTTAAAAACCAATCCAGGTATTCCAGCTTCTCCTTTAATTCCAGGGACACCTATTTCTCCTGGAAGACCAGGTGGACCAGCTGGGCATTTAATACAGCCAGAGTCTTTTAAGTTAGTTTCCTGTTCTTCTGTTGACTGTCCGGGCTTTCCTGGCTCTCCATTCTGTCCTGGTACTGAAAAATGAAAGAATGTTTAAAATGGTCAATCATAAAAACGTGCAACTTAGCTTACTTCCATCAATCCCCGCCAATCCTTTTTCTCCAGGAGGCCCTTTTTCGCATTTTAGTGCCACAGAAAATACTTTCTCCTTTGGCTTTTTCTCTTGTATTCCTTGTATAGTTCCATAAGAAAATGTCCTAGCCCTTGGAGCAATAAAATTCGAACTGATTTGATTGCCCTCCAATTGCTCCCGTAAATTTGAATGTTGTCTGAGTCGTTGACGGCCTTTGAAAGATTCTGAAAAAATTTTTGAAATTATAGTCCGAAAGGAACATTCTTAGTTTGAAGGGAACATCAATGATCTGAAGGGAACTATATAGTGTGAAGGGGAAATCCATAGTTCGAACGGAACCTTGAAAGAGGGGACCTATGTATTCTAAAAGGAACATCTATATTCCGAAGGGAACATCCTGTCTGAAGGGGGAACATTGAACGTTTGAGAGGGCATCTATAGTCCGAAGGGAACCCATATCTAAAAGACTAGTCTGTGGGGAACATTATAATCCGAAGGGAACATTAAAGAATATTATTAAACTTCTTTCCAAAAAGTCGAGAAATCGTTTGCTTTCACTCCCATTAAGAGGCGATTCTCGTTCAGTTCTCCTTTTAAGTTGCAACAGTCTTGAGTAAGTATTCTTTCCATTAAAAGATCCGCGAATATAAATTAATTGTTGCCATATTTCTTTTGCCATTTGCTATAAAATCAGAAAAGTTAGTGTAGAAACGGTTGAGATTATTTAGAGGTAATTGGGCGTTGTGGTCTTTCCCTTCCCTATTACCTCCTTATTTTAATAAATTAATATCTCTCGAATGGATTAACCAATCCTGGTGTTTTTGATATTTTTGGATAGGGAATACTATTACTTAAGCATAATGATTACTCTTTTTTGATAGTACATTACGGTAGAAACAACTTTCCTATAACGTAAATGTCCGCAAATGATGTCCGCAAATATTTTTGTCCGCAAATTTCTCCCCTCCCCTATACCAAACAAAAATTAAAAATATTTTTTACATTAAAAATTTTTCTTTCATTATTAGCAATTTCATTTAATTCATCCAATTCAGATATCAAAATAGGTATAATTAAAGACAAAATACAAAAAGCAATAGCTGTAAGGGCTAAAGAAAGGATATAGAGACGTTGAATATTTAAATCCTCTTTGGTGGGGGAATTATTTAGGGAAGGCTTATTAATAATTTTTTGTATTCCTACAAGCTTTTGGAATGATGAAATTAATTTTAACATTTTTTTCTGAAAAAAAAATAAAAAAATTTTTTAATAGAAAAAATATTTGTGGATAAATATGTAGATGCGGACAAAACAGAAAAACTCCTATTTAAATTAAACGAGTATCAGAATTAAAAATCAGAAAAAACAAAAATAAAAATCAGAATAAAAACCAGAAAAGATCAAAAAAGAATCAGGATTAATATTAGAAATATAAAAAAACAAAATAAAAATGTTTCTCAACCCAGCGGATTCGAACCTCGGTAGAATGAGACTTTCAGTCGGCAACGTTACCACTACACCACAGACTAATCAAATTAACTTCTCAAATAAAACTAAATAAAGAGATGAATAAACATATGAATAATAATCCCCCAAGAGCCTCTTAATTAATCAGAAAAATCAGAATTTAACGTCAGAAAATCAGAATAAATTTAAATAAAAAATAAATTTAAATAAATTCCTCTATATAATTAAATATATCCGGATTATAAAGAAAAGCGGTATATTTACTTTAAAAGAAAATAAAAGTAAAAATGTTCTTTTAAAAGCATTATTGGTGTGCGGCATTTTTTTCAATTTACTTATCGGAGATCAAGATCAACAAAAAAATAAAAAAATATTTTTAAATATCCTTTTATGAAATATAACAATTAATCAAAATTTTAATATTTTTGCGGACATAAAAGACACCTATAAAAAAATAAAAAGTGTCCGCAAATGTTGTCCGCAAAAAAATTTTTTGTCCGCAAAAAATTTTGCGGACAAAATCTTTTTATTTTTTCACAAAATTAATTAACATTTATTAATTCCAATTAAATATTCTTTTATTCGTTCAGCCTCTCTTTGTCCACTTTCAAAAGCTCCAATGGTTGTTTGGAATATTTGACTGTGTGTCCCCTCTCCAGCAAACAATAATTTTAATTTTTGATCCTTTTTTGAATATATTGGTTCTGCCAAAATAGAGAAGGGGTCATCAGAAATTAGACTTGATTCAGGTGTTATATATGTATATGAACCAAGAAAGTTTTGGTCATTTAGCCATTTTGTGCTTAAATTTATTTTAAAATTATTCACTCATCCCGAGGTCATTTTTTGGCCCACAACTTTTTTGCTTATCGTCCGATCAGAATAATTCTTGTACCATTCGAAAGCTCTGGATATCCTGATTCTTTTTCCTAACAGGACTATTCCTGTCAGAAAATCCAATAAAAAGTTATAGCCAGATAAGTGCCGACAATCGTGATTTTTTAGCATTATCAGGCTATAACTATTTTATATAATAACTGATAAGAAAGGTTCTATTAAGGAAAAGAATGAGCACTTCAAGAGCTTTCTATTGTTACAAAATTTTAATCAAAACCAACAATAACTGAAAAAGTTATGGATCAAAAACAGCATCGGTCTTCCAAAAATTACCGAATTATTTTAACTGGAGGTCGAATATTTCTATCTTGTAATACTTCTCTCAGATGCTTTGTTATTAAATCGGATAACATTGAATCGGTTAAAGCATTTACTAGTCGAGGACCATTACCGGAAAGCCAGAGAACAAGAATCTTAAATAAAATGTAAAATACAGAACACCTATAGGATCAACAATAATCAGACAAATCAGAATAAATTCTGGCAAAAGCAGAATAAACGACTATACAAGGGCAGGTCAAAAAATCAGAACAGAATCGGAACAACCCGGAATAAATTGGTGTACCCTCCAGACTGGGGGTGTTCCCTTCGGATCATAGATGTTCTCCTCAGACTATTGATGTTCCCTTCTGACATGAACGTTCCCTTCGGACTATGAATCTGCTCTTCGGACTGTAGATGTTCCTTTCAGACTACGGATGTTCCCTTCGGACTATAGATGTTCCCTTCGGATTACAAATGTTCCTCTCGGACTATGGATTTTCCAGATAATTTCTGAATGTATCCATCACTCAATATTAATTTTTAATCCTCACCCTATTCTTTGCCCAAGGATGTGGTTGTAATGTGTGAAGACTGTCTCTAATCCTTCCTTCCTCCTCCTCTTCACAATTACAATTCAAAGCTATTAAAGACGTCATATTTTCAGGCCAAAAGGGTTTATCATAGACCAGAAAAACTTTTTCCATACTTCCAAAGCCTATAGCTTCAATTATTTTTAATTTATGTTTTGGAAGTTGAGGGAGGAACATTGTTGAAGAAAATTGTTTTAAATGTCCGATGGGTACTGTAATCTTAAAAGAAAAAATTTTTGAAAATATTTCAGAATTTATTACAATAACAAAGTCAAAATGTGTAGATAACCATTCTTCTTCCATTAAATTCTGATCATTATTTGTTTTTTGCAACTTCAAACGAACATGTTTGCCTAAAAACAGAAGCAAAAATAAAATCAGAAAAACAAGTAGTAATTAGTTTGTTTTAATTTAATTCTGATTTTAAAATTAAGTTTTAACTATGTTCTGATTTTAAAATTCTGTTTTAATTATATTCTGATCTTAAATTTCTGATTTAATTCTGATTTTAAAATTCCAAGTTCTGATTATGTTTTTATTTAATTCTGATAATATTCTGATTTCTAACTCTGATTTTAAAATTCTGTTTTAATTGTGTTCTGATCTTGTTTTAATTTAATTCTGATTTTTTTCTGAAAGTTCTGATTTTAAAAGTAAGTTTTAATTGTGTTCTGATTTTAAATTTCTGGTTTAATTCTGATTTTTAATTTTTCGATTTTAATTCTGATTTTAAAATTCTAGGTTCTGATTATGTTTTAATTTAATTCTGATAATATTCTGATTTTTAATTCTGATCTTAAAATTCTGTTTTAATTGTGTTCTGATTTTGTTATAATTTAATTCTGATTTTTCTGTCTTATTTTCTGATTTTAATTTTGTTAGATATTCTGATTTAAATTCTGGTTTTAAAATTCTGATTTTATTCCTAATTCTGATTTTAATTCTGATTCCCTGTCTAATTTAATTCTGAAAAATATTCTGATTTTTAATTCTGATTTTGTTCCCCTACATTCTGGTTTTATTCCAAAACCAGAACAAACACTAACTCTTGATATTCTGAAAGTTGATCTTATGGATACACTTTAAATAAAATTAATTATTCCCTTTCCCCTCTTCACCTCTATAATCAATCTGTACAACACGTGAATTTAAATTTAATTTATTGACTGGCACGTTCTCAGCCATTTCAGCCAAAATAGGGGCATAACCACGTGAATTTAAGGTAAATGAACTGAAAGGGAAAGATTTACTTCCATCTTTCCATTTAACATAGTTGTGAAGGGCCAATTTGTCTATAGGGGCAGACCATTCTCCTTCATAATATCCACGGTAAATTTTGGCTAGACTGTTATATTGAAGTCTATCTTCTTTTGAGGCGTTCATCTTCTGAAAAATACAGACTGGGATTTTTGCGGACTGACATTTGCGGATAAAATAGAAATGCTGACGCAAATGTCGGATTTTACCTCATGTTCGCAGATGTCGTATTATAGCTAATGTTCTCAAATGTCGGATTTTAGCTGATGCCCGCAAATGTCGTATTTTACCCAATGTTCGCAAATGTCGCATTATACCTAATGTTCGCAACTGTCGAACTCACCTTCAAAAATTCTTCATAATCCCTATCAAAAACTTGAGCGACTGTTTTGCTCCAAATCTCTCGATTATCCATAGCCATTTCAGCATATTTCAATTCAAGAAAAGAGCTAAACTCTGCAAATTTGTCTAATTTGTCTTGAGAAATTTGACAAGTTGGAGAAGAAACAAATTGTGCATCTTCAGAAATTAGAGCAGAATCGTCCACTTCTCCTGTAATTAACTAAAAAAGAGTGGGGAAAAATTTTAAAAGGCGGGAAAATTTTTGAAAAAATTTTTGAAGACTAAAATTTATCCAAAAAACAAAATATAATCAAAATAAAAATAAATTTCCACAGCGGGGTTCGAACCATCGACCTCTATAATCTGATTCCCGCGCTCTTACCCATTACACCAAAACAACTCTTACAAGATTTATTTAATTAAACATTAGATAGCCTTATAAAATAATTACCCCAAGTCGTCTGGCAGCTTTATAAATTGCATTATCTTCTCCATTGATAAATTCAGCGCCTTGTTGAAGAAATATTCCTTCTTAAATTAAAAAATATTCTAAAATTATTCTACAATATTTTTTACCAAATTCCAAAGGATAAACTCTTCCACCAACTCTATTTGAAGCTTCAAATATTTGGACATTGTGTAAACCAATTGAAGATAGATGATTAAAGGCTGATAGACCTTTCAAAGTAAACGAATGATATTTGTAATCAACTCGAAGGGGAGATGAGAAGGTACCATTTGAGGTATCCCATCTACAGGATAATTCAGAGATTGGAGTATCTAAGGATGGGATAAGAGGGAGATTAGGAGAACTAAGGAGAGATAACTGCCAGAGTTTGGGACAGGTAAGGCTGGGAGGGATAGTTAGTATGCCCGGAATCGGAATAGTCTGCAGAATCAATCCGCAAATTTTTTAATGCCCTACCAGAAAATCCAGCGCCAATAATAGCAACAGATACATTCAACAAAGAACAATTTTCTTTTAAATCGTTAAAAACCTCCGGCCCTGTCAGGAAACCTTCATCAGCAATTGTCTAATAATTATTTTATTTAATTCTATTTAATTTTCCCTTACCAATAAATTTATTACTGTTATTAATTGAAGGAAAAAACGCATGCACCGCAGTACAAATATTAAAAATGAATGGGGAGATGGGAAGGGAAGGAGAGAATTAAGTATATGGAACGATAATTAATTACTAAATATGGGACGTATTAAATATTAAGTCTGGGGAGGCAAAAAGTTTTAAAAAATCAATTTGGGGATTTGTCCGCAAATGTTGTCCGCAAAAATACAAAAAAATGTCCACACCACACCAACCACAAGTCAGTCTACGCCGCATAACTAAGGAAAGACTAAACCGATTAGAATACTTTTGGTATCTTTCGATAGGGAATTAAATTAACTACAAATTTGGAAAATTTTAAAATTTTAGGTTAATAGACAAAAAAGTTATGACCAAAAAACACACAAAAAAGGTCATTTTTTCAAGTTTTTTGACCATAATTTTTTTCACGATTATTCAAAAATTCTGATTTTTTAAATTTTTATAGAGCATTTAATTCTCTATCAAAAAATATCTAAAACACAAAAATAGGTCAGTCCAATCGAGAGATATATTAACTAGAACCACATGATAATGGGAAGGAACAAAACACACCCAAATGCACTCAAATATTCGAAGAACTTTTTTTGTTTACTTAATTACCCGTGTAAATTGTTCAAATTTATTTTGTCAACGAAAAAAAAATGAAATTTAATGTCAACTCTCGAGATATTTACAATTAAATTAATTAACTTGTGTTTGTCTGTCAAAAAATGTTCAAATAATAAATTAAAGTGGAAAAATTAAATGAAAATAATGTTCTAATAAATAAAAAAATTAGGAAATTTCTTCAGATTAAAATTTATCAAAAAGAAACAATTTTTAATTAAAATAAAAATTATTTTCCATGAGTGGGATTCGAACCCCCGACCTATTTTGTGCTACAACCAAGCCCTTTCCGACTACACCATGGAGAACATTTTTCTGGCAAAATTTTTTTGGCATTTTTTGACAAAAAGACACAACAAAAATAGTTTTTTTTATAAATATGGAAAATCAGAAAATCAGAATTTTTAAACTAAAGCACAAGTATTGCTTCTTCTCGTATTCTTCCCAGAACCTCCCTCAACCGAAATAAATTTACAGGGTAATAACCCGTTGTTTCTAAGTATTGAACGAATTTTTGGAGTAGATAAAGCATATAATAAAGGGTTAAATGTTGAGCAGGAATAATTTAACCATAAACACAAACGAAAAACTCGATCAGAAATTAAATGGGGAAGAAATAGGCGAAGAGGCCAAACAATTAGAAACGGAAACCTTTAAAGAATATGTGTTTTAAATTTAAATAAATTCAGAATTTTTTCAGAATTTGTATTTTAGTTATTCTGAAATTGTGTATTTTTTCAATTTAATATTGTTTTCAGAACTTTTAAAGAAAACACAAATTCTGATTTTTGTATTTCAGAAAATTAATATTTCAGAATTTGTGTTTTTGTTAATTAATATTTCAGAATTTGTATTTTTTCAGAAAAATTGTGTTTTTCGTTTAATATTTTTCAGAATTTTTAATTCTGCTTGTTTATCAGAATATGTGTTTTCTTTGTGTTTTCTTTATAATTCTGTTTTTTCAACTTACCAGCAAAGCAGAAAACAACACAAAATTAAGGCAACTGCTTTTGCCGCTTTTACTTGTTGCGTAACCCCCTCCCTTTGTAATATTAAAGCAATATTTTCAGAAAATGTGATTATTGAAAAACGGGCAGAAGAAAGTCGTCTTTGTTGCAAAGGTTTGTTTAAAAGGGAGGATTGTTTGAATAAATTGGAAGAAGAGTCTTCCTCTTCTTCTTCATTTTCTTCTTCAGAAATTGAAAATGTTGGGGCTATTGAACAGAGGGAGTCTTTCTGTTGTTTTTCTTTGTTCTGAAAAAAATTTTTATTAAAATATTCTGATGCGAAGAGTAACAATACACCAACCACTAGTCAGTCTAGGCCACATAACTAAAGAAAGACTGAACCGATTGGAATAATTTTGGTATCATTCGATAGAGAATTAAATTGGCTACAAATTTGGAAAATTTCAAAATTTTAGGTTAATAGACAAAAAAGTTATGGCCAAAAAACACACAAAAAAGGTCGTATTTTCAAGTTTATTGACCATAACTTTTTTAAGTATTTTTCAAAAATTTTAATTTTTAATCATTTCATAGAGCATTTAATTCTCTATCAAAAAATATCTAAAACACAAAAATAGGTCAGTCCAATCGAGAGATATATTAACTAGAACCACCTGATAATAGGAAGGAACAAAACACACCCAAATGCACTCAAATATTCGAAGAACTTTTTTTGTTTACTTAATTACCCGTGTAATTGTTCAAATTTATTTTGTCAACGAAAAAAAATGAAATTTAATGTCAACATTCGAGATATTTACAATTAAATTAATTAATTTGTGTTTGTCTGTCAAAAAATGTTCAAATAATAAATTAAAGTGGAAAAATTAAATGAAAATAATGTTCAAATAAATAGAAAAATTTTAGGAAATTTTTTCAAATTAAAATTTATAAGAAAAAAACAAATTTTAATTAAAATAAAAATTGTTTTCCATGAGTGGGATTCGAACCCGCGACCTATTTTGTGCTATAACCACGCCCTTTCCGACTACACCAAAGAGGACATTTTTCTGCCAAAATAATTTTTTGGCATTTTTTGACAAAAAGACATAATAAAAAAATTATTTTTTATAAATATGGAAAATCAGAAAAAATAATTATTTTTTAGACTAAAGCACAAGTATTGCTTCTCCTCGTATTCTTCCCAGAACCTCCCTCAACAGAAATAAATTTGCAGGGTAATAACCCGTTGTTTCTAAGTATTGAACGAATTTTTGGAGTAGATAAAGCATACAATAAAGGGTTAAATGTTGAGCAGGAATAATTTAACCATAAACACAAACGAAAAACTCGATCAGAAATTAAATGGGGAAGAAATAGGCGAAGAGGCCAAACAATTAGAAACGGAAACCTTTAATAGAGAAAATAAATACATTAATGTGTTTTAAATTTAAATTCAGAATTTTTTTCAGAATTTGTATTTTATTTATTCTGAAATTGTGTATTTTTTTCAATTTAATATTGTTTTCAGAACTTTTAAAGAAAACACAAATTCTGATTTTAATATTTCAGATATTAATAATTTCAGAATTTGTGTTTTTGTTAATTAATATATCAGAATTTGTTTTTTCCGGAAAAATTGTGTTTTTCATTTAATATTTTTCAGAATTTTTAATTCTGCTCTTTATCAGAATATGTGTTTTCTTTGTGTTTTCTTTAAAATTCTGTGTATTTTTTCAACTTACCAACAAAGCAGAAAACAACACAAAATTAATGCAACTGCTTTCGCAGCCTTGACTTGTTGTGTAACCCCCTCCCTTTGCAATATCAAAGCAATATTTTCAGAAAATGTAATTATTGAAAAACGGGCAGAAGAAAATCGTCTTTGTTGTAAAGGCTTGTTTAAAAGGGAGGATTGTTTAAATAAATTGGAAGATGAATCCTCCTCTTCTTCCTCTTCATTTTCTTCTTCAGAAATTGAAAATGTGGGGGCTATAGAACAGAGGGAGTCTTTTTGTTGTTTTTCTTTGTTCTGAAAAAAATATTTTTTTATTAAAATATTCTGATGCGAAGAGTAAGAACATACAAACCAAGAGTCAGTCTAAACCCCATAATTCACGAAAGACTGAACCGATTGGAATACTTTTGGTATCATTCGATACAGAATTAAATTTGCTACAAATTTGGAAAATTTTAAAATTTTAGGTTAATAGACATAAAAGTTAAGGCCAAAAAACACATAAAAAGTGTCATTTTTTCTGGTTTTTTGACCAGAACTTTTTTACCAAATTTTCTAAAATTCTGATTTTTTAGAATTTTATAGTACATTCAATTCTCTATCCAAAAATATCAAAAACACAAAACAGCCCAGTCCAAAAAAATTTATTTACCAATTCAGTGTCTCCCTCATCTACAATCACAGTCAGTGTTGTCTTCACTTTATCCCCTTCATTTTTCTTTTGAACAGAAATTGAAGATTTACGCCATTGGGGAAGAGAAACTTTTCTGAGAACATTTTTATCAACAGAAATTATTTTTGAGGTTGCACAAACTGAAAATTTAAAATTAATTTAAATATTTAAATTTTGCGGACAAAAAATTGCGGACAAATTTTTTTGTCCGCAAATATTTTTGCGGACAAAAAAATTTTTTTTCAAAAACCTGAGGCTCTTTTTCCAATAATTTTATTATTATTAATTTCATTTCTTTCATTTTTATTAAAATCATTTTCGTATTGAAAATTGTTTCGAGTTGGAGATAATAAAGGTTGTGGTTGTTGAACAGCAATAGAAGGAGTAGGAGGTTGAGGCCCCAAATGTGGAAGAGACGAGTGTTCCCTCAAAAATTTTAAATGGCGATGAACAACAAAAGAAATTCGAAGAAATAAACAAATCTTTAAAAAAAATAAAATAAATTAATTTTTAAAATTAAAAATACCAGAAAAATTGCTGGTAAATATAAAGCAGGCAGCGCTACCCAAAAAACTTGTGTTGCAACTTGACGAGAAGGAAAACAATGAATATCTGCTGGGGGTAATTGTTGTTCTTCTGGTTGGAATATTCTTTGAGTTCTGAAATTTAATTTATTAATTCTGATATTTATTCTGATTTTTTAAAACTTAATTCTGAAATTAATTCTGAAATTTTAAGGCAAATTCTGATATTTATTCTGATTTTAAAAATAAATTCTGGTTTTTAAAACTCGATTCTGAAATTAATTCTGATATTAATTCTGAAATTCTAAGGACAATTCTGAAATCAATTCTGATTTTTAAAAATAAATTCTGGTTTTTAAAATCCAATTCTGATAAGTATTAATTCTGATTTCTTAAAATTCTGACATTTCTGATTTTTAAACTTAAAAAAATTCTGATTACGGAAAGACTAGAAGAAAGTAAACAGGCATCCAAACAATTAAAGGCAATAACCAAACAAACAACATTAATCTTTTTGCCCGACGTCTGCTGCTTGTAAACACACGTAAAGGTTGTTCTAAATTCCAAACACGGTCTAAGGCAATTGCGCAAATGGAATATAGAGATTCTGTACAGAATAAAACATCTGCTAATTGCCAGAATTGACAGAGCCAGTGTGGGAAGGTTATTCTGAAAAGTAAATTCTGAATTTTAAAATAATTTCTGATTTTATTCTGATTTTTTAAAATTAATTCTGATCTTATTCTGATATTTCTAGGATGTTAGAAATAAATTCTGGTTTTATTCTGGTAATAATTCTGATATTTTTAAAAATTATTTCTGATTTTATTCTGATGCTAATTCTGACTTTAAAATAAATTCTGATCATATTCTGATATTTTTTCTGATTTTTAAATAAATTCTGGTCTTAGTCTAGTACTAATTCTGATTTTTAAATAGATTCTGATTTTATTCTGATAAGTATTAATTCTGATTTTTATAAGTTAATTCTGACTTATTCTGATACTAATTCTGATTCTTAAAATTTTATTCTGCCCTATTCTGGTTTTAATTCTGATTTTCTATTTTTATTTAATTCTGATTTTAATTCTGATTTATAACTCACCCCCATTCATAACACAGCATTAAAGGCATTACAACACCCCCAACCCCCAAATCAGCCAAACACAAACTTATAACGTACAAATTTGTAGTTCTCGAAGACCTTTGTAAAGGCCTACATAATATTAAAAGAATAAAAGTGATCAAATTTGCACAAATACAAAAACAAGTAAATAAAGCTAAAATTATTAATCCAGCCAGTTGGAAATTGATAAAATTTGGATTTTTTGGTATTTCTTCTGTTTTTGTTTGTAGTGATGGAAGGACATCAAATAGACGCATAATTTTTAAAAATTTCTTAAAAAGCTTGAAAAAAATTTTTTTTAAATTATGATTAAAACAAATATCCAGAATTCACTATAAGATGCCCCCAAAAAAATTTTTACTTTTATAATTGGGTGTACTTGATTCAGAGGAATGTCACTAAATACAAAAAAAGACGAAAATGAAGGAATAACGAAACGCGAAAGACGAAAACAAAAAAAGACGAAATACGAAAGTTACAAATAGCTTAATAAAATACTATGGGTTTTCAGGTGTTTCTAAAAATTTTTTCGATTTCTTCCACTTAAATAAAAAAATAAAAAAAACTCTATCCAATACACGATAACTAACATTAAAATTAAATAAATAAAACACCTACATAAGTTTAATAAAATTAAAGAGAGAATTAATTAAGGGCTATTCAAAAAGAGAGAAAATGCCACAAAATATCTAATAAAGTTTCTTTTTCTTTTTAAAAAAATACTTGGCAAATTAAATAAAAGAATAAAAATTTTTTGTTTTCTTAGAAAAATAAATATAAATTTACCTTATTCACATGAAAATGTTAAAATACAAAAATTAACAAAAAATAAAATGTTAAATTAGAAAAAAAAATTTTTTTTTATTTTTGGGAGAGAAAAAATAAAAATTCTTGGGAGAAAAAAAATTAGAAAAAAAAATTAATTTAAATATTGCTATTTTTAATTAAAAATAAAAATTAAAAAATTAAATTTTTAAGGGAAAATAAGCTTAATTTAAGTTATATTTTATCCCAAATTTAATTTATTCACACATTTTGACAAAAAATAAATCTTAAAAATTTTTGAGTAATTTTTCTGTAATTTTGTTTAAATCACGGATTTTTAAAAATTAAAAAAAATTTCTTTTGAAAAAAAATTTGCGGACCTACAATAATTTGCGGACAAACATTTGCGGATCGGCATTTGAAGACTTTAAGCTTGCTATAAGCACTATAAAGTTTAAGCTATTGTATAGATGTGATCTTATGGCAGTTTCCCTATTTTACTAAGCCCGAGTAATGTCCGCAAATGTTGTCCGCAAAAATTTTTGTCCGCAAATATTTGCGGACAAAAATTAAAATTCTTTTTTCACTCAAAATTCTGTTCTGACGGAAAGTTGGGCAGTGTAAATTTTAAAAAACTTGGAAACAAAAAATGAGAGGAAAATATTCATTTAGGTCGAAAAATGTTAAAATAAAAACAAAAATTAACCAAAAAATTTAAAAATAATTTAAAGAAATGTTTTTTGACTATCAGATTTTCCCTCCTTTTAAAAGTTCCCTCCTTTAATTTATTAAAATTGACGTTAAAAATAAAATCGGATTTAAAAAATAAATATTTAAATAACGTCAATCTTAAAAATTAATTTTTTTTTAATTTAAAAAAAATAGAGAGAGGGGAAAATTAATTTAGGGGGAAAAGATTTAAAAGTCTACTAGGAACAGAAACAAAAATATTCTTTAAAAAATTATTTTTTAATAAAAAATATTTTTTTCAAAATTAAAGAAAAATGTCATTCACATTTAGTCATTCCTCCTCCTTTTTTTTAAAAAAATAATTTTTTTAAAAAAGTGTTCTTTTAAGAATTACGCAAAATTAAAGGAATTAATGCTTGAAGAATTAACTAGACAAACAGACAAACACAAACAAATTTTTGCAAAAATAAAAGAGTAAAAAATTAAGTGAATGACTGGCAGCTTAAATAAAGGTTTTGCAAGGGTAGAGGAAAGTATTTTGAATTTTTCAAAAAAATCTTATAATTTTTTGCAAGCTAAAATGATACCCATCTTGAAAAAATTAATTGCAAATTTTTAAAAAATTAAAAAATGTTGTGTTTGGTTAAGTGGTGTAAATTGTGGACAATTTTTTTTGAGAACTTTTTTTCTGGGTTTTCAACCTATTTTTCTCCTCTTTTGGCAGTAATTAATTTAAAAAAATATTTTTGTACCTATCAAAACAAATGGAAAAATCCGCAAAAAATATCCGCAAATCCGCAATTTTAGTCACTCGTGGTGTAGTGGTTAACATGCTTGACTTGCTCTTGGTGGGGACACGGGTTCGATGCCTGGTGGCAAATATCGGTCCTATAACTGACTTTAAATAATTTTTATAAAAGATTATTCAAATATATTTACAAACAAAAATTTTAAAAATTAAAAAGAAATTTTTAAAAATTTCAGAAAAAAAATCTTTTTCAACTTTTCAATTCATTATTTGAGGATTTAACTGTCCTCAGACACGTGTAAATAAATCCTGTAGCACACCCTTCTTCATCTCTACCGGAAACTTCATAGGTACATTTACAAGATTTATCAGAAGCTATTCCTTCAATTTTGGAGAATTTTTGAAGTTTTTTTCAAAAATAATTCTTCAACCTGGAAAATCTAAGGGGCATGTCTGGTCATTGTTTTCACTCGGTATGCCATCCACCGCTGCATCCAACACGCGGCAGTTGAATGTTGGGCCTTTATAGTTAAAATATAGCCAGATTTTTGTCATTTTAATTTTGTCCGCAAATATTTGCGGACAAAGAAATTTTTCGAAAATTTCCCGAAAAATTTTCAGAGGCAGTCTGGGGTTATAAAACCCTTAAAAATTACCATACCTGTATGTCGATGAGTCCCAGAATTGAAAAAAGTTGGTTTAACTACTCCCTTCTTTCTTGCAGTTGTTGGTACTTTTGTTGTTGTTTTAATTGTTGTTGGAATTTTAGTAGTTGTTGTAAATTGAATTGAAGACTGGAGAATGTTTGGAAGCTGTTTTGGGGTAGAAATTGACTCTTCTCCTTCGTCTGAATTATTTTGGAAAGGCAAAACTAATTGGTGGTCAGGTTGGCGGGAATGTTCTCTGCAACAATAACCCTCTAATTTACAAAGAAAAAATCCGCAAACCTAGCCCAACTTCGAATTGCCAATCTGTCATCGGCTTCATTATTCTCCCAAGAACGGGGCCAAGCAAATCCACTGCCTGCTTTTGATGGATCAACATTTTTTGAATCAACAGCAGGTTCAATAGCGATGACATTTGAACGCACCTCCACAACAACTTTATTGTTCTCTGAGGGAAACACGCTGAAAAAACATAAATTAAACAATAAACAAAGAAAAAAACATACCCCTTCAAATTTGCATTTTTGAGTAATTTACGCAATCTTTCAATTAAATGTTCTTTTTCTTCCTTTTCTATAACTAATTCGTTTGGAGAAAATGTTGTTGTAGTTGTTGCTTTTGTTGTTGTTTTTGCTGTTTCTTCTGTTTTCTCTTTCTCTAACTGTTTTGTTTTTATGTTTATTTGTTGTTGTTCTTCTCTATTTAATGTTGTTGCCTTGTTTGTAGAGAATGTTGTTGTTTGTGTTGTTGTTTGTGTTGTTTCCGGTGTTTTCTCCTTCTCTGCCTTTGTTTTGTTTGTTTGTTGTTCTCTTTCTTTGTTTGTTTTTGTTGTCTCTAAACTTTTTGTATTTAAATTTGTTTCATTTAGCATTATTCTTGGCGTTGTGGTTTTTATTGTTTCCTCGCTAATTTTTTTTATTCGTTCTTCTTTTCTTTCCATTTTGTCATTTATTACACTTTTTTCTATTTTATTGTTTACTTCCGGTGATATTGTTGTTGTTTGTTTTTGTCTTTGTGTGGCCGCTGTTGGGGGTTTTGTGTACAACCAGGCCCATGAATGACTAAAAGGTCGAGTTCTGGGCAGTGGAGTGCTCCATAAGGCTTTTCTGCGTGTTACGATGGGAAGCTGCGGGAAAATTTTTTTTGGAATTTGTTCTGATTTTATTTCTGATTTTATTCTGGTTTTATTCTGAATGTTTTCTGATTTGTTCTGATTCATTTCTGGTTTAGTTCTGATTTTGTTCTGGTTTTCAGAATTTATTCTGATTTTGTTCTGATTTAATTCTGATTTATTCTGATTTTATTTCTGATTTTTCTGATCTATTTCTGATTTATTCTGATTTTATTTCTGATTTTCTGATTTTGTTCTGGTCTATTTCTGACTTTTAAACTCTCAAACCTGTGTCCATCCCAAATTTTTTCCCAATTTGTGCACTTCAAATTCTGGTAGTTGTGCCAAATGTTCATCATAAACATCGCCATGTTCTACATTTCCTCGTAAATCTTCCTCAAAATCCCTGCTGTAATCCGTTTCTTCTGCTAATTGTAATTGTGCCTCATCCATTAAAATGTTTCCTTCTAATTTGAAAAAAATTCTGATTTTTTCTAACTTTGTTCTGATTTTTTAAATTTAATTTTTCTGACTTCTGATTTTTCTGGGTCTGTTCTGATATTTTCTGATTTTATTCTGAAATTTTTCTAATTTTTCTGATTTTTCAAAATTATTTTTGATTTTTAGAACTACAAGTGAACTTACTTCCAAATCTAAACCTTTCAAATTCTTTGGCAAACATATTGGTTACCAACAAAAAAAATACAAGGATGATCATTTGGCATAATAAATTTACTACTATTTTATTTTATTTCTCCAGTTTGAAGTTAATTTAATCTATCAATGTTTTAATAATTATGAAAATTTACTCAAGGTCAGTTGAAGTTTTAATTGTTAATTTAGAAAAATAAATTCTGATTTTTTCAGAATTTATTTTTCTGATTTCTGAATGTTATTCTGATTTTGCTATAAAAATGGCAAGCGGTCATGTCCCTAAAACGCGGGAAAAATAGGGCAAAAAATTATTAAAAATTGATTTTAATTAAAAACATTTAAATAATTAACAAAAAAAATTATTTTATTAATTTGACGGGTGAATGCTTGTCCCATTTTCCTCTCTAAAAATTAAAAAAGAGAAAAGGCCACATATATTTTTGGATCGGAACGATAAGCGCTTTTCCTAAACATTTTTAGACCTTTTAAATAAAAACAAGTTTTAATAAACGAAAAAAAATTTTTTAACGGGGTGATCAATTTAATAAAAAAAGGTGTCATATTTAACCTTTTATGCGCGTTAATGAGGAATGTTTTATTACAGGAGAAAGGATAATGAGAGTGTTTTTACTTGTTGTGTTTTTGTTCTGATTATTTTTTAGTTAATTCTGATTTTAATTTTTGTGTTTTTGTTTTCATGTGTTTTCTACGTAATTTTGATTTTTGTGTTTTTGTTTATTAATTCTGGTTTAATAAAATTCTGATTTTTAATTCTGATTTAAAATTCTGATTTTGTATTTTATAATTCTGATTTTTGTATTTTTGTTTTTAAATTCTGGTTTTTATTAAATTCTGATTTCATAATTCTGTTTTTTTTAATTCTGATTCTATTCAAATTCTGATTAATTCTGATTTCATGTGTTTTTATTCCTAATTCTGATTTTAAATTCTGGTGTCTGTATTTATTTTATTAAAATTCTGATTGTGTTTCTCCTTTACTTCTTGTATTTTATTTTTTAATTATTCTTTTCAGAATTTATTCTCAACATTCTGATTTTGTTATGGATTATTACTCATTTACTCTCTTAATTTACAACGCTATTTTTATTCTAATATTCATGATAAAAAATATAAAACAACACAAAAATGTATTTATGCAAATCACTAATCAATTGTCGGTTATCTTCTTATAACTAGGTATGTTTATTTTAAAAATTAAAATTTTTATTTTAAAATTAAAAAATAATGCGAATTTCTTTTCTGGCTATTTTAATAATTATTTTAGTATTTATACATTATTCTTATATTTATTCTGTGCCTCAATGTCAATGTAGGTTAAGAAATGAAAAATCAGAATTTAAAAAAAAAATCAGAATTAAAAAAATCAGGACTAAAAAATAAGAAAAATCAGAAACAGAAATCAGAAAATAAAAAATCAAAAAGAAAAAATCAGAACAAGTCAGAATCGAAAATCAGAAAAATCCCACAAATGCCTATCCGCAAAAAAAATGTCCTCAATTTCTTCTTTTACAAAAACTTACAATTTACCACATAAAAATTTAATGTTTTAAGTTGGCGAATGCTCTTCGTGGGATATTTTATTGCTTCCTTTATTAACCGACAAATTTACCCAAGTTAGCCTTCTTAAGGCAATTGTTCGTTCAATGCTGTGCGGCTGCCGTTGGTATTTTGATGAACAAATCAAAATTGAATTGGCAACTAAAAATGGGTCTTTTGTACATATTAAAGATCCAATTTCTTTTCCTGAATTTGAACAGGTAAATTTTAAAAATAATTTAGAGGGTTTTTTGTTAGTTACATATTTGCGGACATAATTGAGTCCGCAAATATTGGCAAGTATGTCACATCCTTGACGTGCTATGTATTTAAAAGTTTGTCCGCAAATATTCGTCCGCAAAATATTTTTTTCCGCAAATCTATCCTTTTTATTAAAACAATTTTCCCTAGTTGGATCAATTCAAATTTACACAAACTGAACGTAATTCTAACAAAAGTTATTGGAAGACTTGTGTTGATAAAGCTGTGGCCAATATTGAAGGTTTTAAAAACAATTCTAATTTAACAACAGCAAAAATAGAAGAAAGGAAGAGAGGACGTTTTGTCTTCGTAATTACTGATTTTGAGAGAAATCGAAATGGAAGTGAGGTTTATTTGAAAATATGTTTTTCTATCAAGTCCGCAAGTTTTGTCCGCAAGTTTTAATATTTATTTTTAATATTAAAAAAATATTATACACTGCGACGCAAAATTATACGTCCACCCTTTTTTCGAAATTTTTTTCATTTGTATTGATCAGAAATTTCTGAAAATTTTTATACACACCCTTTAGTGAATAACTAACAAAATGTATATGGTTTTTTACCAAAATTTTTATTTTAAAAATTTTTAGACCAAAATTTGTGTTTTCGGCCTACGCAAAATTATACGTCCACTTTTCAAAAAAGTTAGTTCCAATAATAGGAAAAAACTACAAAAATTCCAGTAAGCTCATATATTGATATTATAAAAAAATAAAAAGAAAGTAGGTCCATATCTATACCCTAAGCCGAGATCCTGAGACCTCGGAAATCAACGTAAAATGGGGTTTTTCAACTTTAAAAAATATTTTCGACCCCCTATGGATTACTGTAAATTTTGATTTTGGGCTCATTCGAAAGCCCTTGAAATTTGCTACAAGACAGCATCAATCATATTCTCCAGAAAAAATGTTAAAGAGAGATACAGGCATCTAAACTTCTGATGCAGAAAAAACGCCTAAATGCCCCATAAAATTCCCGTTAATGTCGCTTCTGAAGTTTAAATGCCTGTATCTCTTTTTAAAATTTTTTCTGGAAAATAAGGTTATTGCTGTCTTGTAGTAAATTTCAAGGGCTTTCGAATGAGCCCAAAATCAAAATTTATAGTAATCCATAAGGGGTCGAAAATATTTTTTAAAGAGCCTTACCCCTGATTTACGTTGATTTCCGAGGTCTCAGGATCTCGGCTTAGGGTATAGATATGGACCTACTTTCTTTTTATTTTTTTATAATATCAATATATGAGCTTACTGGAATTTTTGTAGTTTTTTCCTATTATTGGAACTAACTTTTTTGAAAAGTGGACGTATAATTTTGCGTAGGCCGAAAACACAAATTTTGGTCTAAAAATTTTTAAAATAAAAATTTTGGTAAAAAACCATATACATTTTGTTAGTTATTCACTAAAGGGTGTGTATAAAAATTTTCAGAAATTTCTGATCAATACAAATGAAAAAAATTTCGAAAAAAGGGTGGACGTATAATTTTGCGTCGCAGTGTATTATATGAGAGTAGGAAACTGTTGTTTTTGGAGGCATCAAATTTTTCTTCTTGCAGGTATTTCAAAGAATAATTAGTGGTATGATTTTTAGGTCAGGAATTTTCTCAAACAAGTTGGAAAACAGGAATTAATAAACATGAAAATAGGCAGAAACATGAAAAATACGAATTTAGAAAACTCCCTATAACCTATTGACATAATTAAAACGACTCATGCTTCTCATAGACCCTGGAAATTACAGGAAAACTAGAAAAAAAAGCTATAAATCACACTCCTAATGACAAAACAAAAAATTTAACTTGCGGATAGAATTTGCAGATTTTGGAAGTACAAAGAACAAAAACTAAATTTTTATTTTTTCCAGACGAAAAAGATTTTCTACAAGATATTGACCATCAATTAGCAGAGAATGGCGTTTTCTTTCGATATGTTCAGCTGAAATTTGATGACCATAAACAGACTCAAATTACAACTGGTGGGGGAAAGTCGTCAACGGTTCTTTTTTAAAATTATTTTTGACATTTATTTTATTTTTTAAAGATAAATGAACGAATCCGTAACATTAGTTCAAACATAATTCGTGTGGCTATTGTAGAGCAGGGCTCAGATTTTGATGCTTTTGTAATTGTTCGTCCTTGCCCTCAACTGAGTGATGCTGAAAAGATTCGTGAATATTCGTGAGCTTTTTTTTATTTTTTTGATGGGTTGTGGCCTCTCGATCTGGGATGTCCACAACAGAGATTTTTTCTTGTTTGTGGATTTTTTCTTATTTTTTTTTGCAATTTTTTGCTGATTTTTCGATTTTTTGCCGACTTTTGATTTCTGCGGATTTTTCTATTTTTTACAACCTCTCACCTCTCAAACGCACCTGATTTTTTGTTTTTAACCCCCTACCTTTTAGTTATGTCCAGCACTTTTACTATGAGAATTGGCTTCTTAGAAGTAAGTTCTCAAAAATTCTTAAAAATTCATTTCCCCTCTCATATTTTTCGATCCTCGAGGTGCTGTAATTGGCTTTGCACTTTGTCTATTTGCCATTCTTTGCGCTATTTCCTCCTATTTATTTCATATTTGGGAACAGGCTAGAATTCGAAAGAAAATAATTGCTTCTCAACAACCGGGGCATGATATTTGAGGAATTTAAAAAATTTTCCCAAAAATTTTTTTTGAAAATTCTCTTGAACATTCTTTAGTTTAAAAGGAAAATTTAAATTTTTCAATAAATTTTCTAATTTCTGGCCTATTTTTAAAAATATTTTTCGTAAAAATTCGAAATTCTGTAATAATCCCCCACACCAATATTTGCGGACATGACACAAATACAAATTTGCGGACATGATATATTTTGCGGACAAAATAAAATTTTTTGGGATTAGATTAGATAGTTATTGAATCTTTTCATTACCAAGCCTGTATTCCAAACTATATTTTGGGAGCAATTTTAGCTCAAAACTATATTTTTATAGCATGTGTCCGCAAATATCGCTTTAAGCTCATTCTTAATTTTAGGTAATTTTTCAGACAGTTTTCTTTTGAATTTTGTGTTTCTAAGAAATTCTTGGCAACACTCATTTAAATTTTTTACTTGCGTGATCATTCAAATAATTTTTAGAAAAGGCCTTTTCTATTCCAATTATAATGTTTACCTCCTAAATTTCCTGTTGAACAATTTTTATTAATTCCCCCGTCTAAACACATTTATATAATTGTTGCTATGCCAACTTGAGTATTTTTTAATGAAAAAAAGGTAAAAAAATTGTGAGCATTAAATATATATTTAATACAAAAATTCCAAAGACCGTTAATTATTTTTTTCACGTAAATAAAAAAGGTGTGACCATGCCAAAGGGGGGAAGGAATATGTGTGTAAATAGGTTCTTTTAAGTATTAGCTTTAATAAAATAAATTAATTTTTTTTATTATACATATTTTGTTGGTTGCGATCAGAATTTTTCTTTTTAGTTGTAAAGACATATTTGCGGACAAAAAATTTTTTTGCGGACAAAAAAATTTTTTTGCGGACACATCCCACTACAGTCGAAACTCAATTTTAGATACCCCCAAAATTTGTTACAAATTTGTTACAAAATTTGTTACAAAAATTTGTTTAATCGTATATTTTGTGGAGCTTCCCAAGCGATACACCCTTCATTTGAGATATCCCTCATTATAGGGTAATATTTTTCAGCCCCAGAGGGGTATTTAAAAGTGAGGTTCGATTCTATCAAGTCCCAAATGCTACTAAGCCTAAGGTTGATCAAGACCCGATGATCGTTCATTTCAATTTAAATGGCATTTTTAGTTTTGTCCGCAAAAATTATCCGCTAATATTGTCCGCAAATTCCAAAATCCGCAAATGTTGTTATGCCAAAAATCTTTTCTCCTCTATTTATTTTTCAACTCCAATTTTTATCACGCTATAAAACCAACCATTAAGCATGTACTTAGGTAACCAACATTTAAGTCAAGCGCAAATCTTATTTTTTTAATAATTAGCTAATAAGGAACGGTTGCTATTGGTGGCATGTAAACAACGAAAAAAAATTTTTTTATTTTAAATACACACAAAACTAAATTTACTTTTGAATTATTTATCAAAATTTTTTTAAAAAATGTTTTTAATAAATAATATTTAATGGAATTACACGTGGAAAGCAAAATTTTTTAAAAAAATTTTTTAGAAAATTTTTTTGGCGTTTTGACTATTTTTGTTTTCTTTGGCACAATTTGATTATTTCAAAAAAATATATTTTTCAGAATAGGCTACATTCTATTTTTGAAAAAATTCCCGCGTTATAACAAAATATTTTTGGAATAAATTTAATTTTTTTACGTAAAATATTTTTCTTTGAAAAATATTTCTCCCATATTATTAATAAAATTAGGGTACATACATAAATAGCTACATAAATAGCCAGATTAAATTAATTTTAAAAAATGACAACAGTTTTGGGGGTTTTATTTTTGGTTTTTTTGCCAAATATGGGGATTTTTTTGACAATTTTTAATTTTTTGGCTTCCAAAAATTTGCGGGTTGACTTTGCGGACAAACTAGATCTAAAGAATTTTTTTTATTTATTTTGGAAGCCTTTGGGTATTAAAAAAAATTTTTGCCAAAATAAAATGAAAATTACCTCTATCTAACTGTCAATCAACAAAAAAAAACAAAAAAAAATAAACTGCCAAAAAACCAAATAAAATTTTTCACTCTCCCCTACATATTTGCAGTCAGTCCGCAATTATCCGTCCGCAAATATTCTTAAACCATTTTTCAAAAATTTTTTGTTATAACAGATTTATATTTTATTTAACTCTAATTAATAATAATTTACTTCCTTGCTTGGCTAGTAATTTTTCAAAAGGAAAAAAAAATTTCCCCAAAATTTTGGTTCAAGTTGATGCAGTCAGATAGTAACAAAAACAACAAAAAATGGGTTCTAGTTTGTGCAAAGGAGAAAAAGTTTATGATGAACAAATGGACAAAGTAGTAAATAAATTAAAATTAAATTTAAAAAAAAATTAATTTTTAAAAAAGAATCGCCAGATAGAAATTGAATTGCAAAGGGAAAAGTTGGAGGAACGCAAAATTGTAAAAATACTTTTGTTGGGAAGCGGGGATTCTGGGAAATCTACAATTGTAAAACAAATGAGGTGGGGGAATTGTAATGTAAAATGTGTTTTGTGTTTTCCGGAAAAAAAATCAGAATTTATTTTTGTATTTTTAATCAGAATAATTTAATTTGAACGAAAACAGAATATTTGTATTTTCCGGGACTAGAATATTTGTATTTTTTGGAACCAGAATATTTGTATTTTTCAGAACCAGAATATTTGTATTTTCCGGAAACAGAATATTTGTGTTTTTAAATCAGAATTTTTGGGGTTTTTGTATTTTTTCATCAGAATACTTAAAACCAGAATGTATTTTACTGAAAAATCAGAATTTATTTGTATTTTCTAATCAGAATATTTGTATTTTCCGGAACCAGAATATTTGTATTTTTTGTATTTTTTCCAGAATATTTTAAACTAGAATTTCTGTATTTTCCGGAATAATCAGAATTTCTTATATAATTTTGTATTTTATTTTCTAATTACCCTATTTTCTCTATTTTTTAATCAGAATATTTATTATTTTTTTAATTATAATTTTTCAGAATTTTGCATACTAACGGGTTCAATGAAGCAGAATTGATTAATTATAGGTCCAAAAAAATTTTTTTAAATTAAAAAATTATTTTTAAAGGTATATGCTGCATACCAATTATATTGGCTCTTTTTATTACATCGCCAAAGGAATTAGTCTACTACAAATTGATGTGCCTTCACAAGAGCGTGATTTAGTTAATAAATTTGAACATTCTTTTACCAAGTAAATTAATTTTGGAAAAATTTTTTAATTTAAATTTTTTTAGATTCTTAGACTACGATGACACGGAAATGATTAAATTGGTTAGTTTAATAAAGGGGGCTTCAATTATTTAAAAATTCCGGGTCCTTTCATTTATGCACACAGATCCGCAAATATGGCTTTTTGCGGATTTAGAGGTGAAAAATCCGCAAAAATAGTTTTACGTTGCGGACAAAATTTGCGGACTTCCTCACTCCTTTCGTCTGTTAAAATTTTTTTCGGGACACAAAAAATTTTATTAAATTTTTAGATAAGTAAATTTCTCAGTTATTCTTGTGTTAATGCAGCATGTCAACATTTAACAGAATTTTATGTGCCAGATAATACTCCATAGTTTGAGAGAAAAATTAATTTTAAACAAATTTATTTTTAGTTTATTAGCCGAATCAAGCAGAATTCTCACTCCAGAGTATAGACCAACAGAAGCGGATGTAATACATGCAAGGGCATCGACAACGGGTGTTCATGAAGTTTGAAAATTTTATTTTTTCGTCCGCAAAGATTTTCTGCAATTTTTTTGCGGACAAATTTTTTTGAAATTTTTAGAAAATAATTTTATTTTCTCAAAGATTTTCTTCAGTTTTCGCCGTTTTGGCATCAGGTTTTTTAATAAAAATTTAAATTTATTTACTTTATTTAAGGCTCATTGATGTTGGCGGCCAAAAAACAGAAAGGAGAAAATGGATTCATTGTTTTGGTATTATTTTTTATTTTGTACTTTTAAACTACTGAAAAGTAGAGGCCCTATTTTTACTTACATTTTCCTAATTACTTTAGTCGTCAAAAAAAATTTTTTTTTAATTTTTTTGCGGACAGAGTTTGCGGACTTTTGGGTTACGGATTTTTTTGGGGGCAAAGTTTGCGGATTTTTTTAAATAATATTTTTAGTTGACCTTATTGTATTTTTAAATAAACGTTCAAAAATAAACGTCCTCTACAAGAATTACTTCTTTTATTTTTTTAAATTTTAGATAATGTTTCTGCAATTTTGTATGTAATCTCCCTTTCCTGTTATGACCAATTTTTAGAAGAGGATCCATCAATAAATAGGTTTTTTTAATTTTTTTTGGATTTTTTGAAAGATTTCTTCCTTTAGAATGGATGATTCTATCGAATTATTTAGAGCCATGTTTTACAATCAATTCCTTTTTAAAGTTCGTTTTTTTGCGGATTTTTTTTTCTTAAAATTTTTCTTTTTCAAAAAATTTTATTTTCAGTGTTCTTTCATCCTTTTCCTCAACAAAAAAGATTTATTTGAGCATAAACTGCGTTATGTCCCTTTGAAAAAATTTTATCCTTTATTTGAAGGTAATTTTTTATCAATTAGTTGAAATAACGATATTTGCGGACAAATACTTGCGGACAATAACGATAAGCATTTTTTGCTCTTTGATGTCCAATAAAGTCTCAAAATGAGTCAAAATGCTTATATTATGGTATTAAACATGTAACAGGAGACATTTTGTCCCATTTTAATAAAATTCGATTTTGTCCGCAAGTTTTGTCTGCAAATGTCATTTTTCGATTTTTAACAAAAAAATTTATTTATTTTTTTAAAGAATGCCTAATAAATATAACAATAGATGATCAATATGGAGAAGCTGTTGAATTCATCAAAAAAATGTTTATGAACGTAAAATATTTTTTAATTTTATTTGAAAAAATTTTCCAAAATTTTTTTAGGTGAAGGAGCCAGAAAGTAACAGACATATTTATGCACACGTTACAAACGCTACGGATACAAAAAATATTGGTATTCTTTTTATTTTATAGTGTGTCAGGCCTCGTTTTTATACCTCTTTTTATTTTATAGCCGGGTCAGGTCTTATTTTTAGATACCCATTAAATTAGGTACTGGGTAGGGAAGCCTTTTTGTGGGGGTTACTGGGCACCAGAAGGTAGGCTAAAAAAGGCAAAAAACAACCCCTCACGGCGATTTTCCATCTCCAAGGGGTATCTAAAAATGAGGTCTGGACTTATTTCAATTTTTCCCCAGAATTTGTGTTTGGTGCAACCTGTGATATTGTTTTACAAAAAAATTTAAGCAAAGCTGGAATGACTTGAGGAAAAAAAAGTTTATATATTTTTTTACTTTATTTACAATTAATTTTTAAATTCTAATATTTTTGTATACACAATAATAATATTAAAAAATAATTCTTATTTTTAAATTAAATATAGTAGATATTTATTATGGATTTTAGCGTATGAAAATTAGGCAAATTTTACGAGGTGGAAAATTTTAGGAAGGAGACGTTTGCTGAAGGTTGGTAAGAAACAATGGGAGGAGACTGTCAAATTTATTGACTAAATGTACATTGACGAAATGTCAGTAGATGAAAAGTCCTTGGACAAAAAGTTGTTAGGCCAAAAATCCGCTGGCAAAAAGTCGCGACAAGAATTGACGAAAAGTCAGTTGGCAAAAAGTCTGAATATTCATAAAAAGAGTTTGTAAAAATGAGAGACGGTTATAGAAAAAGACAATTAAAATAACTAGATAGTTAAAAGAAAGACGGCTAGCTTAAATGGCTCCGGTACAAAATATGGAATCGTTAAAATATGGAATGGTTAAAATCGCGAATAGGCTAAAAAGGGGTTAAAATACCGAATCGTTAAAATATGGAAACGTTAAAATATCGAATCGGGTAAAAAAGGGTTAAAATATGGAATCGTTAAAATATGGAATGGTAAAAATGTCGACACGGCCAAAATCGGTCAAAATGTCGAATTCTTTTAAAAAAGGGTCAGATGAGTGCCATACGTTGATTGTAGATGATTATATCAACTTATCAACTTATTGATGATAAGTTGATTGATAAGTCTCTTATGTCGTAGTCCGGCGCAATCTTTTCTGCCAGAGTTTATTGTATTTTACCGAGTAAAACCGGACCGGATAAATCAAGCATAATCGACCGGATCCGGTCCGGCATGATCGTACGGATCCGGAAAACATAACGCGATCCTGATATGGAAAAATTAGAGTGGTGTACATTAGTTTTTAGTTAAGACCTAAAGTTTGATCTTACCGTATACGGCACGAAATACCGAAAAATACCGATCAGCTTTTAAATTTTATCGGTCGGATACCGTACCGTACAATCGACACGGAATATCGAAAAATACCGTCGGTATTACGGTAACGCCCGGATTCTAGTTTTGGCGCCATTTTTAAAAAATTCGACATTTTGATCGTTTTTTGCCGTGTCGACATTTTATCAATTCGATATTTTGACGATTCCATATTTTAACCTTTTTTTAGCCTATTCGATATTTTAACCATTCCATATTTTAACGATTCCACATTTTAACCCCTTTTTAGCCTATTCGCGATTTTAACCCCTTTTTACCCGATTCGAGATTTTAACCCTTTTTTAGCCTATTCCATATTTTAACGATTCGATATTTTGTCCGGACACGGCTTAAATTTTTCGTCATTTTAAAGATTTTTTACAATTTTTTTTTTCATTTTATGCATCAAAGAAATATTTTCAAAATACGACCTCCAAATCATGAAGAGTTAGCCAAAAAATATCCTCAATTGAGAAAAAAATGTTTTGTGGGGGCAAATGGAAAGGTTTCTTTTGTTAAATTTTTTTTTGGTTGTAAAAAATTTTTTTAAAGGTCTGCATTGACTTTTCTTCTACAGAAGCTGTTCGTTCATTTACAGAAATATTGTTGTTTGAATACTTTGAATTAAATGTGTCAATACCTAAAGGTGTGCTAGTTCCTCGTGTTCCGCAAAGACTAAATTATTTGTTGCTGGTTGAGGATTTGATTAATTTGAATGGATTGGGGGAGGAGGAAATTGTTGGAATTGATATTGGTATTTTTTTTAAATCTTTTTTGTTAAGATTTGAGTTTTTGTTACACAACATTTTAAGCAGGGAGCCCCCTTGTAGTTATCCAAAAAATAACGTCTCTTTGGTAAAGTGGGTTACTTCGTTGTATAACCCATTGGGGGGGGGGGGGGTCTCTGGTTCTAATCCAGTTGTTGATAACTGATTTATTATAGCCCTTTTAAATATTCAAATTAGTAAAAGAAGCAAATATAGTGTATTTTCGAGCTTCTAGAATTTGTGGGATGTATTATAGAAATTGTATCGGACTTTATCTCTGCATTCCTGTACTGAGAATCCAGATTTAACATCAACACTCGGATTTGAGTAAAGTAGGGATGTTGGAGTTTTCTGTTTGTATGTCTGATCCGTAGATTTACCCAGATCCGCCAACTCATGGCTAAATTTGTTAAAATATTTTCCAGGGCCCAGACTTAATTTCCTTTCCGCTTCATTTAACTTTTTCACTCTTTTATTTCTAGGAACTGGTCCTCTTTGTATATTCTCTTTACTTGGTGCTTCTCTAAATAATTGGAAATTCGTTTCTACTGATATTTGTAATGAATCACTTCAAATGGCAAAGGAAAACTTGAAAAATAATTCTTTGGAATCCCTTGTTTGTTTAATCAATATAGAGGATGGTTCTTTCTTTAAGGTTTTTTATATCGAATTTTTAAATTTTTTCAGTTGTTTTAGAACATTTTTGAACTACCCGAATACAAGCCAACAATTTTTGCTTTTTCTGTTTGCAATCCCCCATTTTTCGATATTAACGAGGCTGAAGAGGTTTTTAAGTTTTATTTTGAATTTTAATCGATTTTTAGTAATTTTTAGAAATTTGCGTCAATTGGAGATGTTTCTCTACAAAATTTACCAAATAGAAGTAGAGGTCAACCACGCTCTGGAACAACTGCTATAGCTGAAGAAATTGCTTATAAAGTATTTTTAAATTTTTTAGACTTTGTTTTTGAGAAAAATGAGTAGATTTATGCCCAATAGGGACAGGTTATTCTAAAATCTGATTGAAAAAATTTTGAAACTCCGACCTAATACTCGACTTTTTTTACAATTCGATCCATATGAGCGGGACTTGTGACATCCCTGGCACTTATCCCGGGGAAGTAAATGAGAGAATTTTTCCTGGCTCTACATTCCTGATCAGATAGGTCAGATTATTCCGAAACCCGATTGGAAAACTTTTGGAGCCACGACCCGACCTGAATCGACTTTCTTCTCAACTCGATCCATATGAGAGTGACTTATGACATCCTTAGCACGGGTACAGCCCATTACGGTGCGGGCCAAAACGGCGCGACCGAAACGACGCAGGCCGAAACGGCGCAATGCCAAAACGGCGCACGGCCCAAAACGGCGCAAACCCTAAACACTGCACAGTGATAGTGATTAATCGTGTATCATCATTTGATCAACTGTGAGATTTATCAATTGATCTCTATGATCAACCTATTTGTGATCGATCTGACCTTAGTGATCGATCATTAGCCACCATTGCGTACACAGATCCTTCGAATTATTTAAAATCTGCAATAAGGTTTTGCGCATTACGGGAAAATTGTTCCAACACTGTGGAAGATCGTTCAGACGTTGAGAAAAGTTGTTTCAACAACGGTGAAGGCTGTTCCGACATCAACGACCAGAATAAAAATAACTAAAGTCTAGATGGTTACAGTAGTAATATGGGGATAACTATATAGTTCTAGGGGAACTAACTAGTAATATATGTAGTTATAGGGGAAACTAACTAGTAGTATTGGAACTATCTGAATCCCGCAGTTATTTCTCGCAGTTATACTTACTAGTAAGTATACGATCTAAATAGTTTTGTTATCACTCTTAATTTTTGTTATCACTCTGTTATCACAAGGTGTTGTTCAAATGCGACCTTTCATCTGCTATTTTTTGTTCCACCAAAAGATACGATAACCATTCGAGCTAAACCTCACGTAACAATATGTAGCTTATGGGAAATTTTTGCGCCGTTTTGGGCCGTGCGCCGTTTTGGCCTTGCGCCGTTTCGGCCTGCGTCGTTTCGGTCGCGCCGTTTCGGTCGCGCCGTTTTGGCCCGCGCCGTTTCGGGCGTGTCCCCTTAGCACTTATCCCGGGATAGGAAATGAAAGAATTTTTCCTTGCTCTTCATTCCTGATCCTTTTCACATTTTTAATCACAATTCCTTGTTGGTTTTATTATTAAAAATATTTTGTTTTTAGGGCGGTGAATTCAATTTTATTTGTCAAATGATAGAAGAAAGTCGACAACATCCCTTGAAGACAAGGTTTTTTTTTAAATATTTTTTAAAATTTATTTTTTAATTTTAAGAATCTACACAACAATGATTGGAAAAAGATCAACTTTAAAGAAATTAAAATTTTATGTGGAAGAGAAGAAAATTTCAAATTATAAAATTTTTACCTTAACTCAAGGAAGAACGTTTAGATGGGTTTTGGCGTGGACATTTTTTGAAAATATTAATTTGGATTTGAAAGAAAATAAATTTTAAAAGAAATTCTAAATTTTGGTTTATTTTTAATTTGTTTCTTTCAATTTTATATTTTTTTTTAAATTTTTCTTTATTCGTCCTTTTATGGGACTTTTATGTAGTCTTTTGGAAATGTATGCGGCCTGTGAAGGTGTTAATGGGATTTTTTAATGTTTGCCGGCTATCCCTGGACCCTAGGTTTCTTTTATGGATGAGTCTGGCACCCAAAACCTGGGCTTTCTTTTGATCCTTGCCTTTATCCTAATAAGCTCTTCAAAAAAAATTTTCATGTTTTTTCTAATCTTCGTTCATCCTATGATGCAAACACCAATAATTGTTACGGGAACGAACACAGGTCCTATAAAACTTGCGAAACCAAATAACACCTATGTAGGACGTATACATTCTCAAAGGACTCATTTAATCCAGAGCCGAATTTTTTCGTTTTTTTCAGAAATTTAGATAATGTCCACAATCCCAGTTTTTGAAGGTTTTCAAATTTATCCAACTCAATCAAAAAAATATTCAATGGAACAACTCTCTCAAAAACTTCCTCAACTTTTTTCTAATAAAAATGATCGAGTGGCTCAATTTGATGAACAAATGGAACTTATATGGTTTGGGTATGATTTTTTTTAGCCACGCTCCGTTTTCCTTTTCCAACATCAATCAACCTTAAAATTCGTACAGAATCTTCTTTGTCTGACTTATTAAGCAAAATAAATCGTGAATATTATTCAAATTTTTAAGATATTCCATATCCTAGGAGAGGAGTCCAATTGATTGATGATGGAAAAGAAGGAGCGTGGCTAAAAAACCATTTAAATTTTTTAAGTTCCGAACAATTTTCAATGGAATCTCTAATTTCTGGAAAACAATTTTTACAATTTCCTTTAAAAGAATATTTGCTAAATAATTTGAAAAAAACGGAAGAGGATGTTATTTTGGATATGGCAAAGTCTTTGATTGAAAGGATTGTTAAAAATGAAGAAGGAACGAATTTTGATAGGGTATTTTATTTTTCTGTTTTTTATAGACGGATGTGAAATAGAGGACTGGGTAATCACCAAAAAGGGGTCGAAACGATTAATGAGGATAAAAGGAGTCTAAAATTTAGTATAATTCAGAGGGGGGTTAGCTATTTCAACGTCTTTGGCTGTTCCGACCCACCTTTCAATAGATTCGAACAGGTCTAGAGTTTCTTCATTTCCAAAAAGTATCGAGGTTCTTACCAGAATTACGTCTTGTATCTGTTTCGAGTACAAGTACAAAGAAAAAGCGGTTATATGAGGAATTAATTTTTTCTATATTCTCTTTAAATATATTTTTTTAAAGTTGCTTGACTTTACTTTGGTTTTTATGGATTGTTGTGCTGAAATTGTCAATGGATCCATTTCTACTAAAATGATTGAATCTTTACAAGAATTATACAAAGAATTGGAAAATTTGGTTTTTTTCTTTAAATTTTAAATAAAAATTTATTTAATTTTTAAAGTTAACGAATGCTGAAACTTCACAAAAAAATTCTTCAGAAATTCTGTTCAAATCGAAGATAATTCCAACGGCTCCTTTAACTGATTATTATATGGAAAGAATTGAATTGAGAAAAATATAAAAAGAGAAAGTTTATTTTCATTTGTTTTAATAATTTTGGTGTTTATCTCCATCTCCGTCAGTTTTGATGATGAAAAAATTTTGCGGACATACATAAACTTTTAAAATTTTTATCTAAAAATTTTGGATGGGTTTTTAAGTTTACTGTGTTTCAAACTAATTTAAAGGCTGGTGTCAAAGGTTTACAAAAATTTCTAAACCTAGTCGTGCCTTTAATCTTCACGTTATTTTTGTCCGCAACTTCTGTCCGCAAAATTGTTTTTTAGACAAGAGAGGGATAAATACCCTTCTTATCTTTTTTGTTTTAATAAAAATAAATTTTTTTAAATTTTTGTCATGAGCCGTTTAAATTACTTGTTTTTCATAACAAAAATTATTTTTAATTTCATTTTTATTTTTTACTTTTACATTTCAGTTTTTAGAAAATGTTTTTATTATTTTTATTAGAATATTCCCCTCTTTTATTTATGTTCAAACTCATCAATGCTGACAACAACAAATTGCTTGATTTATCAACTTATAGTGATTTGCACAATGAAGGTTGTAATACTGATTTTAATTGCCCTAATGAAATGCGTTGTGAGGTTTGTTTTTGTTTTTTGGTTGGATTATCTGTTATGAGTTTTCGAAGGTTGTTCCTGGTCCGCTAAAATTTTTCAAAAAAATTTCCATGTCTGAAATTGTATTTTCTATTTTAAGCGCAAAAATTAACATTTTTAACATTATTTTTCCCTGTTGGGTATCGAACCTGCGTCTCCTCTATCTTAAACTTCGAAATTATCCCGCTAAACCAAAAAGGTATTACACTGACAATTCGAGGGATTTCTCTAGCCTTGCTTTTTTGCGCAGATAAAACTTGCGGACATGTCTGAAAATTCGAAAGTGGACTGTTTATATTCTCAAAATCAAATTCCAAATTTTTATAGGATTTTCTGGGTTTTCTTTTACAAATCCAAATAAATTTAATTAAAATTATTTTTTAGAAAGATACTCGAATATGTATGTGTATTGATGGCTTTATTTTCGCTAGCAATATTGCAATGTGTGAAGTCTCAAAAAAATTTGACAAATTTTCAATTCAAGGCCCTTCTATAATTTATTTAAACCAAACAGAAGTTTATTTTGATATACATTTTCATCAATATGAGGATCGAATTAGAAGCAATTGGATATTTGAATGGACTGTTAAAAGTGGGAAGGAATATGCACAATTTTCTGGAATTAAAACAAGGACTCTTAAAATGAAAATAGTTTGTTTAAAAATTTTAATTATTAAAATTCTGGGGAAAATTTTTTAATTAAAAGGATGGTGGGGTGGATCTTTATTTGAAAAATAGAGGTGTGCGGATCTCCTCGAATTATTATAGTTAATAACTTGTTGGTTTTTTGGATAATTGTTAGAGGTGCCGTAGGTTTTAGAGGAGCTCACCAGTCCGCTCGACATGCCCGGCTTCCTCCTTTATATGTAAGGGTACTCCATTTCGGCGGCTATTGAGGGTTTATTATGTTTACGGCGTTCTTTCCCCGGTTGACATTTTAGCGACTTTTTGGAGTTTGCCATTACGGCCCTATGCCATAACGGACCCTACGATTCTTCATATAAATTTTTTACGATTCTTCATATAATATTTAATTTTTTTATTTTACTAGTTAAAAGCAGGATTTATCAATTTTGCCATTTCAATATCAAACTCTACAGTTTCTGGCTATAGACAACACAATTTAACAATTTATGATCACAATTTATTGCCTGTTGCCAAAGTTGAAAACCTAAATGTTACATTACCTTTAAATTTTGTGTGTTTAAATGCTGAAAAGTCAATTAATGCAAAATATTTTAAATGGATTCCTGAAGACAATTTGCCTGCTGAAATGGTTTCTTTCTGAAAAATTTTTAATTTTGAAATATAAGTCCGCAAAAATATTTGTCCGCAAATATTTTTGCGTACAAAATAAATATTCCTTTAAAAACATACTATTCCTCTAATAATTTAAATAATATTTTTTTAAGCTTAGTGGAAGTTCATTAGACGACTCAAAACTTTTTCTTTCTAACTTGGTTCCTGGTGTCTTTCAATTTAATTTGTCTATATGGAATGATCATTCACCTATTAATGATACAAAAATTGTTAAATTATTTGTTTTTGGAGGTTTGCGTTTCTTTTTTATTTTTATATTGATCTTGCTGATCTTGAATTTTCGTCTTAGAACCAAAAATTGATTTAATTTATGACCTTCCTTTATTTGCGACAAAAAATTGCAGACATTTTTCAGTTTCTCTAAGCTTCTCAACCACATTAAACCTTTATACACAATAGAGGCTCTATCCGAAATTTTTAGTTCACAACACCAATATAGTGGTGTAGTGATATTACACTATTGAGGTCAATTGGTCATACCACGACTGGTGTGATCAATTTTCCTTTAAACTCTTTTTCAGATTAATATTAAAAATCTTTATTCTATTGATATGACTTCCCAACGAAAAGCAATCCTCATCCCAATTGAGGACCTTCACACCGTAAAGGCAGTCCATCGCCGCCCAACTGCACCAAAAAGGCCGACTGCGCCTAAAAAACGTAAGTTTTCAATGTAAGTTTATTTTCTGTTTCATTTTTAGTGCTGCACCTGTCAACGATGCGCCGCAAGTGCTTGGTGGACAATACGTGTCAGTGGCTATGGTTAAGGATGGTCCGTCTGGACAATGTCAACAGCGACCAAAACCGCAGAAAAAGTGGTAATTGTTGTTATGCTAACTTTAGCTTGACTTTTAGGTGACTAGCTTGACTTTTAGGTGACTATTAGCTTGACAATTAGGTGACTTAGGGTAGATAGTGCTAATAATTTACTTTTCAGGTTTACTTCTACTGGAATGAAGAAGGTTAAATGCTTGGCTCAAGCTCAGGCAGATGTTCTTGCAGGCAAGACTCTGCCTGCTGCTAAAGCTCCATCTCCCACGCCTCCGCATCAACCCGGAGTGCTCGATGAGAGTCGAGAGGGTGAAATATGAGTAAGTAGTTTATTATTTTTTCTTCATTTTTTATTTCATTTTAAGGCCCTATCAATTCCCTATAGCTGCAAACAAGAAGTCAACAGTAAGGCGATTCCGTGACTTGCTACGCGACTGCTGCACCTTCCAAAGTAAAGAAGGACATGTGCGGCGTTTTTGCTGCCCGGGGAAGCAGCAAAGCAAAAGAAGAAGAACAAGCAAAGCCAGGGGCAGAAGGCCGCAAAAAATGCCAAATGGCCGCCAGCCGGCAACAACACTTCAACAAGCAGATCTCGGATTGCGTCAATGCAATCATTGACTGTTGTTTACAATGTGAATTCTAACATTTTTGAATTCTAGGTAAGCTTAACTTTTATTTACAGATTGACCACCAAGCACCGCCAATTGAGGCTATGTTGAAGGAAATGTGCCAGCTGCCGCCACTCCTTTCTCCAATGTCTTCACCAGCTAGTTCGCCGCAGCCTGGTTGTTCATATGAGGCTGACTATGATGATATTATGGGGAATTCTTCGATGTGTATCCAGAAATGATGGGGAAGGAATCGGATTAAATAATGATTTAATTTTTTTGTTGTTAATAATTTTTTTCGAAGTAAATTTTTTTGTTTGATTGTGATTGATTATTTAGGAATTGTTTCTGAAACTAAGTTGTAATACCTTTGTTGTTAAGTAAAGCTGAACTGAGCTATAGCTATTTCTTCGACTATGCAAATATGGCTGCCATTGAACCAATTGTAAAAAATTAAAAAAATCAACCAACCAATCATTAGTGTCCGGACACATTTGGTATTCATTATATTGGTATTCACATTTGGTATTCATTATCATTAGTGTCCGGACACATTTGGTATTCATTATATTGAGCCACCCCTGCATAACCTGAGATTAAATATCTATATGCTTTACAATACAGGATCTTTTAGTAGAATTTCAGATTGATAATGGCATTTGGAAATTGCCAAAGCAATTTACAAGGCTTGTTGGATGCGTGGATATGAGATGATGGACAAGGAGCAATATTTGGTATGAGTATAAGTAACGGTAGAATGAGTTAGGATAACTAGGTATTGTAGTGGGGAATAGATAGAGGTATGATGGGTGATTAAGTAAGTTAGGTAAGTAGAGTAAGGTAGGTAAATAGGTGAGTATAAACTTAATTTCAGGTCAAATTCCAAATCGAGTTCTTGATGTTTTTATTGAGTGGATGGATATTCGGACAAGCACACTTCGAGAAGTAAATTTCCGATTGCCTCAAAGCAATCGTTGACGCCGTTATCGTTAATGTATGTACTAACATATTTGTATTTCCAGGTTAGCTAAGCTGTATTCCTAGGCTAGTTTTACATTGTGGATTGAGATAGATTACTTGTATTTACAGGTTGGGCACAGGTCAGAATCATTTGACAAGATTCTGAATCAAATGTGCAATATTCAGCTATTGACGTGCAATATTTAGTCATTGAAATCCTTGTCCGCAAGGTTTTATCCCAAATTCTGTCTGTAACTCTTTGCCGCAAATATCTGTGTCCACAAATATATTAACTCTATCAAAAATTTATAGAAATTGCTGAAGAAAATCTAATAGAATTAATCTCATCCTTTAATAATTTTACCTTTAAATATTTAACTGAATTGTCAAGTGAAATTGAACAAATATTGGAACAACAAGAAGCTGAAGAGTTAAATAATGACTATGTTTTGGTTAAATTTACTAAAATTTCTTCTTCTGAGGCAACTTTATTTGGAAGTGTTTTTTCTTCTTTTTATTTTTATGTTACAAAACAGTCAAAAAATGAAGGTTTTAATTTTATTAAAAATAATTTTAAAATCATTTTCCGAAGATGTGTATCGAACCCACGTCTATTTATACAAAATTTCAAAATTATCCCACTTAACCAAAAAGCTTTTACATTTTGGTTAAGTGGGTCCAAACGGGATTAGCTTACTTTGCTTTTTAACAACCTAAAAATTTTATTTTTTAACCTTTTAAAGATGTTCTTGATGGAGAACAAATAATTTCCTTACTTCAAACAAATTTGACTTTTCAGAAGCATTTTGGCATTATACAAATCAGCCCTTATTGTAAAAATTTTTTTAAATAAAAAACTTTTTAATAAAAATTTTAGATTGTAAAAAATGTTCAGGACATGGAAAATGTGATAATTTAACTAAAAGTTGTGTTTGTGATGATTTTTGGATGCCAAATATTTTTGTTAAAATAATGAATAATGGAAGGAATTTGGACTGTTGTAAGGTTTTTTAGAAATATTTTTAGGGATTATTTTCGAAGGCTAAAATTTAAATTTAATTTTTGGAATTTTGCGTTACACCCATTTTTGGTGAACAATTTTTCTATTCCTAAAGCAGTCCAATATTTTAGAAAATTTCCATCTTTTACATATAAGTTCCCATTTTTTCTCGGTTTCTTTTTTCATGAGTGCCAAAACCGGCATTTTAAGCAAACCCCTATACGGGGGTTTTCCAAAAATGCAGGGGTCGGGGTTTTAAAATATCACAACATGAGCTCAGATCTATACGATTGTAAAAATTTAAATTCTTTTTTTTCATTTTTAGCATGGCCTTCCATTCTAGTTTGGCTTTCATTATTTTTTGCAACATTTATTTTTATCAAATTTTTAATTTTTTATTGGAATAAAAATGAACTTAAAAGACTACAAAAATCAAAATTAATTAAAAAAATATTATTACAACATGATGATAACCAAAAATGTTTTAAGCAAAATGGAAGATTTAGTCCTGTAAAAATGTCAAAAAGAAGAAAAAATCGTGGAGGAGGAGGAGGTGTTGGTGATTGTTTAAATGAATTTAGAAGAATGTTTTTGGAATATTCGGGTATATTTTATTCATATTTATATTCTTGCCGCCCCGATTCCCGTTTCCCGAACGAGGGTATTCCCGACGTTTTCTTTGGGTTGGAAATTCCCGAAATCGAGAAATTTATTTTTCAGGAATTACCGATTTCCCGAAATCGGTAATTTTGTTTTTTTCGGTAGAATCCCTGGTACATATCTATCTATAGTAAGGGCGGACTGTCTCGCCCGTAATACAAGAGGATGTTGATTTATAGGGACCAACGTTCTCCTTCTCGACAAAGAACGAAGGAGAGCGTTGGGCACATAGATCAACATTATCGCGGTCACGATTAATTTAAATTCATTTTTTATTAGAACAATTTGGAATTTCAAATAATTCAAAAAATAAAAATGAATCAATCTGTCTAAAAGAATTTGATGATTCTTCTTCATCTGATTAAATTTTTGTATTAATTTAATTTATATTTTTTTATTTTTTCTTAATGATCCCTCGTTAATTTATTTGGGTCTCGTTTGGGTCAATATTTTTTGGTCTAGTTTTTTGATTAAAAAAATATATTTTTTTGACCCAAATTTATTTTATTTTAACTGATCTCAAATTATTTTTAAAATTTTTGATTTTTAAATTTTTTTTGTTTTTTTTATTGTTTAGAACATTAATTTATTTTTGACGAATTGCTTTTTTTAATCAATTTTTTTAGTAATTATTAATTAATCAATAGACTATATAGGTATTTATTTGTATAATGGAATATGCTCTACCAACACCTGCAGACCATTGTCGTGTACAAATATTGGTTTTTTATTTAAATTTTTTTGAACATTAAAGTTTACTTTAAATTCGCAGGTAAAGCCTATTGGACAATTCCCCTCAGCAATATTTGACAGATTGCTCAAAAAATTGGAAAATAAATTATGCGGTGTAGAAGGTTTTTTGAAACGTTTAAATATGATTTTGAATGATTTTTAGTTTTGACGAGTAAAAGCATTAGAAGGCTAATCTTCCCTAAATTTATTCAACAAGTAAATCCCGATCTTGCCAAATTTGCAGAATTTCAGGTTTGTTTTCGTTTTTGCTTATTCTAGTTAAATATTTTTCTTTTCATGGAGTTCTTTGTTATACAATTTAGTCCCCTCGGGTTTGATTAAATCTTGTGTCCTACATATTTAAGGGGGTCGTATAATTCGGGTACCTTAACTTTCGGGTACTTGTTGGTTAAACATTTTTATAAGTATCTCAAACTGTGGTCTATCCAACACGGCAGGGAGTATCTTATAGTGGGGGATACCCTAATTCGAGGATCCTTAAATTGAGGGTGATCCAGTTGCCAACCAACTTTTAGATAGACGTATCTTAAACCCAGGTGTTCTAAAGGGGGGATATCTTTGAGTTCCGACTTTAATTAAATATTTTTACTTTTTCTAATTAAATACAGGCCTTTCGCAAAATTTTTGGATTAATTTGTATTGGTCAATATAATGGATTTTATTTAAATTCTTCATTTGCTTCTTCTCCAAATCTTTCGCCAAATGAAAATAATTATAACCAAGAAATTAGGAGATCTTCTGTTGCAAAAATGGCGTCTCTTGAACCCGATTGTAGTTTAAAAAATGAAGATGGAGAAGGAGATCAAACTAGTGACCCTGAGGCAAAACAAATGAATATTTTAAAACAAGAATATCAAAAATTGAAGGTTTTTTTAAATATTTTCTTATTTGGAATTTTCTTCTTGGGATTTTGAGAATATTCGCGTTTATCACGACTTTGCAGAATTGTGTCTGTCTAGAATAGGCTCCGGTTAGCTCAGGATTTCTCTTTTTGGATTTAGAACGGTCACGGATACCGGGCTGAACAATGAGCCAAGGGTCAGTCATCACAGAGCTATGACTTTTTAAATGAGCGAATACCAGACGCTCTGTTGTGGTTGGATTCAGCATCGGGTGGGACGCACCAACAAATCCACAAAAAGTTTGATAACTTTTTTCCGCAAGAAAATTTTTTTCTTTTTTAAAAAATAATTCTTTTGTAGCAAGAATTCAACGATCAATTAGTTGACTCACGATGTGTTCTTTTTGGATTTAGCTCGGTTTAACCTTTCAAAACGTTTTCTTTTTTAAAAAATTTCTTTTTGTTTCAGAGTCAAAATTCAACAGAAATTCTTTCATTTCCTCGTTCTGATGATATTTCCCTACTTTATGATCAATTAGAAGCTTGTACAAGAGATTTACTTCGAAGTATTTATGTTGTTTTGGACAGTAAAAGATTGGATACTTCTTTTGAAAGAATGGATTCACCTCCTTATATTTTATTACAAGAAGAAGAAAAATATTTGATGGGAATTGATAATGTCAAAAGTAAAAATCATAAGTTTGTTTTTTCTTTTTTTAATTTTTTGGTTGGTTGTTCGTTGAGGGGGTTTTGAATTATTTAAGCGATTAGGAACAGGATTTATCATTTTCTTCATCTGTCACTTGGTTTTCTGTGTTTTTCTTGCTCTGGCTCCTACCTTTTTCAACTCGTAGCTACGGGTCCTGTCATTTCAAAATCTTTGCTCCGGCCAGAGCCTTCTCTCAAAGCCAACGACTCCGATGGCAAAGATTTAAAACCTCGGGTCAAAACTAACATAAGATTTGAAAGAGGACGGAACCACAAAACGCTTAATACCCACCACTGTCTTTCACTTGGAAAATCACTTAAACATTTGAGACTTTAAATTAAGATTTCTTGATGTTTCCTTAAAATCTATTTAAAAAATTTTTTTTCAGGAAAAAATGTATTGGACGTTTACGCAAAAGGCTTGCCGATTATGCTTTTTTAACTGGATATTTTGAAGGGGCTCTTAATTCTTACCATTCTGCTATTGAACTGCTCAAATCTACACAAGATATGCTTTGGCTTGCTGGTTTTTTAGGATTTTTTTTGATAAAAATTCTTCCTATTTTTTAAGCCGCTGCGGAAGGTTGGTGCTGTGCAGCAATGATAATTAAATATTCTCAACATTTATCTCCTTATCAGAAGGAAGGAAATTCAAATAGGGAAGGTTTGAGGCATGACACAAAAGTGGAAAACAGGTTTTTGGGGTTTTTTATGAAAAAAAAATTTTTTCCTCAAAGAATCTCAACACCCACAACATCCTCAACTTCTTCTCAACAACACCATTCACGTTATCGTCGATCTGACGATGCAGCAAAAATAATTATTAATCAAAGTGATACATGTGAATCTGATAACGAGAATAATAATGATTCAACTAGTAGTTCAACGTTTGTGGGATCTAAAACTTTTCCATTGGGGGAAGATCAAAAAGAAGATGGTGACAAAATTGGTTAGGAATTCTTTTTTAATTTTTCTATAAGACGGTTTTTAATTTTTGAGTCTCAAATAATTTGAAAGATAGTTTACTTAGATATGTTCTGATTAGGGTTGGGTATGGTTCCGAGAGCTGGCTCTAGATCTGGGGATCAAATTTTCAGGTCCCCGGAGTGGGTCGAAACTACCTCACCCAGCACTGGAGACTTTGTTCGTTAAACTTTTTTGGAAGTCAAAATATTGATCCAAATTTAAGATAAACTTACAAATTTTTTTCTGTTTTTAAAGGTGATTCTAAACAACCAGACAAACAACAACAAAAATTGCTCAATAATTTACCATTAAAAAATAAAAATTTACAGATTTTATCTCCATTAAATTCTTCAACATTTCCATCACCATCAGGAATGTCTTCAGCATTTAAAAGTTCAAGTGTTCAAAATTTGTCAACAAATATCCCAACTTTAAATATTAATGGTAAAACTACAGGAACAGGAACACCTCCAACAACTACAGCTCTTCCAAATAAAAATCTTTTAATTAATCGGAATGAAATTTTTGAAAAATTTGGTCAATCATTAGAAAATTATGCACGTTATTCTTTTGCTGTATATATTGAATATGAATGTATGATGAGAGCTGTTCATTTACAAGTTGTTAATCATCAATATGTTGAAGTGGAGGTTAATTTTTGGGGGTTTTTTGGGGATATATGGTTGGGTATGTAAATTAATTTTATGACAACTCTCGTATAGTTTGGGTGTTGTAGTGGTTAGCGTTTTAGACTTTTCCGTTTTTCTGGCTAGGTTCGAGTCCGATTGGACGTTATGAATTTTTCCTGATGTCCTTTTTCAATTTTATTTTTTTTCTCTTATTTTTTTATTAAAAAAATTTTTTCAGGCTTTTTTAAGAGAACAAACTTGCCGCTTTTTGGATGATAAATTTGTCACTTTTAATAATATTATGAAATCCTACATTTGTTTAGCAACAGCAGAAATTTATCGTAAAGTTAGTTTTTATTCTTTTATTAATTTAATTAATTTTTTACAGATTGGATTTAAAAGAAAATTTGCATTTTTTCTTCGTTTAGCAGTCTTTTTTCGTCTTTATATGGAAAATCAATCTGAGGCTGAATATAAAAAGGTTTTTCTTTTTTTTTGTCCGCAAATATTTACGGACAAAAAGAAAAATTAAAATTTATTTTTTAAAGGTTTATCCCTATTTAAATGAAAGTTTATCTGGTTATAAAATTGATTGGAGATTACTTTCTAATATTTCAACAAGCAAAAAGAATAGTTTAAAAACACAATTTTTGACAAAATTGGGTTCGTCAGAAACATTTTCTCTTCAAATTAAAGCAGTTCATGAAGTTTTTACTGTTGCTATGAGGGCAGGATTCTATGATATTGCAACTAGACATTTGTGTTTTATGCTTGAGGTTCGTATTTTTTATTTACAAAATTTTTTTGTCCGCATAAAATTTGCGGACAAATTTTTTGTCCGCAAAAATTTTGTTGCTCACAAACTTCTCAAAAAACTTTTTTGTGATTTCTAGGCATTTTTTGATCATCTAGACAAAGCCACATCACTTGCCCTAGTTGAAGAATTAACTAAATTAAATTATCAAAACAAAAAAGGCCAACAAAACTTGCTGCATGATTTGGAAAAACCTATAACTTTAGATTCTGTGCCATCTGTTTTATTACCTCCTTTGCAATTTACAAAATTTCCAATTATTAAGTAAGAGAAAAATATTCTAATATTTTTAATTAATTTTTTTAAAGAAATATTTCTATTCTTCCACTTGCTGAACATTTATCTCCAAGTATTCATCCATCAACTTCAAACCAGTCAAGCATTTTTATTTATTCTCCATTCCAGCAAACATTTAAAGGTTTTTTAAATATTTCATTACATTCGAACCTCACTATAAGTGGTTCAAACCAGGGATAGGAGATGGGACATCCTTACTTTCTACATCCGGAATTCGAAACACGACCCGAAAAAAGTTTAAAATACCGAAAGCTAAAATCCGCTTTGATGAAAATTTTGTTAACTCAAACTCCGAAACCCAGCCGAAACTTCTAAAAACCCTAAATCCAAAACCTTATCCGAAAAAATTTAAAATTTCTATCCAAAACTCGGTTTGACTTTTTTCTCAATCTACTCCATCTCTGGTTCGAACCTCACTCTTAAATTGAGGTTTATCTAATATTCGATTTTTATCTTATAGTGAGGTTTAAGTATATTTTTTTCTAATTAACAGAAATAATTTTTTTCAGAAGATATAATTTATTGGGTTGTTGGTTGCCATTGTGGAATCTCTATTCAAGTTGAAAATCCTCTTCCAATTGAATTAATTGTTGATAATTTAAAATTAATTACAGAAGGTTGTGATTTTGAACCTCATTATCTACGTCTTAATCTTCCTTCATGTTATGGTGGTGGTCCTTGCATTGATCAAACAACAAAGAATCTCGTTAAATTGATGGGAATACCTCGGTTTTTTTTCATTAAAAAAATTTTTTTTTAAGGTTTACAGTTTCTTTTGATCCTCGGAACCTCAGTTCTTCAATAGGACCCTCAGTTCCTGAAGAAAAATTTTTTGAATAAGATTTTTGAAGGTTTACCAATAAAAATTTTTTTAAGGGTCCTTGTTGAAAACAAAAAAATTTTTTTATGTTTTTTTTGCCTCGTTGACAAAAAAATTCTTTAACTCTTGGGAAAATTTTTTGTTTATTTTTTCCAAGTGACCTTTAGAAAAAAATTTTTTTTAAGGTCAACAGGAACGCTCAAAATTGTTGGTTATTCTTGTGAATTATTAGGTTGCCGGAATATTTGTAAATTTTCACAAGAAGAAATAACAACAACATCTAATTTACAATCATCAAAAAAATTTTATTCTGTTCGTATTCTTCCAAATTTGCCTTTATTAAGAATAGAAACTTCACTTAAACGTTCACCAACACTTTATGAAAATCCAAATGAAGCAATAGCTGAATTGTGTGTTTTTTCTGGTCAAAGGTTTTTTTTCGAAAAAATTTTTATTTAAAGAATTTTAGTTTTCCATGTAAATTGACTTTGTATAATTCAAGTTCTTCTGTTGGAATTAAAAGAATAAATATTAAAATACAACAACCACAGGTTAGAAAACTTCCGGAAGAAACCAAAAAATAAGTGGTGCCCGGAAGCCAGATTTTTGGAAATTAGGGGTTCAGGGTTGTAATCCGAGTTCCGAAATCTAGCCGAGTCAGCTTGAGGAAGAACCCAGATTACTTAAAAAAATTTCTGCTCTACAAGTGTCTCGTTCTGATCATTTTTTGGTTTTTTTTCTTTAAAAAATCATTGTCAGTGTCTCTGTCATCGAGTAGCCTAATAAAAGAAAAATTTTTAAATTTATTCTTTTAAGGTTGCTGCTGGAACTAAATTACTCAGGATAGATGATGAATTAAAAGAATCTTCAAATGAATTTGACTTTATTTTGAATGATGTAAGAGCTGGGGAAAGACGAGAAATTATTGTTCAAATTTTTGGAATTGGTTTGTTTTTCTTTAATTTTACATTAATTTCGTGGCATTTTGACATTTAAAAATCAGCAAAAATTGTCCGCAAAAATAGAAAAAAAATTTCAAGATGCAGCAACAGCAACACCATTAGACAATAATGAAGCACAAAAATTGGGAGGAAATTCAACAAACAAATTCGGTGTAGAGCAAAAAGTATATATTCGTAGACCAACATCTTCAAATTTGTCAACAACAATTATATCAGATGCAGATTTGCCTTTATATCAATTGAAGGAAAAGGAACAAAAACAGAAACAGCAAAAACAACAAAAAATAATTCATTCAACAGTTTCAACTCCTTTATTAAAACAAACTTCGGATGATGATAATATTTCTTGTACAAGTTCAACAACAACAGGTTCAGCAACAACAATAACAACATCTCCACAGCAACAACAACATCATTATGATTTGATTCCTTATACTGGGGTAAAGAAAATATTTTTTATTGGGGATATTTTTGTTTCTATATTTTTTTACCTCCTTTTAAAAATTACAAACAGACCAGAAACCACAACTGAATGACATTTGCGGATACCTACTATTTAGAACTGTTTAAAAAATAAAATTTTCCACGAGCAATTTGGTGCTAAAATAGACTAATCTTCCATCAAAATTTGATGCTGGGCATGAACTCATAGTCCATTCTTTTCTCAATCTCCCTTTTCAGATATTTCACTAAAATGCGAAAAATATATCGAACTCTGAAAAATGATATCTGATCGTTTAAAAAAATTTTTTATTTTATTTTTTTAGCGTTTGTTAATGGCTGAATTAGCCTTTACATACACTGCTGATTTGGAAACAGAAAATCAAGAGGTTTTTCAGTCTTTAAAGAAATTTTTCAAAAAGATTCTTTTTAGGAATATATTCGGTTTGCAAAATTGCCATTAGCGATAACTATAGTCCCAGCAGTTTGTGTTTCTAATTGGCAAGTATTGGCAGGAGATGGTCCATTTAGTCGATATGTGGCTATTGATTTGTCTAATCAAACTGAAAATGAAGCACAATTAACTTTTGGTTCGAATAATAAAAAGACCACAATTGTTGTACAACCTAAAGAAATTTGCAGGTTTTTTAAAATAATTTGGGGAGTTTTTTACGTAGGGAATGGCCTGGTTACTCAAATCCATTAATAAACCAGGGCATTTCTTCGACTCGAAATTCGAAACCAGACCTCGAAATTTTCGAAAATTCAGTTCGAAACTCGGCAGATTTTTTCTTAATTTTCAAAGGTGTATCCAGGGATCAGATTTCAATATGGCTATAATGGGGCCTCTTCCCTACCTGCCTTCTTCCCTACCCTTTCCTCCCTCCACAGCACCCTGGATACATCTTGATTACTTGAGCATAAAAAACTTTCAGACTTCGGGACATCATCGCACATATTTTTTAAATTAATTTTTAGGGTACCCCTTTTATGTCCTTGTTGTACCCAAATTAAATCAATATCTTTTCATCGAGTAACAAAATGTGCTTCTTATATAATGCAAATGCAAGAAATTGCCCTTCTTCGATCAAAAATTGAGAAGCATTTATTAAACCATTTGGAAATTAATTGGAGGATTGAACAATTAAATGTTTGTTTTAATTTAATTTTTTAATTTCTGAATAAGAAAAATTGTTTTGAGGTGTTGGGGTTCGAACCTCCCTTCCTTTTAATGAGTTACTTTTTACCCCAGTCAATATGTTGAAATAGAGCTTATTCGCTTGGTTATGTAAATTAATTTTTTGTGAAAAATTATAGATGTTCGATGGTGTATTGGTTAGCGTTGTCGGATAATTAAATTTTTCAGTCGGGTTCGACCCCTTTTACTGGAAATAAATTTTTCCGTGTAGTATTTTTTCTTAATTTACTTTCTTTTGTATTTTTTTGAAATTTTTTTATTACAAAATTTTTTAGAGAATTTTTTAATTAAAAAAAGGGTTTCAATTTTTAGTTAAATGGACAAGTACCTGTTGGCTCACTTTTATCATCAGTTTCATTTCTTCGTCAAATGGCATTGCCAACACTTACAATAGGTTTATTTTTTAATTAAAAAGATTTCTGTTAATTTTTTTCTTTTTAGCATTACAAATTGATAATCAAAAAACAACATCAACAACAACAAATAATGATTTTAATGTTGTTCAAGTTGGAGAAATTGTTTGTGTTTCAATTTCAATTTATTTTTCTATTGGAGGTTTTTTTTTAATTTTGAGGGGATTTTTTTGGTATTCGTAAAAAAAGAAGAGGGATCTTTCGAGGGGTTAGGCACTTTTTTTAACCATTTTTTCCTTTGGATGGCCACACCTTCCTAAGTTTCCTTTAGAAATGATTTTTTGGTTTTTTCGGAAGGATTTGGAGTGCCGAAATTTTTTTTTATTTTTCTCTTTCATATAAACCAGGGATATTAACGGCCTGACAAAAAAAAGCGCTTCGGGTTTCCAAAATTTTCTTCAGATTAGGTCTCTCGGGTAATCATCCCACTGATATTAACTTGTCCATTTAATATCTAGGTACATTAACTGGCGAATTATCCCTCGGATGTTATCAAAATTTTCAAAACAACAACAACAATACTTCAATTGAACATCCAGACAAATTTTTTGTTTTTGGTCCAAATTGTTTACCTATAGAAATTGAAGGAATAAAAAAACAAAAAGAAGAGGAAGAGAAGGAATTTGTTGGAGAAGGAAGGGAAAGGAGAGGAGGTTATTTTTCAACAAAAATTTGTTTTGCTTTTTGTTTTGAAGGAATATATAAAATATTCCCAAAATTCGAAAAAATACAAATATTTGATGAAGAAAGAAAAAATAATTTTGAAGAATCTTTGTATACCCTAAATAATGAACAAGATATTTTTATGACGGCACTTTCATTTAGTGTAATTAATAAATAATTTTTGATAAAATTTTTATTTGAAATTTTTATTTTAGTATTGATTTTATCGATTAGTATCGATTTTTTGAAAATTTGAAATTTTTACAATTTTTAAAAAATCGATATATCGATTAGTATTGATTTTATCGATTAGTATCGATTTTTTGAAAAATTAAAATTTTTAAAATTTTAAAAAATCGATATATCGATTAGTATTGATTTTATCGATTAGTATCGATTTTTTGAAAATTTAAAATTTTTAAAATTTTAAAAAATCGATATATCGATTAGTATTGATTTTATCGATTAGTATCGATTTTTTGAAAAATTAAAATTTTTAAAATTTTAAAAAATCGATATATCGATTAGTATTGATTTTATCGATTAGTATCGATTTTTTGAAAAATTAAAATTTTTAAAATTTTAAAAAATCGATATATCGATTAGTATTGATTTTATCGATTAGTATCGATTTTTTGAAAAATTAAAATTTTTAAAATTTTAAAAAATCGATATATCGATTAGTATTGATTTTATCGATTAGTATCGATTTTTTGAAAAATTAAAATTTTTAAAATTTTAAAAAATCGATATATCGATTAGTATTGATTTTATCGATTAGTATCGATTTTTTGAAAATTTAAAATTTTTAAAATTTTAAAAAATCGATATATCGATTAGTATTGATTTTATCGATTAGTATCGATTTTTTGAAAATTTAAAATTTTTAAAATTTTAAAAAATCGATATATCGATTAGTATTGATTTTATCGATTAGTATCGATTTTTTGAAAATTTAAAATTTTTAAAATTTTAAAAAATCGATATATCGATTAGTATTGATTTTATCGATTAGTATCGATTTTTTGAAAAATTAAAATTTTTAAAATTTTAAAAAATCGATATATCGATTAGTATTGATTTTATCGATTAGTATCGATTTTTTGAAAATTTAAAATTTTTAAAATTTTAAAAAATCGATATATCGATTAGTATTGATTTTATCGATTAGTATCGATTTTTTGAAAATTTGAAATTTTTACAATTTTAAAAAATCGATATATCGATTAGTATTGATTTTATCGATTAGTATCGATTTTTTGAAAATTTAAAATTTTTAAAATTTTAAAAAATCGATATATCGATTAGTATTGATTTTATCGATTAGTATCGATTTTTTGAAAATTTAAAATTTTTAAAATTTTAAAAAATCGATATATCGATTAGTATTGATTTTATCGATTAGTATCGATTTTTTGAAAATTTAAAATTTTTAAAATTTTAAAAAATCGATATATCGATTAGTATTGATTTTATCGATTAGTATCGATTTTTTGAAAATTTAAAATTTTTAAAATTTTAAAAAATCGATATATCGATTAGTATTGATTTTATCGATTAGTATCGATTTTTTGAAAATTTAAAATTTTTAAAATTTTAAAAAATCGATATATCGATTAGTATTGATTTTATCGATTAGTATCGATTTTTTGAAAATTTAAAATTTTTAAAATTTTAAAAAATCGATATATCGATTAGTATTGATTTTATCGATTAGTATCGATTTTTTGAAAAATTAGGAAATTTTCATTTTGTGGGAAATTTTAAATTTTATTCAATTTAAAAATTTGCCAAAATTTGGCGTAATGTCAACTGTGCCAAATAAATGACAGTTTATCCCAAAAATTAATTATGTTGATACCGGACAGTTGAGTCTGAAGACTGAAAATTGAAGAAATTAATAGGCCGGTTGGGTGCGGCAGTTGAGTGTGAGAGGGAGATTCTTAAAAATATTATATTTTTCAATAAATCGATACTAATCGATAAAATCAATACTAATCGATAATTATTTTAAAAAACAATTCTTAAATATTTATATTTTCAAGAAAATAGATATCAATCGATAAAATCGATACTAAACCATAATTTACTTATAAAAAGTTAAATTTCCAAAAAATCAATACTGATCGATACTTTTTCTTAAAAGATTTATTCTTTCCAAAAAGATCGATAAAATCAATACTAATCGATAATTTACTTAAGAATTCTTAAATTTCACAAAAATCGTTTTTAATTTTTGCCACTTCGCTCTCAAAATGAGCACCGAATTGGCCATAAATACTAATATTTATTTTTTTCTCTAACTACACTATTTCTCTTTTATAATTTCTCTAAACAACAGGACGAAACTACTCGGGATTGTTTATTAAGGAACGCCTCAGTTAAGTCAGGACGGTTGAGTCCCCACCAAGTTATTAATAAGTTATTATAAAACACAATAAGATAAAGCCAAAACATTTCATACAACAAAAATAAAAACCCAAAAAATAAAAAACAAAAAATTTTAAATTAAAAAAGATAAACACCAAAAAATTCAAAAAAGATTGTTGTAGAAGCACCACTTATCTTGTAATCCATTGAATGTCCATCTTGTCGTTGCTTTTCCTGTTGATATTGTTGCTGGGAATTGTTCGTCTGAAAGGGAAAAAAGAATTTAGCGTGATTTTGGACCTCAGTTCAAGCTTAATATTTCCGTGAATTTTTGATTGGGGGGATTACACAAATTTTCCCTCTTACTCCCTCTGCCCAATCCAATGAAAACAGTCTGTTACAAATAAACAGAACAAAGAGTCAAATGTTCTTTGGGGGAATACGAGTATGACCCCGAGGAATTTAGACGATGTTGGGACAACGAAAAGAAAAAACCGATACATTCACTTATATCAATAATTTCAAATCCCAAAACTATTCAGAAATCCACCCAAAAACCCCTTCAACTAAAAAAAATAAATAAAATAACTTCAATGTCTCAATCACGTTTTCCTTCCCTTCCAAATATTCACAGCCAAAAGCTGCCAATGCTCGACTGTTCCCGCCAGGAACGCCAACCCAAAGAGCGTGTTCATCCGCAGTTAAACATGTTAAAAAAAAATTTTTTTAAAGAATTCTTAAAAGTACTAAATAACCTTTCAAGCCTAGTTTTCAGGAGCATGTGCTGTATCCAAAGCAACATCAAAAAATTGTCCAAAGGCTCGTCGTCATCAATTGGGCTCAGATCTAAAGAAAAATAATTATTTGGTGAAAAATAAAAAAGAAACAGCATAGAGTATCGAACCCGTGCCCTATTCACATTTAATCGGCAACGCTACTAACTTAACCAACTGTCATTACGAGAGCCTTGTAAATTTTTTCTCTATATACAAATGTGAATTTTGAATTTGGGGGATCAATTCTTATTATCAAACTCAATAGCCCAGTAAAATAATTAAAAACCTTTCACACTTCATAATCTGCACATCTACAAGCCAAATAAAAGCAAACATCATTGTCGTCTTGTTGAAGCGAATGCAGCTTTGCCAGTTGTCCTCTGTGTTGAGAATGTTGTGATTCAACCGCTCAGCCATTTCCTAGAAAACAAAATATCATCTGATCCAGACAAACAGAAAAACCTGAATAAACTCTGCAGCCTCTCTCCTATATTTAAGTTCGGCAGCCGAATCCATAGACATTCTAGATATCAGCCGAGAAAGCTCATCGTCTGCAAAATACCATTTTGGTTTCCTTCCAAGTTTGCTAGTTGATGCAACTGGTTCTGTCATCTTTCAAGATCCATACTAAAAGCTCTAAAATGTTTAAAACCCCTTCCCTATACAAACAATTGCTAAACACTATTTCTAATCGAATTTGGAAAAGAGGATTAATCACGGATTAACTCGGGGATTGTTTGCGGACAAAACTTGCTTGTGTAAAAAAAGGCAAAAAACAAACCTTTTAATTTTTAAAAAGATCCCATGGACGTCCAAAGTGCTTTGATGATCTTTTTGATTTTTTCTTCTTATTCTGTTAAGTTTTGGTTCTTCTTTTTGCTGATTTCTTCTTTGTTCTTTTTGATTTGTTGTTCCTCTTTTTGTTGATTTTTGTTTTTGTTCTTCTTTTTGTTTGTTGCTGCTGGACAATTCTTAGAGGCATGGCACTAAATAAGTTAAATGAGTTTGTTTAGGCAGAGTTATAAACTAACCATAAAGCTGATGAGCAGTTATCAAAGTACCATATAAGCAACAAGTCCCATGAAAATGCCAGCCAGACCGCGCTACCCCACACAGAAGGAAGAACTCCAAACAGATGCCAGGCGAATTCCATACAACAGCCGTTAGAACTCCAACAAAGCCAAACTCCAAACAAATGCCAGAAGAACTCCTACAGATGCCGAAGCAAATGCTAGAACATTCCCCCGAACATCTGACGGAACGTTCGAACATTGTCGCAATTCTTTCGCACAGTTGCTGGGTTATTCCCCCGCACATTAGCCGGAACATTCCCCCACATAAACAGATGAAGAACTCCAAACATTGCCAGGAGAATTCCATACACCAGCCGTTAGAACTCCAACAAAGCCAGACTCCAAACAAATGCCAGAAGAACTCCTACAGATGCCGAAGCAAATGCTAGAACATTCCCCCGAACATCTGACGGAACGTTCGCACATTGTCGCAATTCTTTCGCACAGATGCTGGGTTATTCCCCCGCACATTGCCGGAACATTCCTCCACGCATGCTAAAACCCACGCGACACGCCTAAAGGACCCGCGCAACACGCCAAAGGGGACTTGTGCTTTTGATGTTGGAGAGAGAGCTCCACATCCGCCTCTACTGCTAAAAATATGATTTCATTTCTAAAGTTAAAAAAAACTGAAACTAACGTTTTGAAACAAAACCAGATTGATGAAGTCCAGATGCAGCAGCTTCTTTGGTTGCAAAGCATACAAAGCACTGAATTAAAAAATAAAGTAATGTTGTTGTATTGAAACACAGCAAGCTTTGTCCGCAAAATGGGAAGAGAGGGGGGGGGGGGTGAAGGGCAAATGAAATCGTGCCAAATACAAGCCAACAGTGTCTGAAGACCACCATCATCATCGCTCATCTAACAGTTCTAAAAAAGAAAATAAATAGGAGGAAAATTAAGTAGTTGACTAGAAAATTGGGGCATTTTTCACCCGTGGCATAACTGGTAGAACGTTAGGCTCACTTGTTAAGAAAGGGAGTTCGAACTCCAATGGAAAACCGGAACAATAATCGAAAACCTCTCTCGTACCCAAATGAAAGCTTCAGGCACTAGATATGCCCTTCTTAAAAATTTCGGCACTATATGAAAGGAGGTCGATAATCGTTTTTTTCATTACTTTTTTCATTAACTTTTTTCCTTCCTTAATTATAAATAATGGTCAGTCTTTTCTTTCTCGTTCACTTCCACTCTTTTTACCTGTGGCATATTCAAATGAGGACAGACAAAAACACACACGGACAGACAAAACTCGAGTTTTCTGCTCGTCTTCGTCCGTGTTTTGTCTGTCTGTTTCCGTCCGTGTTGGCTCTGCCCGTCTTCGTCCGTGTTGGCTTTGTTCGAGCACGCCCGAGTTCTGTCTGTCTGTGTCCGTCCGTGTTTGTCTGCCCGAGTCGGCACGAAAAGAAAACATGAGACTTTTTGTCTCTTTCATTTCTTTTGATTATGCCACAGGCAAATATAATGGAATTGAACAAGGAGGAAAATGCTGACCATTCTGTCATATCAATGAAGGAAAAAAGTAATAGAAAAAAGTTATGAAAAAAAACGATTATCGACCTCCTTTCATATAGTGCCAAAATTTCAGTCAAGAGAGTGTCCCGCTGAAATGATAGATCACACTTGAAGGTAAAAAAATCCCCAATATAATCTAAGCAAATTAAAAGAAACTAACTTGTTCAACCTCAATAACCAGTCCCTTCTCTTCCAAAGCATTAGCCAAATTGCAATAAGCATCAGGGAAACTTTGTTGTAGTTCAATCGCTATTTTGTATGTTTCAACTGCCAAATCCAAATGTCCTTGTTCATAATAAACACAAGCCAACTCTCCATGTGCAACCGCATGATTGATTTAGAGCTGCTGCACGAAGATAGCAGGACACAGCTCTAAAAAATAAGAAAATAAAAATGAAACGGGAGGAGGGGAAGGGGTAGAGCAAGGTTTTGATGAAGTCGGAATCGACTAAAATCCATCCTTATAAGAAAGCATTAAAATGCCTGACGGGCTCCGGTTCGAGGGTCCACCCGTCGTTTCATGAGAGTAACCAGAAAGTACTCAACATTTACAAAAATCGGTAAAACAAGGTTTCGTGAAGCTAACGGAACCGAGAGACTTTAGTCCATTTTCACGTGTCAACAAAAGGGTCGGCAAACAAGATTTTGATGAGAAGAGGGAACCCCACTCTACTAGTCTATTCATAAAAACTCTTACAAACCTGATGATCAACAGCTCCAACAGTATTTGAAGAGACGACACTTATGTTTTGCAGGTTCAGGCTTTGTCCTTGCGTTGTTCCTTGATGGATTTGAAGTTGGTGGATGATTTGATGAGAGCCTGATGTGTTGTTTTGTAGTACCTGAAAGACAAGTTTGGTAAAATTGAAGTAGTTCACAAAATTCAATACCTTATCAAATGCACTGGTTCAAAAATTGTAGTTGTTTAGAAGCATTGGAATATGTTGAGGCAATTGTGCCTTGGACATTGAAATGTTGAGCATGGACAATTAAAAAGTCCAAATGAATTACATTTTTTGTCTAAAAATAAAAAATATTGTTTACCCCCTCTTTGGAATAAAAAAGAAAATGTGGAGGAAAAGTTAAGGAAAACAATGAATGCTCAAAAAAGTATCCCTCTTCATTTATTGATCGTTGTTGCAAACTTTGCTCAGACAAACAAAAACATGTACTGGTTAGAGAAAAAGAATCGATATTTTCCTTCATAGGAAAAACAAAAAAATTAAAAGGAAAAGCAAAGCCCGCCAAAAAATGGCCGCCATTATTTCTCTTTTTCTTTCCTTCACTATTTCTTCTTTGTCATTTCAAAATGTAAATTGTCAATAAAAGCCGTTTGAGTGCCATTTTGAGTGTGTCCTACAGTATGAAAATTAACAAAAGCAAATCGCTTGCTTCATTAATTAATCACATCATTTCTAAAATGTCAATTAAAATAAATTAAATAAATATTCAAAAGATTTAAAAATCTATTCAAAACATTAAATAACAAAATCCCCTATCATTTTATCACCCTATATTTTTAATTAAACATTACAAATTAAAATTACAAAACAATCAGCGCGTCAAATAAGAGAAAAAATATTTCTTTTTTTATATCACATTTTTGTTTAGTTGTTGTTTTTTTATTCCAATTTTATTCAAGAATTCCAAGCATTTGCATATCTATTTCTCTAAAAAAAAAGGAAAAATAAAAATTTAAATCCTTGGAAAAAAAACTTTTGGCTCTACTTTAGGACATACGTCCCCCAAGAGCTTTTATGCTTCCATCAATGTATGCCTTCCAAAATAGCATAAGCAAACATTAGAAGTTGGGACGGGACAGGAACCGTCTTATGGATCCCCGCCCTGGTATGTATGGGCCTAACGTAGAACCACAAAAATTTTTTTATTTTTTACCCCTTGGAATGGCCTAGAAGAAGTAGCAGCACTTGTTGGTTTACTACTTGTAGTTGCAGCAACATTGGGTTGTTGTTGATCAATATTAGGCATTGGAGGGAATTGCTGGTGATGTTGGAATGATGAGGAGAAGGAAAACATTTGTTGTTGTTGTTGTTCATCATCAAATATTGGGGTAGAACTTGTTGGGGTTGTTCTTTCTGGTTGTAAATTTGTTGTTGAAGTTGATATTATTGGAGGTGGAGGAGGCGCAATTTCTTCTATTGCTTGGCCAGATTTATCAACATATTTATTTTGTTGAGGATCCCATACAATCTGTGGGAAAAGAATTTTTTAATAGAAAAATAATTTTGGATTTTGGTTGAAGGATGATCCAAACCAATCCACCTGGTTCGGACCCAATAAAACGTTAAAAAAACCCGAAACTCCCAAAAAATTCAAAATCCACGCCTAAAGTGAACTGCCTCCAAACCCCTAGAAAATATTATTTTTAAAAAACCTCAGGATTTTTATCATCAGGTAATTTCATTGTATTATGTCCTTGAAGTTGTGTAATTTTAGAAAAAAGTCCACCAATCTTTCCAGAAAGAAAACCTCCACCTCCACTACTTCCTCCAGTAGTTGAAGAACTTCCAATATTTTCATTTTCACCTTTTATATTTTTTTCATTTTTTGTTTTTTGAAGAAGTGGAGGATGTTGTTGAACAATTTTTGTTGGTTGTGGAGGAAGTACATTTGACGAAGTTGAAGAATTTCTTCTTCTATTATTATTATTAAAAGGAGGAAGAGGAAATTCATGTTGGGGTAAAAAAGAAGAGTCTCCAACACCTCCACTTGGACGGCGAACTTTAAAGAAATTTTTAAAATGTGTGCGGACATATTGGGACAGACATATCGGGATTGTTGAGAGAAAAATAATCCCTGGTTCTAAAATGTAAAATTTATTTTCTTCAATAGGGCAATGTACTACAGCCTAATAAGAACCATTGGCTGTAAGCCTCAAAATCAATAGGGAAACAATTCGTACATTGAAATATCCCGATCAGACCTGGGCGAAACTCAAAATTTTTTTCTGACGAAACGAAACGAAACAAAATTTTTTAAAAATCGTTTCGTTAACGAAACGAAACGAAACAACCAAAATCTTACGAAACGAAACGAAACAAAACGAAACATTTTAATATTCAAAAAATTTTCAAAACTGCATTTATTTCGAAATTATTCGACCTCAAATACGTTATTAGTCGACTATGACTTATAAATGATTTAGTTATTGGTTTATTTACAACAATTGTGTCCCATAAGCCAGGCCCGTAGCAAGGAAAATTTTCGGGGAAGGGGGGGGGGGGTCAATCATTTTCGAAGCCAAATTTTTGGCGACGCTTTTTTTTTAAATAAAATTGAATATTTTTCAAGTAAAATTTTATTTTAAGCGCCGCAGACGAAAAATTTTAAAATTTTGAAAGGCCGTAGGCCAAAAAATTCACCATCTTGCTCCATTGCCTACCCAAATTGTCTCCATATCTCCATTTCGAGAGGAAGGCGATATAAGCTAGTGCTTCGCCGGAAGTTCCGGTTCCAGTATTTCCGCAACTCGCAATCCGCAATTTTTAAATTATGATGCGAGTCCGGTAATAGAATTTGTCGTCGATTAAGTAATATGTATATGTGGATTAGGGAGTGGAGTATAAACGGATTTGTAGTATATAAGTAATTGCTATCTTCCTTTTTCAGCGCCGCAGGCGAAAATTTTGACAATTTGGGAAAGCCAAGAAGCCGAAATTCTTTTTTTTTCAGCGCCGCAGGCGAAAATTTTTTAAATTTTCAATAAAAGATGGTAAATTTTATAGATTTTGGCCTTAGTTTAGGCTTAAAAAATTGTTTCGTTTCGTTGAAAAATCACAGGTGTTTCGTAACGAAACGAAACGAAACAAATTTAAAAGTGTTTCGTAACGAAACGAGACGAAACAGTAAAAATCATACGAAACATACGAAACAACGAAACGAAACGAAACGTTTCGCCCACGTCTGATCCCGATACGTCCGCATCAAAAATTAAAAAAAATAAACTATAAAAGAAACCATTTTCTTCAAAAGATTCTCTTCCACCTCCACTATCTTCAGAATTAGAACGATTTGAACGTTCACTATTAGGCGGCAATGAATTAACAACTTTAAGGATTGGTGGTTCTTCTATTGTTAATGGTTGCTGTTGTTTCTGGTGCTGATAAGGTGGAATTGGTGGAAATTCCGGCGGAATTCCTCCTCCTACAAAATCTTGTGATGGAAAAGAAGCAATTCCTGTACACAATTCTTCATTATTTACAAAACTTTCCTGTGGACGATGAACAAAAGATTTGACTAAAAAGAATAAAAATTAACCTCAAATTTCTTTTACAAATCAAAAAAAACCTTGGGTAGGAGAAGAAGCAGTAATTTGTTTTTGTTGTTGTTTTTCTTTCTTCTTCTTTTCCTCTTTTTTAATTTCTGGAAAATAATTTGGTGGTGAAGAAGAAATTGTTTCGGATGCTACAAATGTTTCTCCAATTGATTGTGAAGAAAGATGGGGCAATTTTGGCGGTGCCCATGATTTATTAGGATTGTGAGGATGTTCTCGTCCTGGCTGTTCTAAAATTTAAAAAGATTAAAAATCAAGAGTTTCTTAATGGAATGAGAATCATTCGGATTATAAGAAATTTTGAATAGTTATAACTAATAATAATTGAAAAATCAATCAGCGCGCGCTTATCCGGACATAACTTTTTACTGTATATTTTGATAATAAAGGTCCCAACAGAAAAAAGAATCCGCATAGCTTTCGATTGATACAAGAATTAATTGAATCGGAAGAAAACTAAAAAAGTTATAGTCGAAAAAAAATAGAAAATCATGACTATCCACTCTTAACTCGCTATACTTTTTATGGGACATTCTAAAATCGAGGTTCCATTAAGGAAAAGAACCCGCACATTTTCCATCTACTTAAAAAATAAATTCAAAAACCTTTGCCCTCGTTTAAATTATAAAGTTCAATTGAATGATCAAATCCTCCAAGTTCTCCAAGTAATTGAACATATTGCCTCTTTGTTTGAACAAAATCATCAGACTGTGAAAGAGCTGTAGTTGCATTTCCATTACCTAATCTTAATGCATATTCGTAAATTTCTGTTGCTTGATAATCGAATACAGACCAACTGAAAGAGAAAAATTTTTGTAACAGAAAAATCTATATCAAAAACATACCCAAAACGTGTTATACAAGAATTTAAAGAATCATCGGGTATTGAAGCATTTAAAAGGCTGATATGTTTGCGATATTTTGGATGGTCATCTAATTCACTAAAGGAAAAAAATTTTTAATTTTAAAAATTGGAACATTGGTCCCATCAAAAAATGAACAACGAGTACCCCTTGATATTTCTGAGGCTTGTCAATAATCGAGTATGCTGACATGAGTCTGAGGAGCACGAAATTGTTTGTTTCAAACCCCAGACCCGAATTCGACTGGTAAAATTCAAGTAAGAGCTACTCGCTTACCTACTGGTAAACCTCAAAGTATCAAAAGAGCACTTCCTGCCCATTTTTGCTCTTAAGGACCAATGCTTTTAAGGATTACAAAATAAAATTTAAAACAAAAACCTATCATTTGGTGGTTGAAAACAATTATAACCCGTCAATAAATTAACAGACAAAAAACAAAAATCAGCAGCAGCATTAAATTCTTTCTGTGCTAAAGACAATCCTAATTGATATACTGCATTCATTGCATTTTGTGTTTGAAGATTGGCGAGAACTATAGCAATGTGGGCTCGCCATCCGTTTGTGTCATCTGTCGTTGGATTATTCTAAAAAAGCATAAAAATTGATTAAAAGGAAAGCTAATAATTAAAAAATTTTTATGACCATTTTACATCCGTAGTCTAACTGGTAAGGTGCTTGCCTCCCTTACTAAAACGATAAAGGTTCGAACCCCACCAACGGCAGACAATTTTTATTTGCAAGAAATTAAAGGGTTAATGAAAAGAAAATTTTCTATCGATAAAAAAATCGTAAAATGACTATTTTTTTAACCCAATTAAACCCAAAAATAGAGTATAAAAAATAAAATTTACCCACCAATAAAGGAACAGGCGAATCAGAAGCCACATTTATTAAAGTAGTTATTGGATGATTGGGTGATCTATAAGCCATCAATTTTGCTTCGATTGTTTCTTGTCGGTGTCTATCATTACGGAATAAACGATGAGCAAGCATTAAAGCATCAAAAAACAATCCATCTCCAATTGCGCTTTCAATCGCTTCCTTAAAAATATTTGGCAATTTACTTTACGTAGGCACTTTATTTATTCGCAAGATAATTAGGCTAATGTTACTGCATACAAAACTTAGGAACCATTGAATCAGTGAGACGCGTCCGCAAAAATCGACACCTCGAATAAGGACGCTTTGATAATTTTGAGATTGCGATTAAACGGGACGGGAAACAATATTGGTAGTATATATACTATATATAACGGAGTAAATGATTTTTAAGAAGCAAATAGAAATCCAAAAAACCTCAATATGCCCTCCAAGCAAATATCTTGTAATCCGTTCCATTGCTTGCGGATCAACACTAACTGATGATTTGATAGAGGTTTGTGACTCTGTCCTCAAAAAGCTTTGATTTGAAAAAGGAGTATATCGATCACTGGAACAAAGTAAACGAGCCAAATCAGGTCCAGTAACTTTCTTAAAGTTTTCAAAAATATTTTAAAAAAGACAAAAATCGAAAACGAACCCCTTGCTGCCTAACTAGCATTTCTAATAAAGCCCAAATAAGAACACAATCATTTGCATCGCCAGATTTTGGATTTGCTCGGTAAACATCAGACGAATAAATCCTCTCAATTTGGCGTTGTATAAACAAAAGTGGAGTTTGTGGTGGAGTATAGTCAATTAATAAAGGACCTAAAAAATTTAAAGGAAAAAGATTAGTCAAGAAAAAAAATTCGAAAAATAAGCACACCTTTAAAGTTCTCAAACGTCTCAACAAAACGTCGCCCCTCGGAGTCTTTGTAAAATTTTTTGGTATTTTCAATGCATACAATACTAATTCCAATTTCTGGGTTGACAAAAACAATGCGTCCTTTAGCAGCAAAATGAATAGGAGCATGAGGTGCTCGATAAAACATTAGCTCTAAAAACAAGATTAGAAAGCTTGAGTAAACTTTAATAAAAAATTAAACCATTAGCCAAAGACTGCAAACTATTTTCACTGTCACCATCAGCAAAACTTGGCCTATCACTTGCTCTATAAAAATATATTTAAAAATTAAAAACAAAAATAAGAAAAAAACCTGCTCCCGGAAGTAGCTCTTTCATCGCTAAAAAGATGTTTTTGTGCCAGTTTATAAGCCAATTTATTCCGTTCAAGCATTCGTCTTTTGTATTCTTGTAGTGTATGTCGACATATCTGTGAAAGAGAAATATTTATTAATTCTTGTATTAAAATAAAACCTTCAAAAATGCTCCACGCTCGGAATCACCAGCACTCGTGTATTTGAAAAACTCTCTAAAAATAATAAAAAAAAAATATTTTATTTTTAAAAATTAATGTAATTTAAGGCAAAAAGCATGGGTTATATAAAGTGTTTAATACGAGGATTCGAACCGCTAACATTGTCTGACAAACCCCGAACGTTTCCAACTGAACCATGAACCAATCAAAAGCAAATTGGCTAATACTAGATATAACGTAACGAAGAAACCGCTTATTTACCTATACATGAACTAGCCTCAATTACCAACACTTAAATAAAAATTTAAAAACAAAACCTATTAAAAACATTGTGAAACTTTGGCACATTCAAATATCTTTCATAAAGGGAGTAGTAGAACAAATAAGCAACTCTTTCAATTGAAGACAACGTTCGAAATTCATACGGTGGAGAACTTTTGGCGATGAATCTGGCAGCTCGATCCTAAAAACAAATTTAAATTTTATATAAAAAATAAACAAAACCGGCGTAAATTTGTCCGTTATTTCAGTAAGAACACCAAAAAAGTAAAGGTCCTTTGCATCAAATCCAAAAGCACCACCAGTCCGTTGTGATAATGACGCGGCAACTGATGGAGGCCTACGTGATGAATGAGTAGAGCTTGGTCTAAAAAATGAGAACGTCCCCCTTTATAAAGCTTCAAAATAACCTTGGAGGTTGTTGAAATTGTTGCTGTTGTTGTAAATGTCCGCCCATTGCATAACTCGCCATTTCATCATCTTCCTCGTCAAAATCCAATTCCTCATCTTCTTCTTCACTGCTATTGACTCCATTAACAAGAATATACGACTTTTTGAAGCGATCTCTTCTTAGTTGCTCAATGAATTCTTCACCATAATCAGAACGTCTTGAAGAGCTTGCCATTTTTGGAATTTTTGAATGTTTCTGCATTTTAATAAAAATTAATAAAAATTTAATATGCAAATAAAATAAAATTTAATGAGCCACGTGGCAAACAAAAAGCCATAAATTTGTGAGAAAACGAAGTAAAAGCATATGTGAAAAAGGGGAAATAGTCCAATACAAAGACTCGATTTCAATTTAATACAGTACTTAATTACAGAAGAGGTCGAAATTCGAAAAAATAGACGAAATTTTTGTCAAATAAGTCAAGGCTACAGGGTGGACATTTTAAATTGAACGTTCTACAATGTATATATATTGATATTTTTATGTTGATAGACATTATGAAATGCAGTCTAAAAATTAAAAGGAAACAGAAAAAGGAAAATAGAGAAATAGTGCAAATAGAGATGTAGATAATTTGAAGAAGCCAATATACAAAATACCAAAAGACAAAATGTCCAAAATAGAAAATCAGACAAAAAAAAGCGCTTGCGAGATTAGACGGCATAAATGAGGCAAAGCAAATAAAAATATTGAAAAAGCTAACTGTATTAGCTGTTTAAAAAAAAAATTTTAGTCCACAAGTTTATTATCCACGAAATAAAATAAATTTAAAAAAAGAGGAAATGAGGGGGAAATAATAAACACAGGTCTTTTTTTAAAAAAACTTGTTCGGTATAAAATGAACAATGATTCATAAAAAAATATATGTATAGTCAAACAATATTAGAGTTCTAAGAACTTTTAGAAAACGTGGAAGGGAATAAAACTATTGGAGATCCCGGGGTTAAGGACCAACACCCTAACACATAAGTTCTTGGCAAAATAGATTTTTCGAAGCCTAACCCGGTCTAACTAGAGTCGGACCGAATCTGGCCAAACTATTTTTTGGATTAATTCGGTCCTAAAACAACCCAAAGATCGCCAAAAAATCTCGAATTTAGGACGTGGACTATAAAAAATTCAATCCGACACCACCTCCTAAAATCTTAAGTAATCAAGGGTTTGACTATATACATATCTTTTTTAAACAAAAAAAAAGAATTCCTGTCCAAAAATGATTAGATATACTTATTTATAAATTGTGACTGAAAAACATATTCATAATTTAGTAGATTTTTATTTTGATTCACAAAAATTTTTTTGCACACATCTCTCTCCAATTAATTTATCCAAAGAATGGCATCGTCTCCTCAATCAACTTTTATAGAGCTATAAATTTTATGAATAAACCAATAAGTTGCAAAGAAGCCAATTGTTCCTTTAAAAAAATAAATTTAAAAAAATTAAAATTTCTCTTAAAATAAACCTGTCATTAAAAAGAATAAAAAGACAAATATAGCCGTATAACTAAAATAAAGAATTGTTGAAACAATTCCAGTTATTGTTAATTTTGAATTAAAATAATGAACACAATAAATAAACAAATAAATTGCAGTAAAACCAGAAGTCATAAATGAACGGAACCACCAATGATAATCCTTTAGAAAAAAAATTTTTTTGAAAAACAAAATGAGGAAAAGGACAAGCAGAAAACAAGAACACCCTTATTTACTCCTCACCCAAATAAAAAATTTGGAAAGAATTTTCAAAAGTCAGCAGTGCTGAGTGCTGGTGACTTTTGAAAATTCAAGAGCCAACTTAGGCGGAGCCAGGACTCGAAAAAGGCCTGAGCCGGGGCCATAAAATGCCCAATACCAAACACTATTACCAAGTCCTCAGCCCTAAAGTTGTCTAAATAACAAATTCAACTAACCTCCGCACACAAATGGAAATAAGCAAGCAAAATTGTAGCTTCAGAGCAAGTAATGATAAGAATAATGAAGACGATGAAAAGGAAGCCGAACATGTAGAAAACCTTTAAAATTTTTAAAAAAATTCTTCGCAAAATTAAAAACCTCATGGGACCAAATACTATTCAGAATAAAGAAGAGCTGAATAAAAATACATCCAAAAGGAAGAATTCCTCCCATCAACATTCCAGGAAGAGGCTTGGTATATAATGTCTGTTCAGGAACTTGGCGTGGAATTTGATTTGTTCTAACTGGGGTTTGAATTCTCTAAAAAAATTTTGAAAATAACAAAATTTCTAATAAGAAAAGAAGAAACCTTCGCTCGAAAACCAAAATATGATCCAATAAATGTCAACGGAATTGAAATAAAAAGCCAAAGAAAAAGTAGAGCACACAAAGTTCCAAAAGGAACAGCTAAAAATTAAAAAAAAAATTTTCGGAAAAAAATCAGACCAGCAGAAGATCCTTTTGACCAAAGAATTAAATTAGAAGCAAAGAAAACGCCAAACAAAATTCTTAAAATTAGAAAAATTAAAAGGCAATAAAAACCACAAACCCAGGAATTAAGAAGCTTGTCAAAAGAATATTTGATTTCCATGCAAGTCCTTCCAATGCTTAAAAAAACAAATATTAAAAAATTTCAAAAAAAATATTTCAAACTTTTATAAAGACGAGACGATGTATATCCAGCAACTATTCCAAACAAAACATAAAATACCAAAGCAAAAGTCATTAAAGAGCCACGATTTGCTGGTGACAAAAATCCGAGACAGGCAAAAGCTTTAAAAAAATTTTTTATTGAAAGTCATCTAAAATACAAATTAGAGTTCGAATCCGTGGCGGGCTCAGGTTTCCGAGCCAGCACCGGGTATCTTGATAAAATCCGGATTTAGGGATTTAAACCAAAAACTCTGTTTCAGGCAGCGTGAAAGAAAAAATGCGGATATAGGCTCGGCAACGTGAAGAGTTCAGACTCTAATATAAATTTAAAAAAAGGAAACCTAAAGTAATAAAAGCGCAAAGAAGAACTTGACTGCCTGCACCAACAAGAACAGAAAGCATTAAAGAATTACGTGGAGGTCTAAAAACATCTCCATGAACAAGTTTCCATCCAAATTCTTCTTGAGCATCCTCCTAGAAAATAAGAAGGTTGAATTCTCAAAAAATCAAAACCTCGTCATCAAGACGATTATAACGAGCAATATCACGATGCAATGTGCGAAGAAGAATCATTCCAACCTAACAAAAAAATTTTTGGAAAAAAATCTTGAAACTCCCCAAAACAAACCATTCCAGAAAGGAAAATAACGATAACCAAAGAATTCATAATTGAGAACCATTGAATGTTTGTATGTGGCATTGATTCAAGAATATAATCCCAACGAGACGACCATTTGACGTCCGTTTGGTCCCAAGCAACAGAATAAGAATATATCACGTTAAATTGCTTATCTCCACTAGAAATAGGTTGTGGAGCAACTCCTTGGCCACAATTCATTTCTTCTATCTTTTCATGTTTTATGCTAAAAGAAGAGCACATTTTTGAGTCAATTTCAAAAAAATAGGTTTTAAAATACCTTCGAGGCTGAACCTTAATCCGAATTATGCGTCCACCAATTTTTTCATCGAGAAAGTTGGAATCGAGGCCCAAATCTCTTAAAAGAAAAATTTCGGTCAAAAAAAATAGAAATTTTAACCTGTATTCAATTCTAATATCAACATGGTTAAAAAGATAATAACTGTCAGGTTGACGATATTTCGGCTTAAAAATAAAAGAAAATTAAATTACAACAAAAAATTTAATACATCCAAAACACAAGCATCTTTAGGCTTCCCTTCTTTAGTTACAAAACAACCCATAGGAAATCCTGTTGTGCAAACATTCATACTTTGCTGGTTAATGAAACAAAAGGTTACAGGCATATTGTCAATGATCCTAAAAAAATTTTTTTTTGAAAAATCAGAAGCGAAAAGGAAAAAAAACAATTCGAAAATGGGGCAAAATCAGAAAAAATCTAAAAAATTTAAGTCGGAATCGTTGTTGGTCCTCCAAAATGAATCAAACCTGACCAAATCCCAAAATAAGGGAGTATAACCGACCCCAAACCGAGAAGCTTCCCAAATTTTTAAAATCTTATACCAATGGTGTTGATAGTTAAGTCTCATTCCTCGTTGTAAAAGTCGGAATCGCTGTTGATTTTCCTTGTTGTCCATATTATAAGATTTTTGGCAGAGAAGAGCGCATTGTTTCGCTTCTTTGAATGCAATCTAAAAAAAATTAAATATTCAAAATGCCAAATAAAAACCTTATAAGGACTTGGTCTGATACGTTCACCAAACAAAACTTGACCAAGATTTTCAACGGGAGATTCGTCTTCTGAACCAAGGCAAAAATCGAAGCTAGAAAATGAAGTTTATTTAGAATAATGTCGCAAGGACGAAACGGCTGACCATTTTGTAAATAAACGAAAAAATTGATTATGAGGGAAACCACATCAGTACCATTTAATTAAATAAAGTTGTAAAAAAACCTGTGATATTCATAGGGCAAAACAGATTGATCGCTGTCCAATTTGTTAACAAAAAGGGTGACATTATTCTAACAATTTTAACGTTTAAAAAGACAAAAAATACACATTCATACCGGGCATGTCGGCTTCACATTCTTCAACTCACAAAAATTAACTGGAGCTAATCCGGGCAAATAGAAACTTAAAGTTGTTGGAATTAAAGCTGTAATGAGGAAAAATAGCCTCAAATCCATTTTTTTGCTAAAAAATCTGAAATTAAAAAATTGACTAAAAATTGATAAATAAAATGACACGTGAAATACTGAAAGTAAAATGTAAAAGCTAAACAAATTTACAACGAAACTCGTAAAACAAATTTTATAACACATAAACCGCAGAATGAAGTGGTGGCAAACATTTTCGGGTTGGCAAAAATTTGTGGGAACAGGACCATTGAGTACCGCCGATTGAGTACCGCCGATTGAGTACCGCCGGTTGAGTACCGCCGGTTGAGTCCCTGGCCATTTGAGTACCGCCGATTGAGTACCGCCGATTGAGTACCGCCGGTTGAGTACCGCCGGTTGAGTCCCTGGCCATTTGAGTACCGCCGATTGAGTACCGCCGGTTGAGTCCCCACCAAAATGGGGACGTTTGAGTCCCCGTGATTATTTTTAGGATTTACACAATTATGTATGATTCCCAGTAAGGGTGTATTGCGGATATGATACCACTTTGGGGTACATTATACATATAGGAATATACGAGGGATTATAGATTATATCCCTCAAATAGGAATTAAGCATACTTGTATACGAATACTTGGATTAAAAGGCACTAAGTGTATGTATGTTTCCCGGGACGGAAGTATTACGTGTATGTTACCAATTTAGGGGTGGTACCTGGTATTTTGATAGGTACCTATAATCCCTCATTCTATTCATATATAATATACCCCCAAAGTATATACCCCAACCACCCTTAAATTCGCCCATATCCCCTTTAATCACTTAAAATCGCTCGAAATCCTTCCATATTTAACATTATCCCCCATAATCTCACCATAGACACCTATTTCCCTCTCCAAATCTCCAGATATCTTGCTTAATCCCTCAAGATCCTAAAAATAAATGCGGGGACTCAAACGTCCCCATTTTGGTGGGGACTCAACCGGCGGTACTCAACCGGTCTGGTACTCAACCGGCCAGGGACTCAAACGGCGGTACTCAACCGGCGGTACTCAAACGGCGGTACTCAATCGGCGGTACTCAATGGTCCCCTACCGAAAATTTGTTGCTTCATAAATTATTAACTTACAAAACATCTAATTACAAAACGTCCATAAGCGATAAAAATAGCTTTTCGACAAGCAATAAAATATCACGTTCGACGAAACACAAAAATAACAACTATTAGATATTTTGTAATTAGATGTTTTAAGAAAAACATTTACCAAAAAATAAAAATTTAGGACACTTGAGTATCAGAACAGGAATCAATAGAAATTGAACTCTGTGGAATTAAATTTCCTTAAAATATTTTTATGGGGGATGTTCTTCTTAAAATATTTTTTTCTACTAAATTTTTTCTTTACAGGTCTTTTTTAATGTTACGGCCTCACAACGATGATTACAAACAAATTAGGGTCCTAGGAAAGGGAGCTTATGGCGAAGTATGGCTTGTGAGCAACAAAGAAAATCCAGACGAACAGGTTCTTTTCCACATATTTTTTCTTTAAATTTTTTTTAGTTTGCTCTAAAAAAGATACCAGTAAAAATAAGTGAAGAAGGAATTCCCCAAAGCGTCATCAGAGAGGTAAAAAAAGTTAAAAAATTAATTTTCAATCTCTTAAGGTCGCGTCATTAGTTGCTCTTCAACGACTTAAACATACAAATGTTTTACGGTTTTTTAAACATTTATTTAAATTTTTTAATTAAATTTTATAGTCTTCATGACGCTTTTATTAAGCGTCGCGATGATCAAATTTCTCTAAATATTTTATGTGAAAAATGTGATTGGGATTTGGCCGATTTTTTGCAGGTGAAACTTGATAAAACTATAAAATAATTTTTTTTTATTTTTTAGAAAATACCCCATGACATGTGCAATGCTCAATGCAAACATTTTGTTACTCAAATGTTTAATGGAATTGTATTTTTAATTTCACTCATTAAAAATTTTTTAAACAATTTTTAGGACTTTCTTCACTCAAATGGAATAATCCATCGAGATCTCAAGCCTCAAAATATTTTGGTAAACAGAGATCAGACGTTACGGGTATTTTTTCTTTAAAAAATTAATTTTCTCTAAAGCTCGGACTTCAAATTTTCGAGTCGGGTATCAGGACGATCGAGTCGGGTATCAGGACGATTTTTTCAAGCTGACCCGGATCCGGCTCGGGTTCGAGTTCTGGTCAACTTGGAACTCCTGGTCTGGGGTTTCTGGGCTAAACCCTCGGAAACTCGAAAAATCGATTCCAGGCCCTGAAAACCTGGTTCCGGGTTCGGCCCGAGTTCAAGTTCTAATTTTCTCATTAAAAATATCCCATTCCTTCACAGATTGCCGATTTTGGTTTATCCCGAAATTATGGACTTCATGCAACTTTTACTACTGAAGTTGTTACTTTATGGTATAGAAGCCCTGAATTATTGTTGCAATGCAAGTATAATACGAGTGTAGATATTTGGTCTGCGGGATGTATTTTTGTTGAGCTATTTACACGAACAGCTTTGTTTCAGGCAGACAGTGAGGCGCAACAATTACACGTTATTTTCGAGTAAGTTTTTGCTTAATTTTTTCTCCCAAAAACTCAGAATCTCCCCAAAACCAGAATTTTTTCTGAAATTCTGATTTTTTAATTTTTCAGGAAAATTGGCACCCCCAAAGCAAATTTATGGCCTCAAGATGCAATTGTTAGTCGAGTTTCCTTTCCAGAATATAAACCTATTCACCTAACCATTTTTGCACCTAAACTTCCTTCTTTAGCTTTAAATTTAGTTTCACAAATTTTTAATTTTAATCCGTATGATAGACCTACTGCTTTGGAATGTCTACAACACGAATATTTACTTTAACTTTTAGAAAATGGGGGTTGGATACAAAAACGGTTAACCGGTGTTTTAGGCAATTAACCGGAAATCGAAAACCCGGGGATCAGAATTTACACATTTTCTGATTTACTCTGTTTCTGTTTTTTTCAAATTCTGATCTTTTTTCTGTTTCCGATTGGAGTATCAGAAAACCGGGGGTACTGGTCATTGCCCGATTGTGTCCAACCCTATTTAGAACCCCTTGCAAAAAATTTTTTTAAAGAAAATCGTGCTTTCTTTTTTTTATTTTAAAAGTTTCATGCAATCATTTTTTTACCTTAAATTATCTCTTTCAGATATTTTTAATATTATTTACATCTCAATATTCCACTTAAATTATTTCTTTTAAATAATGAATAAAACGGTTTTATGAAATTCTTCTGGGTTCTATGAGAGATTAAATGAGTTTTAAAAATTTTTCTAGCTCTTTATGAGAGTTTAAATGAGTTAGAAAAAATTTTTGGGCGTCGAAATGAGTTTAAAAAATTTTCCCTGGGTGCTGAGGGAGTCGAAATAAATTCAAAAAAATATTTTTTTTCAATCATAAAAATTATTTACAAAAATTTCGTGTCCTTAAAAATTTACAAAAAATATATAAAAATTTTTAAAAAATTAATACGATTTACAGCAGTTATAAGTTTCACTCGCGTCTCCTACACACAAAAAAATTTTTTCCTAATTAAAAAATTCTTTAAAAAACCTGTAACAAAACAATAACTTTTTGGTGGACAATTAGGAGTCATTCCATTACATTTAATTATTTGTCCAGTTGATCTGCTTATTGTTGGCGAATTTCCTGGAGGACAAACTCCTTTAATTGGTGGCTCATTTTTGGTTAATTGAGGAAGTATATTTGATATTAAAGACGAGGAGGAGGAAGAATGCTTTTTGAGTGGAGGGCCACTAATTCTTGGATGTTGAACTAAAATAAAAATAGAAAATAAAATTTTTAAATTTAAAAGGCTAGGGTAGCACCCCACACCTCCAGAAACCCTGACCCGAACCCTAAAGACCGTGCTGCACTTTTAAGAATCTTTAATGTAACCCCGGCCCAAAAGTCAACCTCGACACGAACCACGACATACCTTCTACGGCAAACCCCGATCCCCGGCACTCTTGACCCCGAAAGTCGGAGTGTTACCCTATTTAAAGTAAAACCTTCAACACTGCTTCCTTCTTCTGGTAATTGAACTGGAGGCAAAACGTTGTCATAATCCGCATTAACAGCCTCAAAAGTACTTGGCGATTGAACAGATGCAGAAGAATCGCCAACACTCCTTTTTGTACAATTTCCACTTTTTGGAGTAAATTCATTGTTTTGACACCGACATGTTCCTTCTACACAACTTCAAAAAATAAATAAATAAATTTTAATTTTATTTAAAAAAATACACAGATTCTCTTTCACAATTTGTTTCAGAATTGCATTTATCGCCAGGAAATGCATGTACAACCCTAAGCATTGGAGGTTCATCAGATTGAATACAAATGTGATTTCGAAGGATTGATTTGTTTAAAGGGCATTCACAAATCTAAATAGAGAATTTTTAGAAAAATTTGAAAAAAAAATTAAAAAAAAAACCTTATTAGAATTTTGGCATACAGAACCTCCAGTACATATTTCTCTATTTGCACAACTTTCAGATGGACGAGCATATGGACGACCTGAATAAAGGAAAAATAAAATTAATCAAATTTGAATCTTCTCACTTTTGGTAATTTTGACCATCCCCCTTTCAAAATACCAAACTCCCAAAAAACACCGAAATACAAAAATGTGAATTGTTAACATACAGGTATTTTTGTAATATTCCAGTTTGGTATTTTGGGAGCCTTTGGGAATTTAGTATTACGGCGCGCTCCCCTCCTTTCTCCACTCATTAACTTCATAATCTTTCCAACCCGAAAAACCCTTACCAATTGGTCCAGGTTGCATTCTAGGAATTTTGTTTGTATATTTTGAATATTCCTTTTTATTTTGTTCTTGTTGAATAGAAGATTTACGTTGTTCAAACGTTTCGCAGTTTCCACTTTTAACTGACGGACGCGTTCCCGCAGGACAGAGACAAAGTCCTTCCACACATGTTGACCCTCCTGTACAGATGTCTAGAGGACCTAAAATTCAAAAAATTTTCAAAAAATTTTTATAAAAAAGAAAACCGCATTGAGCCCCAGGAGCAGCCGTCATTTGTTGTTCCTTTTCATTTTCTTCTTTTAACATCTCTGGGGCATAATTTGGAAGAGCAGAAGAAGAAATTGTTTCAGATGCAAATGTTTCTTCATTACCCTTCTAATTTTTTTTTAAATTAATTTATTAAACTAAAAAAAATATTTTTAAAAAACCATAAGTGATGTTGACAATTGAGGCAATTTTGATTGATTCAAAGAAGTTTTGTTGTTTTTATTTGAAAATTCTTTTCCAGTTTGATCTAAATTTTAAAAAAATTTTTTTAATTTTTTAAAAGTAATTTTTGGTTAATGGGAAACATTAAATTATTAAATTAATGGATTAATTAAAAGACAATTTTGTTAGGTTAATTAATTTTTTGGAGGAAAGGTTAGTTAAAAACGTGAAAAAATTTAAACTGAAAAGGATTTCTTTAACTGAAAATTTTTTCTTTAAACAAAAAAAAATAAAAGAGTTAAACCTGAACCTTCTGCTTGTTGACAACACAATTTTTCCACAAAATAATTTTGATCAGCTCCCGAAGGCAGAAAGAACCCAAAAATAGGAGAAAGTGTAATTAATGTATTTTATTAGAAAATATTTTCTTACCCAAATTTTCCGATTCAAACGATTTAGGCACTTCTCTTTTCCATTTTTCTGATAATTCAACATCATCCGTGTTTTTTCCTTCAATATTTTGTCGTTCCATTTGTTCATTATTTACTGTAAAATAATTAATGATCAAAATAAAAAGAAGGGTTCGACATTTTTAAATCGACGGGCCTGGTATCTGGGGGTTTTTCTTTCAAACTGACCCAGGCTGAATTTCTTGGATAAAACCTCGAAAACCGGGAAAAAGGGCAGTGGGGTCAATACGAGATTTGAACTTTCATCGTTGCAAATCCCGCTCCTTAGACGGAAACCTCGGTCCTGGGCTCGGTGTCGACTTCTAAAAGACAAAAAAATAACCTTTATTCCCAGCTCCTTTTAGAATTAAAGCCAACAAGTCAGGATCTATATAAGCTCTTGGATCCTCTCCTACAGCTAGCGCTGGTGGAAGACAGTTACCACCAATTGGATAATATGCCGCCAAGCAAATACAAAAGCCATTGTCGCAAAAAGCGTGAAAATTACAATCTGAGCTGCTGAAGCCTTGAAAAAAATTTTAGTCATAAAAAAAGGAGAAAAAAAAACATTGTGTTCCTCTAGGCCGTTTAGCAGCAATACAAATGCCCTAAAATTAAATGAAAAAAATTATATTCAAAAACAAAAAACCTCATTTCTTTCCATTCCAATAGGGCATTCACAAACTCCACTATATTTTCCACAAATTGAATTAAATCCACATTTTTGACCTTTGGTACAATCATCGCCGACTGAAGCTAAAAGTCGATTTGCACATTTACGGCTATGAAAAAAGTTTTTGTTTAAATTGTCATCAGGTTTGATGTTTTGTTGATCATTTCGACAATGACAAATCTTAAAAAAATTTTTAATAAAATTTTTTTAAAAGATTCATACCCCGTTGATACAAAACCCATTATTTTTGCATTGTTCCTGTAATAGAATGTTAAAGGCTGGATTGGTTCCGGTCGGATTTTCCGGAGTCCGGGTCTTTTTTTCGTTCACGAAAAATTTTTTGCGAAGAACAAGAGATCGCAAACAAAGTTTTTCTGGACTGGATTAATCCTGAAAATCCGGTCGGATCCTGTCCTGTTCTATTTACAAATGCTGATCGAACCCGGAAAAATCGACTTTACCGGTCACTAATTTAAAAAATTAACTAACGTTAATGAAGCAGCGTTCGCCCAACTCAACTTTGGAGATTTGGCAAAGTCCATTTAAAGGTCTAAATCCTGGTCTGCAAACACAAATTCCTCCAAGACAAATAGCACCTCCACTACAAGAAGTTGATTGACCATTGATAGAGACACCGCAATGAGTTCCCGGTATTCCAAAAGGAGAGGTGGAAGAGGTGGATTCAGGCAAATTTTTAGAATTTAAGGTGTCAAGATGTGAAGGAGGTCCAACAGCCAAAATGGAAGATGCTGATGATTTTGGGGAAGAAACGAATTTAGGAAATGAGTGGACATGACAATTTGGCCTGAAAATTTTCTTATAAAATTAAAAAATTAAAAAAATAAACAAACCCTTTGCAACCTCCAAACGATCTAATTTCCTCTTCCTCACCACTTTCCCTTCTCAATGAATGTTTTAATAAAGGACCAAAAAGTGAACGTAGAGTTTTGCTATCCATCAAGTTTATACTCATTTGATTAGCAGTCAAAATTTGATTAAATTTTCCTCTTTCACCAGCAGCTGCTAATGCAGCTGGGATTGTATAGACAAATTTTGGTAATTTTTGACCATCTTCTTCTTCAGTTTCTTGATTTTCGTCATCCATTTTTGTTTCATATTTCTTTGGTTTTGATAAATTTGTTTCTGTAATTGATGGATTGATGCATCCTTTATCTCCAGAAATGTCAGCTTTCTGCCCTCTATTAAAAAATTTTTTAATTTCCAAAAAATTAAATGTCCAGTTGATGTCCAATTTTATTGCATTGCTTTGCGGATAACATAGATGGGCCCTAACGCACTTTAAAAAGCGACAGACAAAAGAAGCAGAAGCGTAAAAAAGTGAAGTGCCATTTGCGAAAGCAAAAAATGAAAACCCAACCCTAGCGAACCCTAATTGGTACATCAACTTGGCATTTACCCCCCAAAAATTAAAAAAAAAACAAACTGAGGACATTGACAAATGCTACGAACACATCTAGACCTTCCAGTACATCGTTGACCCAAAATACATCTTCCACCTGGACGTACAGCTTTCATTAATGAGGAATTAACACATTCTTGTCCAGTAATAACAAGTCCATAAAGACAAACACAAATGCCTTTAAAAAATAATTCTTGAAATTTAATCAAATAAATAATCTACCATAAAAACAGTGAGATTCCCCTATGCAATCAACACCGTTCTGAGTATCACACCGGCCACCAGGTAACACCTAAAAACAATCATACATAGCTATACAAAACACAAAATGAACTTCGAAAATCCGAAATCAAAAGAAGGCAAAAATTTTCGACCTTTGAAAACTTTCGCTATCGAAAGCCGAAACTCGAAATTTCGAAAAAACTTTAAAAAATCTTTCTCCCTTACCTCATGTATTGCTTTTCTACAAACTCCATTAATTATCGTTTCCCCTTGTTTACAACGACACACACCCCGCAAACATTCTGTTCTGTAAGGGCATTCAAGTGAAAGTCGACATGGCGCTCCCGCTACAACTGTTTTGGTTGGTAATGGATCTTCTTCACTTAAATCATCCTTCCTTTCTTTATATTTAATTTCAAATGTTGATGAATCCATCAATGGAAAATTTGGAAAAAATAGGAGAGAATGCTCATGGAAAGTGTTGGTTCCGCTAAGACTTGCACGAGGAGGAAGACATTCACCATGAAATAAATTATAACCTTGAAAGAATTTTTTTAATTTTTTAAAAATTTTATTTAACCTTCTAAACATGTGCAAATTCCATTTTGACATTTTGCACCTGGAGTACATTCATTATTAGCACACAAATGGCCAGCTAAAGGCATTTTTCCATTGTTCTGTTAAAAAATTTTTTAGAAATGTGCTTAAATTTAAAAATCCGAGGTGTCCAAGAACCAAGAATTTTCCTAAACTCGAGACCAAGACATTGCCCCAAAATCGAGATCCGAGATTAAGAATGTACCTCAGAAGCAAAACTTCCCAAGACCAAATTGGACCCAAAGATCAAGACATGACACTAGGACTCAAGCACAAGACTCCCAAAAACCAAGACTTGACCCCAAGACCAAGAATTTTTTTCTACTAGAAAAATTCAAGATCCAAAACTTGACCCAAAGACTCAAGACCTGACGCCAAGACCAAGCCCGAAAAAATCGAAAAGTTTTGAGTACGATTAAAGACCAAGAGCCTTGAACGTCTATACTAAAAAAATAAAACCTTTTTAGACTCTCCACATTTGCTAATATTTCCAAAAATTTGTAGTTCAAGTCCTCTACGACATTTACATTTTCCAAAAATACAGTCAGATCTATCAGTACACATTTGACCTTTTGCACAACTTTTTCCAGGGTATTGACGACAATAACGCTTTTGAGTATCAGGAAAGGATCCTTCAAGACAAACACATTTGGAGTTTAAACAATCAGCACCAGCAGAGCAATGGTCAATATTTTCATTACATTTGGAGCCAATTAATCGAAAGGTTGGTGAAATTTTCTAAAACAATAAAAAATATTTTACCTACACGCGTTCAGAATCTTAAAACTTGCGAGAGAATACCGGGGACTTTTTTGAAAATTGTGGGTCCCAGAGGATAGAGGGAAAGAGAGAGTAATTTTAACGAGGCATCCAAGAAAAATACGAGGGGAGTCCCTTCGAACAAAGTCGCCCGGGGAGTCCCCCTTGGAGTCCCTACGATAAAGTTTTGGTTAATAAAAAGTTTTTTAAACTTACAGGCACTGCTTTTCTCTTCTTTTCATTTTGTTTTTGTTGTTGCTCCTTTTCTTCTCTTAATTTTCTTTTTCTTCTCCTTTTGCTCTTCTTAAATATTCTTTTTGAAGAATTTTTTGTCTTTCCTTTTAATGAAGAATTTTTTGACAAATTTTTCCCATTTTTCTCTTCAACTTTATTCCGTAAGACTTCATTTTTCAACATTTTTCTGTTAAAATTTCCTCCAAATTCTTCCAAATGTAAACGACGACGCTTAACTTTTATTCTTTCTTCCTTTTTATTTTCTTCTTCAAAATTTTTCTTCAAATTAATGCATTGTTTTTGGAATAAACTTAAAGGTGGATTGCAAACACAAAAACCCTCAAAACAATAAGAATCAGCAGAACATACAGGAATTAGATGAGAAATGTTACACGCCTCTCCAGGCCATGCAATTGCTTACAGAAAATTTAAAAAGGTTAAAAGGAAAGGAAAAGGTGTTAAAATAATTTTTATGGAGAACAAAGGATTTCAAATTAGGGTATGATGACAACCAACAAAATACCAAAACTCCAAAAGACACGCTGAAATACCGAAATGTGAATTTAACTTTTCGAACTTCCCCAGCTTGGTATATTTTAGCAGCTCTTCGAGGTTTGGCATTTTGGCGTTTGGTATGCCTACATTTGTTAGTTAAATGGTAAGGGAGAGTTATACGTTAGAGAAAATCAAAGAAAAATTATTTAAACTTATACCAGGAATGCAAGTTTGTTCCAAAGCTGTCGATCCAGGAGGGCAAACACAATGACCATTTAAACAACGAGCACCAGCATATCCAGCAGTACACTAAAAAATATTTTTTAAATTAATTTTTATAAAACAATTAAAAACCTGAAGATCAGTTTCACATCCTTTTTGGCCTGGGTAAATTACTAAAAATAAAAATAAGGTTTTTCAAACTAAAAATTAAAAAGCAAACCTTTTTCACAATGATCATGAACGCTAATATGTGTTGATAAGCATTGACAAGTTGGTGGTTGTGTATTGCCATTGCAATAAGCACCGGACTAGAATTTAAAATTTTGAACTCGTTATAAAATTCCCTGGATCAAGTAGCGAGATTTTTTTAACAAAGGGACGGGACTCCGCGAGATTAATCACGTAATCCCATTTGAGGGGTGTGTATCTTATAACGAGGTTTTAATTAAAATTATTCCAAAAATAGTATACCGCGCAGTCAGCATTTAACGAGCACTTTTCACCAACTTTTGCTTCAATTTTTGATGGCCTCAATTTATTTTGATTTGAATAAGTCGATTCAGTAGAAGATGAGGAAAGCTAAAAAAATCTTAAATTTTTTTTTCAAACAGAAATTTAACCTTTTCTTCAATTTTTTCTTCTTTAGAAGCCCTTTCCAAGTTCCTTTCCACACATCTTCCCTTGACCAGTTCAGTTTCTTTAGGGCACACACAAAGTGGAACTTGTTGATTACATACAGAACCACCTACACAGACCTGTCCAGAATTGCAGAGCTCTCCAGGACCTTTAAATTAAAATTTCTAAAAAATCCCTCAAAAAAATTTTTACCAGCTTCCCTAGTTGGAGGCATCTGACATTGTCCTTGTTGTTCAATCATTGGAGGAATACATTGGCAATAACCATTGAAACATAACGAGCTTTGATCAGCACAGAAAAGGCCCAAATATTCATTGCATTGTTCGCCCAGTTTGGCTAAAAATCAAATAATTTTAACAAAAATTAAGACAAAAAAAACCTCTAAAAAATGTTTTTTGACCAAACAATTCCTTTGTTAATTGTTGCTGTCCAGAAGTTGAAGAAGGAATATTTGAAAAATTTGATAATGAAGTTGTACAATTATTTCCATTATTTTTTGTTTTTGCAGGACAGACACAAACAGAATTAATGCATGTAGAACCTCCATCACATGTTCCTTCTTGATCACAATATGAACCGATTGGGACTGTAAATACGGGAAATTAAGGGAGTTTGGCATTTTTCACAGTTCCGGCACTGTTTATTTATTCAAGCTGACCTGGGTCTGGGGTTTCCAAGTTAACATCACAAAACCTCGAAAACCCGAAAAAATAGCCAGGTTCAGGGCTAATGGGCGCAAAACCCCGGCCCGACCTGTTATCAAACTCTAATAAACAGTAAAAATGACTTTTCAAAAAATACCTAAAGAATTAAGAGGAGACGATGTTGATGTTCCTTGGGAAGATAATGGAACTTGTGAAGAATAGTATTGACCACCATAAGAAAATTGTTGCTGAAGGGTAGTGCCCACTGGTGGAATCAATTTTGCACAGAATAGATTTTCTTTAAAAAAAATTTTTGTACCTTATATTTTATAAAAATTATTTTTTAATTACCCAACAAAACAACAGTTCCATAAGGGCATAAACATCGTTGTTGAACAGGATCACAAACCGTTCCACCAATGCATTGTTCTCCATGTGCACAACTTCCATTTAAAATTGCTAGTTGTAATAGATCATTTGCTTCTCTAACTGTATTTGGTGGAAGACTGTCTGTTGTACACTGCTGAGAGCTGTATTCAAAGTGCATGTCATTCGGGCAGTAATGACGAGACCAAAAACCGATTGATCTACAAAAAGAACTAATAGTTTTAGGGATGGACCCCGACCTTTTTTAGGCTAAAACCCAAATCAAGTCTGCTGAACCCCAAGCAACTCGAGCCTGAACTTTTCGAACCCAAAGTCAGGGTCCAACTAGACGTGCTTGGAAACTCGTACCAAAATTCGCACTCGTGTTCGGTATAAGAAATTGGGCGTGGCACGAAGTACGAGCAAATCTGAAACCCGCCCAAGCACTGAACCCCAGTTTAACCAAAGAACAAAAAATAAACTCACGGATAATTCACATAAGGTTTACAGCTGAAAAACGCCTGTCTATCTGTTGGATCTTCGACGAACAATGATTCAGAATTAGGATTACAATTTAGAGGGTTATTGCAATTTATCACTAAAAATTAAAAAAAAATTTTTTTACAAAATTTAAACCTTACAATGTTGGGAAGCAAGTAAAATTAACGTCAAAAACTGAAGACGAGTCATTTGTTCTGAAAAAAATTTTTTTGAAAAACCAAAAAACTATAAAAAAAGCAAAATATTCGTCTTGTTTTGGTCGATTTAATGCGGACTTTTTTTTTAAGAATTTATGTCCCATCCATTTTTAACCCAATTTTTCTTACCGCCTCATTTTTCTCGTTCCTCTCCGATTCTTCTCAAGTACTTCAAGATTTCCTTCTATCAAATATCGTCCACCACTAAATGATCGTCGCTCAATTTTTGAATTGACCACCACACCTACATATATTTCTGATGAGAAAATACACACAGATTGAATTTCTAAAATAAAATGAAAAAATAATAAATCAAACATGAAGCAAGGAGACCACCAATTTGGAGAAGATATGGAGAATACGTCCATCTTTTGCTTAATTGAGAGATTGTAAATTGCTCTTCCAGTCGAGCAACTATCGATATTGCATTCCACCTTGAAATATTGAATTAAGAAAAATTTTAAAGAATTAAGAAAAATTTTAAAAAATTAGAAAATCACGTAACTACGATATTAAAGTGAAAATGTTATGGACAAAAAAAGAACCTGCTTTGTCGTTACCAGCTTGTCGCGTTCACTCTTTCGTTATCACCTCGCCGCAACCACGTTGTCGCAGAACATTTCGTGGCGACCACAGTTGAATTTAAGGAATTAGACAAGGAAATCAGTTACCGGATCGTCTCTAACACAAGCTATATTCTATTTTTCAATACCCCTCAATGAGTGGGCTTCTATTAGAGACAATCCGGTAAACCAAAATATTTTTATTAGATTCGAAATCTATCAAGTCTGAAAATAATCACATGCAAAGAAAATTTATTTAAAACAAAAAAAAATTAAAAAAATTGAGATCATTAAAATAAAATTCTATCACTTTTCTATCTTTTTTCAATTTTAACCGCTCTTTTTTCGTCTAAAAAGAAAAAATTCTCTCCAACGTCTCTTCTTTCCATTTAACTTAGAAAAGTCATCAAAAAAATTTTTTTCATTTATAAAAACCTCTTTTTTAAACGAAGCTTCAATTGTTCCATTGTTCTTTCCATTTTTGAAAAATTCCCCTCCTCCTCCTTTTCCATTTATTCCAGCATCTGATGTACTTCTTTCAGTTGATTTTATTAGTGAGTGTTTATCTGAAAAGGGGGGAAATTTTTTCTGATTTTAAAAATAAAATTTTGATTTTTAAATCGGATTCAAAAAAAACCAGAATTATGGTTATCAAAATATTGAAAAGAATCAGAATTCTGGCTTTAAAAAAATCAGAATTTTCTGGTTAAAAAATCAGACTTTTGGAACCAGAAGTCTTGAAACTATGTGTATTCTGATTTAAAAACAATTCTGGTTTCAAGATTAACTGTCTCAAAAATTCTGAATTTGCTTTTTAAAAATCAGAATTAAAATCAGAATTCCAAAATTATAAACAACTAACCGCATATAATTTTCTGACTTCCTCCACCATTTTCTTTAACTGAATGAATAGGAGTTATTGGTACTGACTGTGAATTGACAATAATATTTGTTGGTGTATCATTAACATTTCCATTCATCCCACAATAATTACTTTGTGATTTTTTTATTTTTCCTTCTCCAAATTTTTTCAAATAATTTTCCAATCCGTTATTAAAATGATCATCATTTTTGAATGGATTTGCTGAATAAAGTTTTCTATAAACCTGTGAAGGGAAGAGGAAATTGAGAAACTCTAAAAATTTCTTCAAAAAACCTGTGCATTAATCTGTTGATCTTTTTGAACTATTCCTTTGGAAGCAGCGCCAATATAAACTGGACGTAGTTTTTCCTATTAATTATTTTTAATTAAACAATGTTGGGGGTGAGTCTCGATTTAGCTGACAATGAGTCCTGGACCCTATAACATAAGAATCACTTGTTAATGTTCTTGATGCCACTGGATAGAGAATTAAAAATAATACAAGGTACCAAAAAATCAAAATTTTTGAATGACCGATAGAGAGATTATAATCGATAGTTTCGAAAAATTACTTTTTTCAGAATTTTAGTCTTTAGATCTTAACCTTTATGTAGATCGATCAGTCAAGAATTTTAATTTTCTGAACTTGAGTTATAGGCCCGGGACTCGATTCTCAAAACAAATTTAAAAAAACAAACCCCTTCAATGTCCGTTAATGTCAATCCATCAAGAACTAATGACTGAGGGCCAGGTGAAACTTTTCCACTCATTCTAGCCTCTTTCAATTTTCTTCTTTTTTCTCTGAATTCCCGCATATCCAAACTGCTAGGGCTAAACTGCAAGGGTGAATTAATCTTCACCGGCGTGCCACTTTTGGAACTGACGCTTTGCTGCTCAACCCACTTAAAAGAAAAAATTTTGAGACCCTTTTAATTTAAAAAATACTCTTGTAATTAATCGAGGACAATCAGTTCCCGTCTCTGGTAGTTGCACTTTTAAATAATTACAAGGCGAATTTAACCAAATAGCCTTCTCTTTTTCTTTTTGAAGAAGCAAGGAAAGACGCCAATTTGATGATGTTGATGTTCCTTCTTCAATCTAGGGACAAAAATTAAATTTTATGTTAAAATTGATTTAAAAACAAAAATTTTTAAAAATAAAAGTCCAGAAAAATGGATCTTATGTTAGGGAAGATGGTACTTTTTGAATATCTCCTCCATCTAGGCTGAGTCTCAGAGTTATCCTTAAGATGTACATAACGGTAAGACTTTTCCTTTCTTTATTAATGTCTTTCATTTGAATATTTATGCCACAGGTCAAATGGAGTAGAATTGAGGAAGTAAAGTTCGATTTACTCCTTAAAAAAATTTTTTAAGCAAAACTTGGGACTCCAACTAGGAAGGCGAAATATCCAAAAAGTACCATAAAGATAAAAAACCTCTTTTTAAATATTTTATTCTAAATTTTTTTTGATAACATGAGCGAGCGGATGGCACTTTTTTTTAAGAATTCCTCACAGTCTTCCTTATTTTCATTTTTTATAAAATCTAGCGACGTACAGTTCCCAGCGATGCTGGTCCATTTGATGGAGTTGCTATACTTGACAGATTATACATTGAATGATGGGAAGGCTGTGATGTTGAACGAAGCAATTTATTTCGATAAATGTGTCCAGTACAAAATCCCTTTAAATAATAAGAAAATTAAAAAAATTTTTTCGAAAATTAAAAAAAATTTTTTTCGAAATTTCGTTTTTAAAAATTCGAAAAATTTTCAAAATTCATTCAAAAACTAAAATATTAACCGCTGTGTCCAAAATCCTACACCACGCTTCCCACTCAAGTTCTCCAATACCCCAAGAAATGTTGGCAGTTAAATTTTGTTGAATTCGATTTACTCCTCCACCACCTATAATTTCTTCTTAAATTCTATTTAAAAAATTTAAAAAAGAAACCTCCACTTCTAGCCGTAGAATAAGCTTTTTGGACTGCTTCATCAGAAGGTATAATTAATTTGTCAATTCCAACGCGTGCAGCTCTGATCTTAAAAATTAGCAAATTTAATGTTATAAAAGTTCAAAAATTAATTACAAACCTGAGTTTCACATGAAATAATCCTAAAAATTTTTTTTAAATATTTATTTAATAATAAAAGTAGAGTTCGACACCGGGCCCGAACTCTGTTTTACTAGCACTGTAGTCCAGAAACCGAGTACTCTGATAAAATCAGGGTTTAACACGGAAACCCCAGTCTAGGACAACCTGAAGGAAAAAATCGGGAAAGTAGGGCCCGGTTATTTGAAAATGTCGAACTCTAAATAAAAGTAAAATAGTATACGTATGAAATGCCAGATGTAGAGCGTCCTCCACTGTTCGACCACATGCAACAAAACCATGGTTTCGAAGTATCATCACCTATAAATTAGAAGAAAATTAACTTTCTAGTTATACTGTAAATTAATTAGAATTTTTAAAATAACCTTACATTTTTATCGCCCAAATCGCTAACTATTGACTTTTTCTCCTCATCATCAGTCAAAATTCCCTAAAAATATTTTATAAAAAGTTGCCAAACAAAAAGTTAAAACCTGATAATCATGATAAGCTACAGGGCCAATGATCATAGCTTCCTGACAAATTGGTAATAATCCGCACTTCATGGCGCTAACAGCAGCAACAACGGCCGTATGCAAATGAATGACACAATGAACATCTAAACAAGTGGGAATAACAATAAATTTCTTAATGAGAAATTGAAAGGTATTATGGTGAATTTCTGATTAAATTTTTTGATGATGTTTTAAAGTCAAAACGCTGAAATGTCAGGCACCTCTCACCAAAGCCGGTGAAATGTCAAAGAGGGTGGGGAGGGGTGACATTTTCTTTGTGGGGGTTACATTTCAATTTTTGACAATTTTTTACTTTTTTAAATTTTCTTAAAAGTTTCTTAAGTATTTTAAAATAAATTAACCTGGTCTAGCCTCATGAATAGCTGAATGAAGAACATAAGCAGCCTGATTAACTCCCAAATTTGTAGAGCCTTGGTCTATCACATCTCCGGATAAACTGAGTTTAATGAGCGAAGAGGCAGTTACTTCATTGTAGAGCAATCCAAATGGATTAATTAAAACTTGAGCAGGGTCAGTTCCAGGAAGGCGAAGCTTAAAAAAATTTGTGAAAAAAATTGAAAATTCTCCCCATACCGTTATATGATTATAAATCCCCTGTGACCATTGAAAAAGATCCACAAGTCTATAAATTGTAGCCAATTTATTTCTTTGTTGTTTTTCTTCCAACGAATATAAATTATTATTACGGGCAATATCTGCGATTTTAATTGGTGGAGTGCCTGAATAAATAAAAAAATACTTGTAAAGATTGAGGCTTTTTTACGGGTATTTATTTTAGTGGAAAAATAACCGGTTAGATTGATTCAATAGAATAAGCAAATCGAGAGAAATAGGAGGAAATGTCCGAAAACTTTTAAATCTTTACAAGTATCAGATAGAATATATAGACCAGGGATATCACGGATTAAGAAAATAGAATGGGTCAGGTTCTAGAAAATTTCTCGAGTCAGGTTTCAGGTCAGTTGGGGTAATCAAAAGGGAAAAAGTCGAGTCGAGTTTCTGGCTAGGCTTTTCAAAAAAAATTTTCGGATCGCGTATGAGGTTTCGGATAATCTGTGATATCCCTGATAAATTCTCGATTAAAAAAATAACTAAAATTTTACTTAAAACTTGGTTGACATTTAAAGGCAAAAGTTGAGGTAAACGAGAATAATTAGCTGTCTGAATGTTTAAAGAGGCCATTGCACTGTTCAAATCTTCTGGAAAGGATCTTGCAATGTCTGGGCAAACGCTGAAAAAAATTTTTTAATTAAAAAAATTGCAAAAAAACAAATTTACATTTGTTCTAATTCACTCCGAAAATCATTAGAACCCAACACTTCTTTAACTCGTTTTCTGCGGGACATATCCCATAAATCTTCTTCAATGGCCGCCGATCTCCATTTTTCTTGGTGATCACAACTGTTGTTATCCTCAATTTTATTTTTGTCTTCAATTTTAGTATTTTTATTTACGTCCATTTTTGTTCAATTTTTTGCTTAAAAAAAGAAAATTTTGTTAAAAAAAATTTCTAAGTCGAATCCACCCCGAAAGGTCAAACACGGAAGGTCAAATGACTCCACAGCAAATATTTAGGTGGATAAAAGGGATTTAAGACAAAACTTCTCGCTTTTACCTGATCTTAATTTCCGTCTTATATCCCTTAATTTCCCTTACCCTTTATTTCTTATCCCTTACCCCTATATCACTTAATTCTGAGCTGATCCCTTTAAAGTCAATAATCCTAATTTTAGAGCGATTTTATGTTGCAAAGATTGAAAATATAAAAACAAAAGAAATCGAGAAAAATAAAATGACCGCGCAATAAAAATAAAGTGCACATAAAACGGTTATCAATTAATTAGGCGACCGAATTTAATTAATCAAAAGAATGTTTTTGGAGGGGGAAAGTGTTGATGGGCATATGAATAAAACGAAAATTAAAATGGAAAAATAAAAAAAAATTTTGTAGAGTAATACATAAATTTTCGTACAAAAATTAAATTTATGTACTTTGATATATGTAGAATTAAATAAAATATGAAGATGGATTGATCTCCCATAAGTTTAATGACAAGACAGAAATTTTAATATTTTTAGAAAAAAATTTAAACAATTTAGGAGAAAAATTTTTTTCACGAAACGTCCAAAGAATTTATAAACAAATTCTAATTAAAGAAGAGTAACAACTTAAAAATTTTCTTCCAAAAAATATTTTCAAGACCCCAAACCCCCAATCTTTGTTTGGTTTGTAAATATTTTAAAATTAGTATAAACGTCAAGTGGACTGGTCAATTACTAGTTTTAGCTTAATTCAAGAGGGTCAAACTAAAAAAGTAAAAAGAAAAAGTTTAAAACAATTTTAAATGCTTATTTTCCACTCGACATTAAAATTTGTTGGAAAATGAACAATAGAGAAATGTATTTATATTATTTACATATTATTTTGTTATTTAAATTTCATTCAAAACCTATTGGTTCTACATGAAAATGTTGATAGAAAATATTTTTTTGGTGATATTGATATTTTAGAGAAAAACGAAAAAATATTAAAAAAGGAATAAAAGAAAAAAACGTTGCATTATTTTTTTAAATAAAATAAAAAAATATAATTAAATTAGGTACCCCGCAAATCACCCCGGACTACTAGGAGAATTGACGGATTCTGGGAAATCCCGGAGATCCCATTTCAGTATTTCGTCTATCTCGCCTTTTTCCGGATATATCCAAGTACCTATTTATCATTTAAAACCTAACAAATCCCCTCGGATAAAATATTTCGTCACCTATACGTCGATCTTGAAGATTAGATAATTAAAAAATCAATTTCACTACAATTATTTCGTAAAAAATCCACGCATTATTTTTTGGGCAAATAATAAGGGAATGAGTAAAAATATAAAAAAAGGAAGAATGCACTATTATGCTTAAAAAAGAATCAAATTCAAAAAAGGGAAAAAATTAACCCATGTGGCACCGGATATTGTCTGTTATAATGAAATTATGTTGAGGAAATAAAAAAGGAAGTAAACATGTTTTGGCCATCTTAATAAGCCTCCAAAAAAATTTTTTGAGAGAAAAACGCGCAGAAACTCCCCTTTGGGGATTGCGAGATTTAATTAAAAATTGAAATAAAAAAGGGCTGGTGACTCAAGACGGAATTAACAAAAATTATCAAGTTTTGAACTAAAAATCGGAATTTTTACCCTATTCCGTAACGTAATATCGAAAACACCGATAACCTTCAAGATTTTACCATCCCTATTCCACAACTTAACCCCTTACGGAATACCGGCAGATACCGAAAAATAAATGTCAATACTAACGTAAGCCCCGATCTCTAGTTTTTGAACTATTTTCTTGTGATATTTAATTATTATAAATAAATACCTTTTCAATATTGAATGAAAAAATGCAAGCGCCCATCACAACAAGTACTTTTTTTAGGTCGGTCATGAATTTGTAGAGCTGCAAAAATATTAAAAAAACACGTTAAATAAGCAATGAGAGATTTAACGATATATTTTAGTAATAAACTAACTATAAGGTTTAATTAACAAATTTTTCAAAAAATTTTATACAATAAATAAAAAAATAAAATATTAAAGGAAAAAACAAAATTTACATCAATAAATACAGAGGCTTATTGTTAGGCAAAGAAAGAAAAAAAAATTTAAAAAGTTTAAGTATAAATTTTAAGTATAAATATTAATTAAATTAATAATCCAGATTAGAAACGAGCCGAGACCAGATCTCGAATAAAGGTTTCGGTTATTGATATCCTGATTTTTCGAGATATCTATCCCGATTCTCAAACGACCCGACTAACAAATCTTTCTAGCCCAGCTTATTTTTGAGGGATTAAATCGTTTAGATAAAAACAATAAAAAAGTTGGGAACAGAAAAAACATATTTGAGAGATTAAAAATGACAGGTATATTTTCGAAAGAATTTAAAAAACTCAAAAAAAACTTGTCAAATAGCCTCAGCCAATCCAACTCTTTTGTTTTCATGGTCAAAAATTGTATACCATTTTGTAATAAATAAATCGCCCAAAATCCACATATTTCCACTTAAATCGACTGACGCAAATCCGCTTAGGCACGTAGTTTTATCTATCTTCAAAAAATTGAACAATAAAAATTCAATTTTTGTTAAAAAAACCTGAATGACATAATCTGCTGGATCCAAAGTAAAATTATTTCCACCAAGTGTAAAATTAACAGAAGGAAGTTTATTGAGAGTTGAGCAGTTTAAATTTAGCCAACCTCCAAGATAATTTTGGGCACCAATTTTTTCGTTGATTTTGTTGATGATTGAGGAAGGCCCAGCTATGAGAGAAGTTCCAGTATCCAAAATTGCTGAAGCATTGGAGGATGATAATACAAGAGAGTCCAAACTGACCGATGTAAGGCTTTAAAAGAAGGTATGATCTTATAAATAATACTAAAATATTTCACCTTAAGCGCCAATAATCGGTTGACATTAAAGGACACCAGAAGATTGGTTCCTAAAATAAAAAATAGAAGTTCACTTCTAGTTTCTTTAGAAACCTTGTATCGCTCAGTGTTAGTCCCGCAAAGGGTAAATTCACCTCCAATGGTGCTGTTGGTGACATCATAATTGTCATTGGTAAGCCAAAAAGCAAAACGTTTTTCAGCGCAAAGTTGATGATTTTTGAATATTTGAGACAATGGCTGACTGACAAGACCCACAGAAATTGAATTCCAAGCCATTCCAAGAATTCCATCAAACGCAACATCCTATAAGGGCAAAGTTTAAAAATTAAAAAATAAACAAGCAAACTTCAAATGTTGACCCAGGTTCACTTGTTGCACAACCAAATCCTTGATTGGAATCCGTGCAGATACCCAAACTTTCATTGCCAAACTAAAAATTTATTTTTCAATCATCCTCCAGAGAGGCCTTCTATTGAAAGAGGCATTCAATTGGAACAGCTTATTTCCAATCAACTTTCAAAGGGGTATTCAACATATTAGAGAGGGGTTTGGAAGGTGAATTGGAAGGGCATTGGAAGGGGAAGGGGAGGCAAATCATTAGAAGGGGCATACTCTTAGAGGCAACACCCGCAAATAAATGAAAAATTAAAGTTTACACAAACGGTATCATCCAACAATTCCCCAGTAGCACTTCCAGTTCCATAGTTTATAGTAAAACTTTTTCCAGTATGCGAACAAGTAGTCGAATTTGAACATTTAAAGGAATTATGTTGAGTACACGCAGTATTATTACAGTTAGAACAGGGTATCCAAAGATTGGAAGAGCCTGTATCGAAGAGAACATTGAATCGTTGTGGAGGGCTTCCAATTTCGATTTTGCCGTAATATTGAGTCTAAAATTAGAAAAATGAAAACAAGTACATAGACCAGACCTATGCGAAACTCAAAAAAATTTTTTAAGATAAACGAAACGAACCAAACATTTTAAGAAACCCGTTTCGTTAACGAAACGGAATTTAAAAAAATGTTTCGTTATGAAGCGAAAAAGGAAAAAACTAGCGAAAATAACGGAACCCGCAACCTTTCTTACAGGCAAGGCACGAAAAGAAATAATTTCGTTCCCCAAAAAACCCAAAAACATAAAAACCTTACATTTCCATAATCAGATAAATTTAAACTGTAAGAAACATTTTGCGCCACAGAAGAGTTTGCCTGCCTTTTTTTAATTTTATTTGGAGCAAAATCAGAATATTTTTTCTTCAAAAAATCGGAAACAGTTAGACTGTTGTTCAAAATGCTGGATGGTGGACTAAATCTTCTGTGCATTGGAAAGCTCATGACATTGATTGGTGAAGAAATGTTGACATATAGCCATCTAAATTTTAAAAATTATTTTTAATTTTTAAGAGTTCGACTTCTCCGGGCCGGATTTTTGTCTAAATCCTAAAAACCCTGGAAAACCCCAAAAATCTAAGTTCATCAAAATACCGGTCTCCAGGCTATTGGGGAAGGAAAACTCGGTCCTAGGCCCGGTTCCGAACTCTATTATTAATATAAAAAAACCTACAAAGTTGAATTACGAGAAAGCTCCAAAGACAAGACACATCTCCAACAAGTAAAAACAATTAAAAATAAATTAATAGGAAAAACAAAAATTAAAAACATTTAAAAAATATTTTTTTGTCGAGATCGACATAAAATAACAGGTAGATAAATATATTTATTTTTATTCCAATAATCAGTACATTTTATAAAAATAATCCCTCCCTTGAATAAAGCGATTATCTACGTCAAGGAACAAATAAAGTAGACAAAATAAGAACAGATATTAAATTCAGGCCGAGAACAAGTACTAAAATATATTACTAATTTAAGTAAACGAATCGAGTAATTAGTTGATAAAAAATAAAGGAAAAGTCCGCCATATTACTCATACTCCAATTCTGACAAACAATAGCCATTTGAAAGAACTTAGTCAGCCTGATCCCCCTATTGTTTTTCGATTTTCAAAGGATTGTATTTCGGCCCATAGTTGAGACCGTAGCTTAATTTTTGTCGTATGCTCTTTCAAATTGCATATTGTTTGTCCGAGAATTGAGTGTGGGTGACAGACCTAATTTTACCAAAAAACAAATATAGTACTTGTTTTGGACTGCTCCCTAATTTATAAATTAGAAACAAAAAATGGTCTCTATAAAAATATAAAGTTAGAAAAAAATTTAACTAAAAAACTTCAACTTTCAGGAGTCGGTAACTTCACATATGATCGTCTCTTAGGCTCTGCTGCCGCTACATTTGTACTCCAAGCACGCTGTCCTTTTGGCGCGTTCCTTGCAAGTCTCTTCTTTCGCTTCTCGCCCATGTACTGGTTGAGATTTTTGAGGTAAACATAAGCAAATATCAACAGAATAAAGCTGAAAATGTAAATAAATTAAAAATCTAAAAATTTCTAAGATATGGGATCAAATGTCCAAAATTTCTAATCAGAAGAGAGCGGCTCTGGACCAAATCTGGTCGGGTTTTTCCGGACATAGGATCCCAAATCCGGGTTTTTAATCAGGCTAAGAGTATTTTAAAATTGAAAAAAACTCACAAGATATTAATATAAGCAACCAAAATAAAGCGGAAATCTTCGCTTCCATTCCAGACAGCTTTGAAGGCGTCAAAATTGGTGATTAACTTCAACGAAAAGCCTTGAGAAAAATCAGTTCCATCTAAAATTATTTTTGAGTAATCTCCTACTAAACAAATATGTACAAACTTTGGGAATCAGCAAAAAAGGCAATAAAGTGTGAAGACAATTCTTTAGCCATTGCTTTACTTTTAAATTTTTTGATTAGTCAAAGAATATTATTTTTAAATAAATTAATTAGAATAAGTTGAATGTCTGAAAAGAGGGAGTTTAAAAAAAATATTTATTGAAGTTTACAGTGTTTTTAATAAAAGTTTTTATTCACACGCCTTCAAGGCGGGTAACCCCGTTGAAAATGAACTTTAGGTTAGAAAAATGTTGTGCAGTGGCGTTACGTCTTGAAGTGTCCGGTCTGGTAAGTTACGCAACGCTGAGTAAAAACATTGGGAATGAGAATTTTTTAAATCTTTTTTTCTAAATTTTATTTTAAAATTCTGACGTGATTAGCCGTAATCTTTTGAGCCTTCCAGGCCGGGTACAGCCCGAAAAGGCGCGGGCCGAAAAGGCGCGACCGAAAAGGCGCGACCGAATAGGCGCCGGCCGAATAGGCGCGAGGCCATATAGGCGCCGGCCGAATAGGCGCCAATCTTTTTAATTAAATATTCTGATTTATAATCAATTAGAATGGTCCCAACGACCATCAAATGGGACCATGACCATGCTGAATTATAAAACAAAAATTTTACAAAAAAATTTTCCAAAATTAAAAAACCGGCCTAACTACAGTTTCAGTACCAGACTCAAAATTGGACAATATATATGTCATTCGAACGGAATCGACGAGCTGAGTTGAATGACACCAAAATCAGCTCGATTGGATGATTCTGAACAAAGTTATGGCCAACTGAATCTTCGCTGGAAAAACTGTTTTTGTGCTGCTACGGAGGGTAGGCCGGGCATGGTCTTCGCTACACGATGGCCGTGCTTCGCTGCGGTCGTGCTCGCTTTGCTTGCGGCGACCGTAGCGAAGCGGCGGCCGTCGTTCCGCTCGACATGCCCGGCTTCCTCCGCAGCGGCAAAAACTTTTTTCCGCGAAAGAGGGGGGTGTTATGTGAGGGGGTGTTAATTAAAAGCTTGGCGCCTATTCGGCCGGCGCCTATATGGCCTCGCGCCTATTCGGCCGGCGCCTATTCGGTCGCGCCTTTTCGGTCGCGCCTTTTTGGCCCGCGCCTTTTCGGGCGTGTCCCTTCCAGGTAGTGAACGACATATCTACGTTTTCGTCGATTCGCGGCGAATAACTACTTTTATTCGCGAACGACTTTTTTTTAAACACACAACGCCAGAACTACGTTAATATCGATGTTTTGCGCCAAACGATTGCGAATCGACTTTTTTGTGTCTCTTTTTCTCTAATTTCACATTATATTTCCTTTCTCTTTTTCTATTAATTTTCTATGTCGTTGTCTCTCCATTGGAATTCTCTCCATTGGACTTTCCTCTTAACATTTCTCGTGAAATGCTCCAACAATCCAAAATTCTTAAAGTGATCCGAAAGAATTTGGTCAAGAAGTGTATCGAACTTTTTGATGAAATTGCTGAAGACAAGGACAACTTTAAGAAATTTTATGAACAATTCAGCAAGAATCTTAAGGTTTTTTAAATGTTTTTTTGAAAATTATTTGTTCTTTAGTTGGGTATTCACGAAGATTCTGTCAACCGTAAAAAGCTTGCCGAATATCTCCGTTACAACACTTCCTCTTCTGGCGATGAACTTGTTAGCTTGAAGGATTATGTTGGACGAATGAAGGAGAATCAGACTTGCATTTATTATATTACTGGCGAGTCTAAAGAAGTTGTTCAAAACTCAGCTTTTGTTGAACGTGTTAAGAAGCGAGGTTTTGAAGTTATTTATATGGTTGATCCAATTGATGAATATTGCATTCAACAATTGAAAGAATTTGATGGAAAGAAGTTGGTTAGCGTGACTAAAGAAGGTTTGGAGTTGCCAGAAAGTGAAGAGGAAAAGAAGAAGTTTGAAGAAGATAAAGTTAAATTTGAGAAACTTTGCAAAGTTATTAAGGTATTTAAGATTTTGTTTAAAGAATTTTGGAATATTTGTTTTATTTTTAGTGTTAGGATATTTTGGCCAAGATGACTCCGACCAAGATGACTTTGTTGACTTCTGGCTTCTCTCTTGAAGATCCACAACCCTGCACTTCTGGGGAACCTGTCGAAAAGATTGCCGGTGCAGAGGAGGACGCTTCGCGTATGGAGGAAGTTGATTAAATTAATGTAAAAGGTTTTGATGGATTGATCTCCTCGTTGACTTTGTTTTTCTTTAAATTTATTTTGTTTTGTCGTCCTTATAATTATTTACTTTGTTTTTGAATCACGGATACATAAATTAATTTCACAAAAAAGTTTGTCTTGATTTTTAATTTGAGATCTGTTTTAGGGGAGGTGGGGAAACAAACGGCAGGATCAAGGTAAGCAGCACATCTGATGATGGAAAGACTTTCCGGATTTTCAATGAAAATTTCACTCATCTTCCTGTTAAAGGCTTTCAATCCACTTTTGGCATCATCTCCTCTTACTTCTCCTCTCCATATAGTAAGAATATAAATATGTGGAAAAATCCCTAAAAATTACAGAAAAGGGACTGAACATTTATAAAAATGGAAAATTGCAAATTCCAAAGGAGAGACTACACGAACGAAAATTAATAGAAAAAGAGAAAGGAAATATAACGTGAAATTAGAGAAAAAGAGACACAAAAAAGTCGATTCGCAATCGTTTGGCGCAAAACATCGATATTTACGTAGTTCTGGCATTGTGTGTTTAAAAAAAAGTCGTTCGCGAATAATTGTAGATTTTTTTAAAACGACTTTTTTTCCTTAAGAAAAAGTCGATATGTCGTTCACTACTTCCAGGCCTTTTGTTTATTACAAATTCGCCTAATTTGCTTGATTTTCTTGTTTTTTCGGCTTTATCTTTTTCGCTTTTATCTCTTTTTTTTTTGCAAAAATATTTTTATCTTAATCAATATTCTTTCAGGTTCTTTTATTAAAAATTTACTTTCAGAAGCAACTGTGAACTTTCAAAAACAATTGCATCTTTTTTAATAGTGCTTTTCCCTCTTACTATTTTTAATTCCTAGATGTTTATTATTATTGCTTTTCAAAAGTACTTTTCATTCAATTGGCCAGTCAATTTTGATTTTCCCAAGGTTATTTTATATCTTTTTAAACTTTTGATATATTAAATTAAAAACATTTTTTCTTTAGATTTTTTTCGATTTTCTCAAATTTCTCATATTTAACTTCAATTTTTAGTCAAAACAGTAAAAATTGACCCTCTAGAAATAATCAGACTAAAAAATGCCTTTACGTGTTGGTGGTAAAGAAGCAATTTTCTGCTTGGATTTTGCTAGAGAGGTTATCATTTTACTTGAAAAATGTTAACAAGACAATTTTCATCCAACTTCAGAAGTTTGACTACATTCCCTTCGAAGCGACTATTCCTGGGATTCTCTATCGTAAACGCGCTTCAGATCGTGACGAATTCGTGTTTGAGTCAGAAAATGTTTCCTTCACTTCCGAGAAGATTAAAAATGAGGTTAAAGCCTTTCCTTTAATTTTACCTTTTTATTCAGGTTGAAAAATTCGCTGCTGGTCTCTTAAGTGCTGGTTTAAAGACAGATGATCGGATTCTTATATGTGGAAACAATCACAGCCAACTAGTTATTTCTGTTTTGGGTGCAGCTAGAGCTGGAATTGTAATTTTTTCATATTTATCATCAACAAGAATGTCACAGGTTACCCGAAACTCGACCCGACTGTTTCCCTCTTAATCCTTCTAAATGACACGACGCCTAACCTTGACTTTTTTCTGACCCCGAATCCCGATCCGAAGGAAATTTTGAAAACCTAACCTGAAACCCAACCGACTTTTTTCTTAACCCGTGACATTCCCCGATCCACCCTATCAACTGCTACATTTTTAGGTTTTTTCAATCGCAAGCCCAAACTTTGCCAACGCTGAGCAACTTAAGCATTTTCTCGGAACTGGTGATTTTTTCACTTAAAAATACAATTATTCCTTTTCAGGTCAATTTAATGGCTTCATTTATTTTGGAGAATCCGACAAGGCTAATCAACTCCTTTTGAGTATTTGTCCCGAAATGCAGAAGGGAGAGAAGGGCAAATTAAAATTAAAGAGTTTTCCAAAGTTGACACACGTCATTTTTGCTGATGAGGACCATAAACATGGGTATATTATTTCTAAATTTTATTTAAGCTCATTTACTCTTTTAGCGGCACGTATACGCTCTCGGACATTTTTGTTAAAGGCAATAGCGAACAAATAGCCAAATTGCCCAAATACGAGCAGTGGGATTGCCATAAAATTTGTGCCATTCAATTCACCTCGGTTATCTTTTTTTATTTACTGAACTTAAAAATGTAATTTTGACTTAAGGGTTCAACAGGAGCACCTAAAGCTGTTGCTTTGAGTCATTATCAACTAATTAATGGTAGCCGAATTGCTTCTTCTACTATTGGAATTAAACGAGACGTAACTTTTATTTTAATTTATTCATATAAAGAATTGTTCTACTTAAATATGTGTGTTCCAGTGATGTCACGGGTTAAGTCGGGTTAGATCTTTAAAATTTTCCTCAGATCGGGTTTCGTGTCGAAAAATGTTCAGTTTTCGGATCTGCCAGTTATGCTACGCTTACATAAAAAACGCGCGCGTCTTGCGGCAGAAAAGATAATGGGAAATGAGGAGAGTAAAAGACGCCGGCGTCTTGCCGCTTTTTTTGAGTGCTTACATAAACTGCGTCTTCCGCCGGCGTCAAGACGCCGGCGTCTTGACGCTTTTTTTGCGTGCTTACATAACTCGCGTCTTCCGCCGGCGTCTTGACGCCGGCGTCTTGCCGCTTTTTTTGAGTGCTTACATAAACTGCGTCTTCCGCCGGCGTCTTGACGCCGGCGTCTCTTTTTTTAATTCAAACATGTTTGAATTTTTTGCGGCAACTTTTAGCGTCTTGATCATTTCTCGGCCAATTCTAATCCGATTTTCAAAATTTAAAAAGATTTTGAAAATTCAATTCATTCTCTATCGATCAATATAAATTTTATATTTTTAAAGTTAAATCTTATGGGTTAAAATTGATTTTGAAAAACGTATACTTTTTGCAAAAAATATTCTTTTTTTTCGATATTTTTGAGATTTTCGAGATAAAAAAGTATTTATATCATAACTTTTTTATCAATCGGTCAAAAATTCTGATTTTTTGTTATGTTGTAGAGCTTTTGATTCTCTATCAAATAATACCAAAAACATGAAAAATTGACCATTTCTTAATGAGTAGGGCTCGTACCATATAGTTAAAGACAAAAAGTTTTGGGGAAAATCGAGGCTGATGGGAAAGTTCCAAAATATCTCTGGAACTAGTTCCAGTTCCAGAACTAGGTTTTTAATTTTTGTAGTTCCAGTTCAGGAACTCCATTTTTTAAATTCCTTAGTTCCAGTTCAGAACTTGTTCCAAGTTTGTTCTAGTCCCGAACTTTTAAATTTTTTTGAATATGAAGATTTAGCCTCATAAGAGGATTTAGTGACAGAGGATTTAGCCTCATAAGTTTGTTCAAAATCGCCAAATCTAACCGATCTTAGTACCAATCTACCCAGCTCTCAAAATGGTCAGGGAAACATAAAAAGGGGGGGGGGGCGACAACCGAAGAATTACCTCCCGAATGATCCCGATAATAACAAAAATCCGGGATCCCGGAAAATCCCGTCGGGATCCCGTCCCGCGCCGACCTCTAAGTAGAATATTTTACCATTGAAGTTGGATCGGTATCATGGCAGGATAAAATGATTTAATATTATTTGTTCAATTTAATTTCAATAAAATATTTGTTATAAATTTAGTCCGCAATTAGTGCTTACATAAAAAACGCAGTTTTTTGCGGAAGACGCTCGGCGTCAAGACGCCGGCGGAAGACGCTGTTTTGTGCTTACATAAAACTAGCGTTTTGACGCTTTGCGTCTTCCCGCTTAGCGGAAGACGCCGATTTTATGTAAGCACGAAACTGCGTCTTCCGCCGGCGTCTTGTCGCCGAGCGTCTTCCGCCGGCGTCTTGCGTTTTTTATGTAAGCGTAGCATTAGGGGATTAGAGGGAAAATTCTCGAAACGAATATCGGTTAACTCGTGACATCCCTGATGTGTCCTCTTGCTATGTCACGGAGTAATCCTTTTACTAATAAATTTTATTTTCAGACAATACTTTGTTGCGCCTTACCATTATTTCGCATTCCAGTGTTCTGTTTGGTCGTCTTCAGTCCTTTTCTTTTTGAATCAAGAGTTGTCTTCCCTGATCCAAGTCCTTTACCAAAACTTCTTTTTGACTCAATTAAAAAGCATTGGTGAGTTGAAACGAATTTTTAAAAATTCCAAAAAAATGTTTTTTAGCTGTACAAATGTTTTATCAAACGCTGCTGCTCTTCGCCTTTTGTTACGTACTCAAACATTAACACAAAAGCAGAAGAACACTCCCACCTTGCCCAGCGTGGATACTGTTATTTTGTTAGGAGAACGTGTTTCTGCTGATTTACTTATTGCAATTGAGGGAATGTTGCCGAATGCAAAGAAAATTGCTGTTAATTTTTAAAATTCTTTAACTCTTTAAAAAGTTGTTTTCAGGTTGGAATGCTTTCTACTGAGCTTGGATCAATTCCATTATTAAGTGACAACACTACAAATTTAGTCAAATCTGTTGGGAAGGTCTTAAAAGGATATGAGGTTTCTAGTTTATATTTTAAGTATAGTAGTAGCACGCAGACCTTTTGGAGACGGGAGTGTCGGGTTATGTAGGGGAGGACATGTCGGAGTTGCGTTGTAGGGTTGGGGGACGAGGACTACCCTATTTTTTTACTTTTTTTACTTCTCTTTCAGGTTGATGTCACAAAGATTGATAATTTGGCAAATAATGGACATCTAATTGGCGAGTTACGCTTAAAACCGCTCTCTAAAACAACCTTTTTGGGGTATGGGCCCGATTTTGTTGCTGGACAGGAATGGATAAGTACAGGGTATATTTTTCTGGAAATTTTTTGCTCTTATTCAAATTTTCAATTTTAGAGATGTTGTTTCTATACAACAAGACGGTAATGTCGACATTATTACACAACATCGAGAGGATCTGATTTTTGATAAAATTGGCCGTCTTGTCGAGCATTGGCGTGTAGAACGGTTAGTGGCGCAAACATCACAACAAATTCGGGGAATTCAAGTTTTTTTATTTCTTTTATTTTTTAACTTTAATTTTCTTCAAAAGATTGTTCAAATAGCTCCTGGAGGTCCTCTAACTGCTGTTGTTATTCCAAAAAAAGAAAATGCCCTAAACGTTGCTGAATTCAAAAAGGAAATGATTGATATATGCCGTGAAAATCGGGTTGGATTTTATTAATTTTTTCAAATTTTCCCCTCTTTAAATTTAAGTTGGACCCTCCTGAACAAGTTGTGGTACTCCCAGAATTTCCTAGAGTAAATACAAAAATTCAAAAGTACAAAATTCGTCAAGATTTGAAGAATAATAAATTGAAAATTTGGTGAAATATTTTTTTAATTTTTTTATTTTTTTTATTAATCCTTTGTAATATTTAGAAGCTTTCTTTAGATAAATAAGTTTTACTTTTTATTTTTCTTTCCCTTTAGGGGTATAATATTTTTGATTAAACACGTGAGAGTGTGAGGAGTTGTGCTCGTTATAAGAGCAGAAAACCCCCTTCAATCTCGTCTTGCATTAAAGGTCTTTTCTGTTAGAATATAATCAGCAAGTCACAAAATAGGTAAAATGATAAATTAATTTTGAAAAAAAATATAAGAGAAATTCTCGCGCAGAAATGGAAGTCAGCTATCGCTCGATCATTCCTTCTTTTATTAACTGGACACATGTAAAGACGTGATTTTTTTGATTATTATTTTATTGAGTAGACATTCAATTTTTATTTTAACTTTGTTGACAAAAATTAAGTTGATAAAATTAAGGGTGTAAATTTAAGTTAAATTTCAATCTGATAATTATTTATAAAAAAAGGTTTTGTTCTAAATTAGCCCCTTATTAGGTTGAAACTTTGTTAAGTTTGAAGTTATGAACTTGACAAAAAGCGTGACAAAATTTATGATGTGTCGCCCAACCTTTTTTCAGGTGAAATATGAAATGTAAGTTATGTTCGAACTCAAGAAGGACTTTTTTTTTAACTTTATAGAAATCCTTGGATGCGTCCTGGGGACCCGGTAAACTTAGAAAAAGCGCTTCAACAATGGAATAATTTGAAGAATATTATAGAGGTAATTTTACTGTTTTTATTAATTAAAAAATTATTTTTTGAAGAAGTCAGGCGGGGAAGTGTTGGTGATGGAACCTGAGGCAAGTTTACAACACAGAAAATTTTATGAAGTTGTTAAGGATTTAAATTTAATTGTAAAAAATTTGAGTCAGAAAATCACTGACATTTGTTTTTTATAATAAATTAATTAGGTCTACAGGGCGCAAATAATTATCCAGATTTGGTTTTCGCAGCGAATGCGGCTGTCGTGAGAGGCAATAAGGCATATCTGAGTAATTTCTTCTATCCGGAAAGAAAAGGTTCGAGCGATAATCAGAAAATTAAATTTAAGGCGATTTAAAGGTGAAGATTATTACTATGACAAATGGTTTAAAGAGAATGGATACATTACAAAAAAAGATATTCACGTTCCATTTGAGGGTTAGTCAAAAGAATATATTATAGAAAAATCTTGTTTCTCTTTAAGGTGCTGGGGATGCTTTGTGGGTGGGTAAAAATAAACTATTTTGTGGTATTGGCCCGAGAACGGATGTCCGCGCATTAAATTTAATCGCAAAAAATTTGAAGGACGAGGAATCTCCTTTTAAAGTTTATGGCTTTCGTCTTATTGATCCTAGGTTTGTGATAAGCTTAAAAAAATTTTTTTCTTCAATAAATTAAGATTTTATCACATTGACACGTGTTTATGCGCAATAACTGAACAACTAGCTATTTATTACCCATATGCCTTTGATCCAGTCGCTCGACATAATATGTCTAATGAACTCGAATTGGTTCCAGTCACCGAGGAGGAAGCGATCCGCTTTGCTTGTAATTCTATAGTCATTGGGAAAAGTGTGATTATCCCTGTTGGGGCAGAACAAACGGCTAAAGCATTGCAGAAGCTTGGATTTGACCCAAAATTTGTATGTTTTTGTTAAGGATACAAGCAAAAACTTTTAAAATCAGGTTGATATGTCCGAATTTATCAAAAGTGGAGGGGCAGCAAAATGTTGTACTTTGCAATTGTCTCAATAGAGATTTTATAAAACTGAATTTAAAAGATTATTTATTTTGCCATAATTGTTGACAATCTCATAAATTTAGTTTTACGTTAAATTTTATTTAAAAATCTCGTTTTCACTACGGTACGGTAGGCTGATTTTTCCGTCTCTTCTTTTGTTAAAGTCTCTCAACAAGCTGGTACTCAACTGGTCTCGATGACGTCACAACTTTTCTTAATAATTGAGTCTCGTGGTTTGTTTTTATTCTTTTAAGTTTCTGGTCAGTACTCAACTGGTAACAGGAAATTTGAGTCTCTTAATTTCAGTATCGTTCATTTTATTCGTATTTTTTAAATTTTTTTGCAAGTTTTTTCTAATTTAAAAGTCGTTTTCATTTCCGGTCTGTTTGATTGTTGTATTCATTTGTTTCGTGTTCGCCTTGTGGAAATGAGAAAATGAAAGGAAAAGGAATTCCGTTCCTTAGGGAAAAGGAAACCTTATTTTCCTTAAGGCTAGAAAGGAAGACGAGAAAATTTTCGGGAATCACGAAACAAAAAATTTTCGTGCAACGCTTGCTTGATCGTTCCGAAACAAGTTTACCTTTAATATTTTCTTCATATTTCTTTCACTCTGTTTTCTATTTTTAAACTTATTTTTGATTCTTTTAGAATTTAATTTAAAATTATGGAAAACGATGAAAGTAATTCCAATAGTAATCTATTGTTTGCAAAGAGAATGCGTTCCGCTTTTAATATTCAACAAATCGTTAAAAGAATAGAAAGCAAAATGACATACAATTGCTCGGGAAAGAATAATGATTTCTTCGAGATGGCTGTAAGGTTTTTTTAATATTACTTATAAACTTAAATTGTCCCTTAAGACTTGCAGATTTATTTGGAGATGATGTAGTGGTTGATGGCCTTGCTATTGCTGAAAATGGACTTGTAAGGATTGTTCGCGATGATGAGGGTGTTTTCCCTTTGATTTATGAGGTTTGATATTTGACGTTAATGCCTACATTTTAAGGCAGGGGTTTAGAAGGGAGGGAGGAAGGCGGGGTTTAAGAGAGAACGCTAGGGGGTTTCAGCTTGAATGTTGTGGGATCGATGCCTGCCATCAGGACTAAACTCTTTAATCTTATTTACTATTTAGGTCAGAACAGGCTCCTTCTGTACCCATTCATATTACTTTTATGAAGATGTGAACTTTTGTCGATGCTCTTTCTTCTCAAAAAGAGGTTTATTGGAAATTCGCATTTTGTTTTTAAATAAGATTATTTAAGTTGTTTGTGCGCGGCAAGCTTATATGGTTGGTGATTTTAACTAGCCATTATTTCGTCCTTTCAAGAAAACTTTAATTTTGGGGTTTTAATTTTTTAGACGAAATAGTGGCTAAAAAATCAGATGTGCATAAATAATTTGTTTCTATTTTGTTTTTCCATTTTGTTTTCTCTTTTTGTTTTCTAAGGACGTAATAATCCACATTTTCTTTTTATTTTTTTTCTCAAAAGTTTTTGCTTTTTATACTTGTTTTAGATTGCATGAACTTTTGTTTTAGAATATTACAAGTGAAAAATAATTGTTTGGATTTTTTACAAAATTTTGCAACAACTTCGGTTTATCCAAAGAAAAAATTTTTCAAAAAAAGAATACTTGAAGATATGGTTATGGATAAAAGGAATGTTCTTTGTGTTGCTGAAAAGCATGATGCTGCTAAAAATATTGCCAAATTTTTGTCAAATGGATCAGCTAGAACAGTTAAAGGAAAAGGCCCTTACATTTACAATTTTCTATTTGATGGTATGCCAATAAACATTTTTTTTATAAAATTATTTTTTAGCAAGATTTCTAAATGGCAGTTTCAATTTTGTTTTTACCAGTGTTCGAGGGCATTTGATGAACTTTTATTTTCATCCGAGGCATAAAGTTTGGATTGAAAATCAAATTTATGATTTGTTCGATGGTGAAATTCTGCAATCTGTTATGCCGGATATGAAACCGGTTGAAGAAAATTTGAGGTTTAAATAAAATATTAGCTATAAACATCTATATTTGACTTGCAGAGATGAAGCTAAAAAAGCAAATGTTCTTATAATTTGGACTGATTGTGATAGGGAAGGTGAACATATTGGAAATGAAATTTCCCAAACTTGTCTTAACGCCAACAAGTTTGTTTTTATAAAACGTTCGAAGCTTAAAATGATTTTTCTATAGAAATCTACGCGTTTTAAGGGCAAGATTTTCCGAAATAACTCAACAGTCGGTTACAAGAGCAATGCAGAATCTCCAAGTAATTGATCGAAATAAAGTGTCTGCTGTTGATTGTAGAATGGAATTGGATTTGAGAATAGGTTTATTTTTTTTTATTTTTCTCCGATAATAAATTATTTTGAAGGGGCGGCATTTACTCGACTTCAAACAATTTCTATTCGAAAAAATGGATTGCATACATATTTAAACAATGGGGAAGAATTTGAAAACAAACAAGTCGTTAGTTATGGAAGTTGTCAGTTCCCTACTTTAGGTTGGAAAACTTTTTTTAATTTTTCTTTTCGTTTGTTTTGCTCCTAACAATTCTTTATTTTCTAGGTTTTGTTGTTCATCGCTACAAAGAACACACAAGTTTTGTTAGTCAACAATTTTGGAAATTGGTTGGTACTGATGGAAATAATAAAGGATTCATTTTTGTTTGGGAAAGAGAAGGTCTTTCTATTCATATTTTTGATGAAAGTGTTGTACAGGTTTTCATTTTGTTTTTTATTTCTGAATTAAATCATAATTTTTCAGGCATTAAAATCAGCATGTAATTCTTCAAACAAACCTGCAATAGTTAAAGAAATTGTCCAGAAGCCAAAAAGCAAATGGAGGCCGCAACCATTAGACACAATCCAACTGGAGAGATTAGGCAGTAGATTTCTTAGAGTAAGTGCCAAACAAATATTGTCTTCAGCTGAAAGATTATACCAAAATGGATTCGTTTCCTACCCCAGGTATATTTTTTGTTTAAATTTTAAAATCAGAAAAGGATTGAAAATTAATCTTTCATTTCTTGATCGCATTAATAATTTAATAATTTCCTTCCTTTTCAGAACAGAAACTAATTGTTATTCAAATGAATTTGACTTGGCAACTATTGTGCAGTCACTTACTCAAAACAACCAGTGGGGACAATTTGCAGCAGAAATTCAACAGCGAGGTGGGCCCAAACCTCGTAATGGGACTAAAAATGATCAAGCTCACCCACCTATTCATCCTGTCAAAAATGCAACACGGTTATTTTTGCTTTTGATTATTTGAATTTTTTGCTTAATTTGTAGAACTGAAATCACCAGTAATGAGGATTGGAATGTTTATGAATTTATTTGTCGCCATTTCCTTGCCTCCGTATCTCGAGATGCAACTGGAAATGAAACGAAAGTTAAAGTAAGATAACCAGAGAATTTTTTAGAAAACTTAAATTAGCAACACTTTTAAAGGTTGAACTTGCTGATGAAATATTCGTAACAACTGGCTTAATTATCGAAGACATGGGATACTTGAACGTTTATCGTTATGAAAATTGGAAAGATAAAAATATTCCTGCTTATCGTCAAGGACAAATTTTGCCTAAATTTAGTGTAGATATAAATAATGGATTTACAGAGGTTTTTTTTAATTTTTTGTCTTTTAAAATTTATTTTATTTAGCCACCACCTTTACTAACTGAAGCTGATTTAATTGCTTTAATGGACAAAAAAGGAATCGGAACTGATGCAACACATGCAGAACATATTGAAACAATAAAAAAGCGGTGGTATATTATTCAAAGGCCAGATCGGCGATTTGAACCAACCAAACTTGGAATTTCTTTGGTTGATGCATATGAAAAAATGGAGCACATGTATAAATTGAGTAGGCCTGATCTTAGAGCAATTTTAGAAGCAGATTTGGAAAAAATATGTCGAGGTATTTTTTTGACTTATTTTTTGGTTTATTCGTGACAAGTTATTCTGATTTTACAAATGTTCAGTTTTTTTTAGCGGGGTCAACCCTGGGGAACTACAAATTTTGAAAGGTAATATTGAGGGATTAATGTGTTCTTCAGGAATTCTTTAGGGGTGGATTTCCTTTTAAAGTTTTTCAAACAACCAAGCTAAATTTTACCCTTGGGATAAATTGTCACGTTTACAAAAATTTAATATTTTTATACAAATCAGGTACAAAATCAAAGGATTTGGTTCTTAAAGAACAATTAAAGATTTACAAAGATATTTACCGGTCGACTGAAATGAAGATTAATTTACTTATTCAAGCTCTCAGGGAAAATGGAATTGAGAATCCGCCTTAAAATAAATTTCTATTTTTAAATTTCCATGTGTTTATGTTCAAAGTTTTTTTTTCTAAATTTATTTATTTTTTTAATTTTAATAATTTAAATTGATCTCTCCTTCTATTCTTTTTATTCAAGATTGTTTAAATTTTGTTTATGCACATCTGATATATTTTTCGCTTTTTACAAAATTATTTTTTTTTCTAAATTTATTTTTAGTGTCCTCATCTACTCGCTGTTACCTTTTCTAAAGCGTGTTCATTACTTAAACCTGATAGAATTGAAAATGATTTGGTTATGGTTGCAATATTAAATTCATTAAGTGCTTTACCTGAAAATGATCCAGAATATGGGAAAGATGAGGAAATGTTTAAAAATACAAAAAATGTTAGTAGTGATGAAGAATTAATAGATGAAGAAGTTGAACAAACAGAAAATGAGGATGAAGTGTTGTGAAAAATTTTTTTTTTGGTTTTTTGTGATAAACTGGTTTTTATGTATTGTTGGAAATCATTGATTTTATTGGATACTTTTCCATTATTTTTTTAATATTTTTTTATTTTACCCTTTTCAGTTTTTTTAAATAATGGCTTTGGATGAGGAATTTTCTAAAGAGCTTCTGGAGAGAATCTCAACGTTGGCTGAGAGGATTGAGAATGTTGATATTGTGAGTTTATGATTTTTGTTAACTTGTGGACAAGGGGGATAGGGGTGTCCTTTCAATTAGGGGCGGGGGATTTATTCCTCAGTTGGGGGGTCTAGGGGGGGGTCTATCTATTATTCTCATACTAGCTGGGTTCCAACATCCGGACCCCGTGGCTAGGCAACGGAGAATAGAACTAGCATACTGGAGCTTTTTAATTTTTATCAAACATTGTTTTATAGATTAAACGTCAGCAAACAGTTTTGGATAATTTAAAAACTCTTCGAATTGGTAAGAAGAAATTGCTTCATCAATTACAACTTTTATTGGAAAAGGAAGCGGATGTTCAAGTAACGAATGATTTGATTCAGAAACTTCTTCAATCATTCAATGAATTAAGAAAGCAAGAACAAGAATTTACTTGTGCAATGAGAGAAGTTGTAGTTAAATTTTGTGGTGATTTGAATGATGTACTTCCAAAATTGAATGAAGTACAACAAATTTTGAAAAATGATAAGGACAATAAATTTTCAGGTTTTTTTTAAATATTTTTACCTTTACATTAAAACGAATAAATTTTAGAGTTTAATTTGTTGGAAGTCGAACGTTTGACTCTTAAGCTCAAAAATGTGCAAGAGATGATTTTTGGTTTTAATGAAATGTTCAAGGAAGCTGAAGATGCTTCTGGTCTTTTGGATGAACAACTGAAGACTCGTTTGAGCATTTATTTTGAAAAGGTTTTTTTATGGCAATTATCTTTTCATATTCTTGAGGGGTTTATGATCTTTTCATTTTTCCAACATTTATGAATTTGTCCAATCTGTTAAACCTAGAAAAATCTCTAAACATTCACTTCTTTAAAATAAGTAAAAATTATCTGTTATGTATGGGGTTCGAACCTTCTTCTAATTGTAAGATTTTTGTGTTTAATACTAGCCTTTTCTCACCTTCTCCAATATATTTTTGAGGTTTATATTTTAATCAAATCATTTTTAGCAAAAGCGAAAGAGTTTGGTTCAACGACTTAATGACACAACTTTATCTATCTCTAAAGATAAGAATGCTCATCATCAAAAATTTGTTAATGCTCGTGAGTTTTTATTTTTCTTTCTTAAAAGTGCAAAACGTACTTTTACTTTAATCCTACCAAATATGTAAAAATAAATCTCCTTTAAAATAATTTTGTCGACTTTTCCTTTAAGAAATTACAAAAATACTTTTTGCGTTTTTGACCGTTTCTAAGACAACATATTAAATTTTCTTACTTTTCTTGAACACAAACACGGGAGACCTTTTCTCTTTCTCATTTTTGGCACTTAATAACTTTAATTAAAAGACACACCTTTTATAAATATATATTTTTTTACTTGACAATTTTACTAATTTTGAGAAAATTTGTGGCATCACAAATGAAAGGCTTTTTTGCTAAAAGTATAAAAAAAGGAAAAAAAATTATATTTATTGGAGGGGGAGAAGTAAGATGTATTTGTGTGTAACAAATTTTCTCTATGACAATTAACTAAAAAAGAAAAGTCTGAGGAAAAGGGGGTAAAAGGCTCAGTTAATAGTAAAAAGACTATAAGACTTGCTATTACTATTAGCGGCCGAGTTTAAGCTCTGATGACAGCAAAAACGGAATTCCGTTGCTTTTCATCATTTTGGGGGAGCGAGAAAAGGTCTATGGATGGGTGGAGGAGGAGGAGGGGAGAAAGAGGTGCTTTTACCCTACAGCATTGTCTCATTCTTTAGTCTGCTTTTCGTGGCTCTGCTAATGCACACATTCCTTTTTTTATATATTTTATTTCCCTCATTTTTCCTCAAGCTAAGCTTTATAGATGGAGATATATATATTCTCTTTTTTTCTTCCATTTTACCGCATTGGGTGAATGCAAAAAAAAGGGAGGGGGAAGGGTAACGAATTGAGTTGGATGTGTATATAAGCTTTATATCCTTAGTCAAGTAAAAGTAAAAGGGGTTATTTTTCTGTCTATATTTCTGCCACCCTCAATTTGAGACAAGCTAAATAACCTTCAACATATAGTCCATTTGGTTGTGATAAAAAAAAGAGTACCCCCAGCTCTCGTTCTGCTCCACCCATTTATTTTTTTTTGAAATTATTTTATTTCTTTGGCTCATTTAAACTTTAATTTATATTTTTACAGATTGTAATTCCAATTCTGAAAGGAAGCAACGCCAATTAGAACGTCTTCGACGTGAAGCAGTGAAAAGAGGAATTGTTAATAATAATGACAATCATGTTGAATGTGTGGAAACTACTACAGTTTCATTAGAGACGAAGAAGGAGGATCTGGAAAATGTTGAAAAAGAATTTGAATTGGTGAGTTTAAAAAATTTTTAAGAAAAAAATATTTTTATTACAGAAAGCAACAATTGAGGATGATGAGAGAATTCCTCCAATTCCTCATTTGCCAAATCAAGAAGAATTATGCACTTCGAGTTCAGCCAAAAATAAGTAAAATCTATTTAAAAAATATTTTAAAAATGATTTTATTAGAGATGAGCTTCGTTCCAAAATTTCTGAGCGCTTTTCTTCTTTGGCTGCGCGTAAACATAAAATGAGGCTTATTCAATCGAGACTTAGTAATTTACAACAACAGAAGATGGAAACTACTTATGATGAGGCTTTAAATCGATACAAGTTTATTTTTCTTAAAATTTATTTTTTATATTTTTTAGGTTTTTGTCTGAGATGAGGAATAAATTGGAAAATTTGCAAAATTCTGGATTTACTGGAGATGATTCTTTTAATTCTGTTGGTGATGAAAATAAAGCTTTGAATCAAAATGAGGATCTTCCTAAGAATGGAGAAGAATCTCGAGATGTTAAATTAAACAAGTTTGAAGAACCAAATCAGGGCGAACTTTTGGTTAAAGAGGTTTTAATTTAGACTTTATGGGTTTAGGGGTTAGTTGAGTTCGGACATGTGGCAAATCATAGCGTGGCTGGTTTTTTAGTTCTGGTTATCGGTACATGAGCTTGGTACCGTTGATTCAACTCTACTGGATCGAATATCCTTCGATACTATCGATCACCTAATTCTTTTTCTAGTATGTAAATGGGTAAATGAAGTCCATTTTTGGCTAGATCATCACTAATGACATCCTTTTGGATAATCTATTTTTGTTTAATTCCTTAAGTGGGTTTCACTTGGGATAGACCACAAATTTTAACATTAATCTTTGCTTATCTTTTTGTTTTTAGTCTGACAATGTCAATTCTACTGTTGAAAAGGCTGCTAATATTGATGGTTTAGTTGTTAGTTCATCGACAAATAGCAATGATGAGACTACCTTTTCTACAATTGAAAATAGTTTGGAAGGAGTTGAGAAGGGTCAAACTGCACAATTTGGTTGGACTGGAAATGAGGTAGTTTTTTATTAAATTTTTTGTTGTTTTTTATCAGTTTTTGTATTTTATTTATCTTTTTATTCTTCTCTTTTATCGTTATATCTTTATCACTCTAATTAACTGTACAAACTCTAAGAATGATGGATAATTTGAAGACTTGAATTAATATTTTTTAAATTTTTTAATCTAAAAGATGTCCATATAGTATTATTTGAGGTTCTTTATAATTATTTTTAGTTGACTCAAATCATCCATCATATAGCTTTTAGACAATTTATAGTCTATTTCCTCTCATTTATTTTTAGGCTTAAAAATAGGGATAACAGAAAAGCAACAACAACTGTTTAATTTCCCTCATTGAACAGCTGCATATTTAAACTAAAATATAATTTTCTGAACAAAAAATTTTTTGTTCATATATTTCCTGTCCTATTAAACTTTCTATTAGTGATCAATTTTCTTGATTTGTTGTCAACTTTCTCAAATCTATTTTATTATTTAGAACTTTTAGAAAATATTTTTATAAGCTTTTAAATCCTTCAAAATATTAGTTAAATATTAAAGATTTGGCTAGTTCTGATCCAAATTTTTCTGTGGGGTTTTCTAGGTATGTATGTGTTTTGATTAACCTAGTAGTTGTCTTTTGATTAACCCTCCAAGTTTTCGAAATTTTCGTGTTGTTTGATTTTTATTGGAGTGATTTTTGTTTATTTTGTCTTTGTTTATTAATTTTTGTGTTTTGTCGTCTCGTGTTTTTATGTCTGAATTTTTTCAAAAAGACTAAGAACCTCTAATGTAGTTCCTTTTCGATAATTCAAGTTTTTTTTGGTTAAATTCTTCTAAAGAAAATTTTGTTGCCTTGACTTTCAAGAATCGGGACTACATTCGAAAATGTCACCCTAATTTTAAATTTTGTTTATTTATCTTTTGTTTTATTTTCTAATTATTTTTTGTATTTTTATTAACGATTTCTGTGTTGTTGTGGTTAGTTGTTGTGTTTTTTTACTAAAAAAACGAAAATTTATTATTTTATTAACGACATTAAAAACTTGAAAAACACAAAAAAATTAAATTAATTGACCACAACAATTTTAATTATTTAAAAATGGATAGTTGCCAGTTAAGTGAATATCTTGCCACAAGCTATTAAAAATAGAATATCTTGTGCAGGGTTCGCTTAGACTGGATCTTATCCAATAAGAAAAAAGTATATTTTTCAACATAACAACAAAAATTCAACACCACAGAAATCTAAATATATTTTCATTTTATTTTTAATGCCAAAATAATTTTGGTTTGATTTAATCAAAAATATAACCTTTATTTTGGGGAATTTTTTATATCAAATATTTTTTTAGAATCAAGATACTTCAACAAGTAAAAGTCAAATTAATATGGAAGAGAAGCAAAATGATGATGGTTCTGATTGTGGAATTAAACTTTGTGGAAAAGAATTGGGGAATTAGATTTTGTTTATTAATTTTTAGAAATTGATAAAAATTTAAAATATCAATTTTCTTTTGAAAAATTGGATTTCCTAAACCTGCTGTTTTATTTTTTAATATTTAAGTTTTATTAAAGTTTTAGTGATGCGTTCAATTCAGAAGTCAACGGTGAAGAATCAGTTGAAAAACAATCTGCTCCGTTTACTGACGAACAGATGCAAATGGAGGTTTTTTTCCTGTTTGAGATAAAAATATGAATTATTTTTCTTTTATTAGATCAAATGCAAGACAAGCGGTGGAGGGGTGATCAATGTTCGTGTGTCTCATCTTCTTCAAAGCGGCGTCTTCAAGAACATGTGGAGGAACAGGAATGACAAACATGTTCAACAAACATCAACAATAACTAGTACAACAAGGCGTGGAGGTGGTAAATATCAACAAAAAAATAAATAAAGGTTTATTTTTAATGTCCATTTTTTCTATGTTTAAAGTATTTATACGCCGAAATACCAAATCCCTCAAAAAAGACGCTGAAATACCTCAAAATTGTTAACAACCTTCCACGCTTTAACCTTTAATTAAAATAACCGTTACGTGATTGGAGCATTTCCACATTTTTGCTTTTTTTTCTGCAGCTTTTAGGGAAAAAGGGGTGTTTTTTTGACATTTCGGCGTGCTTCAATTATTACAACGTTGCCATTTTATTTTTTTTAATTTTTTAAATGGCATCGAAATCTTTATGTAGTTGTTTTATCAGTAAATTTCCTCAATAATTTTGTATTTTTTGAGAGTTTTGATTTAATTTTTGAAATTTCAAAGAATTTCGGTGCCTTAAATAAATTTGTTTATTAACAAACCACATATATTTTATGTAATTTATTTTCGTTATTTTTACAGTGGAATCTCTCTATAACGACACTTATTTGGTTAGCTATTCTGTCCCGAAGTATTCTAGTCTATTCGACGCTCTAGCGGTTAAAACAATGTCGGTGTATAGAGACTCCATTTTGTTTGACATTTTTGTTTCTATTTTTTATTCTTTTTAAATTTAATAGAACAAATTTCCAATTTAAAATTGTAAATCCATAAATCGGTTCTAGGACCGCTATATTTTTTAAATATTTGTTTCAGAGTTCAAAAATCTGCGATATTTGGCATAATGCAAAACATTAAGAATAAATGACACTTCATCCCAAAAATCAATAATCGATTTTTGATGTTTTATGTAGTTCTCTGTTGTCCATCTTTACCAAAGGTGTTCTAAACAGAATGCGTGGCTTTTCCTTTTTTGGGGATTAACCTTTTTAGGGGGGAGGGTAGAATTGTGTTGCGGACAAGACTTGCTTTTTTTCAATTTTTGAAAAATGCATCCAATTTTTTTCAGTGCTTCAGCAGCAGCAACAAACAACTTCAACAGCAGCAGCAACAAACAACTTCAACAGCAGCAGCAACAAACAACTTCAACAGCAGCAGCAACAACAAAAGTCCCAATGTATCGCTTCGGCGGTATATGGGCAAAAGTCCCAATGTATCGCTTCGGCGGTATATGGGCAAAAGTCCCAATGTATCGCTTCGGCGGTATATGGGCAAAAGTCCCAATGTATCGCTTCGGCGGTATATGGGCAAAAGTCCCAATGTATCGCTTCGGCGGTATATGGGCAAAAGTCCCAATGTATCGCTTCGGCGGTATATGGGCAAAAGTCCCAATGTATCGCTTCGGCGGTATATGGGCAAAAGTCCCAATGTATCGCTTCGGCGGTATATGGGCAAAAGTTTTAAACTCCAATGCTCTCGTCTACATGGTTAGCTTTTAATTTAAATTCGCAAGTTTTGTCCGCAGAGTTCCCCCTAAATAAGTTTATCCTTTCCCAATGTTAAAGCCAATTAAATTGTGTCCAAGTTGTTGTCAAATGAAAAGACGTACAGCAGATGTTCAATTGGTTAAATGCATTGATTTGCTTGTTTTGAATGGTTGATCTTTTGATAGGTTGTTTTTATTTTCAATAGTTTTTTATTTACTTAATTTTTAGCTTTGAGAGAGTATCCAGAAGCTGTTAAGATTTTTAACGAGGTTATTTTTTATTATTTACTATGGCTTCAAGATTATTTTTTAGGCCGGTGAATTGTTGTGGTAAGGCCGTCTATTTGATGAGTATCTGGTTTCCACAAATTTTCGTTTATTTTTAAGTTTTGTCCCTTTTTAAAACATTAATTTAAAAATCTCCGTTATCGATGTTTAAATCTCCGACCAGTTGCTTCCCTTGGGTAGTTTACTTTGCTTATTAGGGTTGGCATTTGTTCTGGTCGGGCTTCTATTTTGTTTTTTAAAAAATAAAATTTCGGAGATGGTAAGGGTTGTTTGTGGTTCGGTTTGTAGTAACCTTGATTCGTCTTTTCGGCTGGAAGGTTCGATTCCTTTCAGTGCCTATATTTTTGTTTTTTACAAGTTTTATATTTTTTATTTTTGGAATAAACGACCATATTTTTTGATCAAAACGTATCAGAACTCCTAAATTCGAGGAAAAATGATAAATATTTGTAAGTTTCTTCCTGGGCGATTAACACTTTTGGATCTTTTTATTTCCAAAATTGAACCATAATCACCTTCATTCTCTCTAGAGCGATTTCCAGGCTTAGGGTTCGCAAACAACACAAATTCCTGAACTTTTTGTTTCTTTAAAAATTTAATTTTTCAGCTTAAAGAACGTCCATATGCTTTGGCAAACAACATAGAGCTCTGTTATTTCTGAACGTTGTAATGGAATTGATCATCATGAAACAATATCTGATTATGTTAGTTTTTGTTTTTAATTTTATAATAAGTTTTTTTTCTCTCTGTGAAACTGAAATTTAAAGGTAGGGAATCTTTCTGAATCGCCGTTTAAGTCTTCAGACCAGATTTTGTGACATAAGCTTTTTTTGGTTATTATCCGTTCCTAGCACTTCATGTACCGATAGAAGACTTTTATGTATGGGTTCTTTTCCTTAATGTTGCCTCCCCTTCAAAACATCCTATAAAAAGTTAGTATAAGTAAGGATAATCGAGATATTTCAATTATTTTGGGCCATAATTTCAAGTTTAGTTCGATAAGAATTATTTTTGACAATCTGTTTAAAATAAATTTTGCTAAATTCTAGATCCACATTCAACCGCCAACTTTACAAGACAACAAACAAATGAAGATTTTGATTATTTTTTTCGTTTAAAAACATTTTTTATATTTTTTTATTTCTTTTTACAGTAAATGTTTAAAATTGTGTAGTTTTGTTTGAATCTTTCTTTAACATAAGTGCTAAAATAGTTAGGCAAACTAAAATTTCGAGATAATCTTTGTGGTATCAGGACTCTAATGTCCTTCTCAAACTTTTAAGTAACTATTTCGTTTTTCAAGTAAGGTGTGATGTACCAAGTAGAGAGAGAAAATGTTTGAGGTAGTAGGCTGAAATAGCGAGATTTCTTTAATGTTAGAGAAAAATATTAATACAATGATGATGGGTCGGTTGAGTGCTGAATTTGAGAGCGCAATAACTACTGTAAATGAACGTGAAAAGAAGATTTTTCGTACGCGAAATGTCCTACTATCGTCG